GGGCAGTTTTAATGTAAAACAAAGAAAGAGCACTGAGTCCTGGGTATGCCAATGTAATTAGGAGTTCCAGTGTGAGCAGCCTTGTAAAGAAACTCCAAACCAAGACAACCATATGACAAGTCAGATGGAATATTACAGGTCTCACTCCTCAAGTGACTGCTTGGGAGCTGGACTGTAATTGCTTTGACCAAACTATCAGTCTTGTAGTTTGTCTTTGACAGTTTTCCAAGTGGAATAAATGGTACATTTCTCAAAAAAACCCAAACCTGTGAGAGTTTCCTCAGTACAAAAATTGCAGAATTACCATGTGGAAGATGAAATATTATCAGCTCATACTAGTATGTTTATTTATCTCATTTTTCTTTGCTAAGAAAGGAATGACATTTGCATTAACATACTAAGCCACCTCAGCCTGCATTAAAGAAACTGGTGGAAACTGAGATTTTCAAGATCAGAAACTACCCCTAAGATGCAATTTTACAATAATTTATGTTGGAAGATATCTATGAAGGTGATATGGTCCAAGCCCTTTTCATGACAGGGCTGAATTAAAAGCTACTTTAAGCTCAGGGTGGATCAGCAAGTACAGTAGTTACAGTCACTGCTTGATCAACAGAGTAAAAACTCAATAGCTTAGTACTTGGTTCAAACTAACTAGGAGAAAGAAGAATAAATGGAATTTGGCTGCTTCACTCATTTCACTAATTGAAGAATAAAGATGCTAAAAACCTCAGAAAATTTGGGTTGTTTGAGTGTGATACTGAAAGGGAGGCTGAGTGAAATGTGACCTGGATCTACTAAAAAAATCTTGGAAATAATGTAAAGAATAGCAAAAGCTAATTACAGTACTAAGTCAGAATCAACAGGAGTGTATATGCGATAATTAGGTCACAGAAGCAGATCTATAATACAAATGTTTAAGCAGAAGACATTTATAAAACAAGAAACTTTTCTTCAGGCACCAGTTATATCCAACTAACTATACATAGATCCTTATACAGATAGTTGTCTAGCTCTTATAGCATAACCACACTACACACTTTGAGAGATTTCGGGTAAAGGTTATAATCAAAATCAAAATCAAAATTATCTGATGAAATTAAACAGAATTCTAGACTGAATCCAGACAGCAGCTTAGGAAGAGTACCAGTTTCAAGAATTCTGACGAACCAAATAATGGATTTCAAGATTTGAATTTTCCAGGTTACTTAAACTATCAGAAGTCTTCTAAGGTGTGACAGTGAAATCCTATGATCACCATATTTGGCAATTTTGTAGCTGAAAAAGGGGACAACTTATTCATCCTATAAGGAAAAATCCTCTAAATTAATGTAGTAGTGTCAACTGTCAGACATGCCTTACTGTGGGAAAATGGCATGGATATGACATGCCTTTCCTTGGGCAAAAAACATATGGATCTCAGGGCTCCAACAAAATCACATTGTACAGGAGCTTTTAAAACCTTTCTTTTTGAAGAAATCAGTCAGTTGCATTGGAAAGCAGCTGACTGTGCCCCACATTTATTTAAAGGTATATGTCCTCACAGTTAGAAAGCTTTTTGGATCACTATTTCACTTTCATTTCAGAGTTTCAATGTCTTGCAGTCCATCACTGAGAACACATAAAGCTTGCATATATAAGACAGAAAGACGAGAAACTGCCATAATATATACAACTTTATTTGTTTAAAAGTAACCTTCACGAGTTGTTGTATGTCTATGAAAGTCCATTTTCATTTCCATATTACTGTTGTATGAGTCTGTAAAAACTAAATGCTTGATAAAAAAGTCAGAACTCCTTTTTCAGCCAGTGCATTTTTTCTGGATCTAGTCATTTTTCAGACAGCTAAATGAACACACAGAATACTACATGGTAATCCTCATCCCATTTAACTTCTATGTTTGGACTTACTGACAGCTGCAGTCACACATGCAATTTTGATGAGAGACTGTAAGAGTCTCTCGCTGTTGCCTCCCTAACACCGTCCAAATTCCTGAAATATTCAAAGTCTGGCCATTAGCTCCTAATCTTTAAAAGCTGCCTTGTCAAAAGGCCAGCTCCAACGAAGAAGGGTGTCTGTCTTACTGCAGAGCTTCCCAGAGGTGTAGCAGAATGACTTATTTGAATGAAGAATGCAGAAGAGAAAAGCAAACAAACAGCATGACCTGGCAGGCTCAGATGCATCCATTTTTTTCACTGCTGATTGTTCTGCCTCCTTCACACTGAAAAGTTGTCTGGCTTCCCTCCTGCTGGATGTGGGCAATTAACTTTTTAGCTTCTGGTCCAGACACTAACATATCCTACCTGATTTACCTGAACAGGATGATAGACCTTGGCCACTGTTACTGCAGACTTTTGTCATGTATGGCTCTTCAAGAATGTACATCTGCAGAATGACAGGCTTGAACTGACTTGCTGCTATAGGGTCTTTCTGGTTTAAATCTACCCACAAAGACTGAGATACTACATTCACAAACATTTTTATTCCTTTTTAGGAACTCTTCATTTAGGCCTGTCTGGTTTAGATCTGTCCTGAAATGTCTTCAGCTCTGAAAACACTGGACCTTCAGAGCAGCATAGAGGATTTACACAGCCTCACTGATGGCTTCAGAAGAGCTGGAAAAAGCAGCTCTCAAATTCAGCTTGTCAACTTCTCCAAAGTGTTTTAAGGCCAAGAGGTTCTTCCCCAGTTAATCCACAGTTTTCTACTGAGCATCTCTCTTTCCATATCCTTGCTGCCGGTATTCTAAATTTTGATCACTTGCGAGAGGGATTTCTATTTCTCTTCCAAGTTTCTTTTCCAGCTCCACCTCTTACACAGCTCTTTCCTTTAAGGTTAGTTATGGAAAAGTCTACTTCCCAGTCTTAATGTATTACTTAATGAATTTGTAGACATTTCAAGGACTTTGATAATTAATTTATTGAGCTGTGTTTATTTGTCTTTCTGCCTCCTCTTTTCACTTTTGCCCACAGGTCCATTTTCTTCATCTAGTGAGCAATCATATCCTGATAGACAGGAGACATATGACATTTCTTGCAGAACTGATGCTATCTATGTGATGCCAGCTGTCTTAAGCACTTTCTTATTTTCCCTGAATTTAGTGTGCCAGTGAGCCTGAATTCAAATGGTAACAGTAACTCTTTGTGCTTCTGCCAAAGCTCTCAAGGTGTCCTCAGGATTAGGAAATATGCATTTTGCTTGGAATGGGAGTTTAATTGAACAGAGCCACTCTGAGGATTTTATATCATTAAATCCAGTGAGATTTGAGGGACACACATCACTGTGATTTATATTAAAGGTTTTCAGTTCTAGGCAATGGCCTCCTGAATTCAGAAAGACTTTCACTCTCCGTCCCTTTTGAGGTTGGGGTTGGGGAATAATAGCCACTCCCTCTTCAGGAAAAGTTATTCCTTTATATCTTAAGTCAGCCTCCATCAGTCATTACTGATTTCCTACCTAGCTCCTTGTAACAAAATCCACACTTCAAAAGACAGCTGTACTCCGTGGTCTTTGGTCTGCTCTTGCTTACCAAAACCTGAAAGTCTTCTCTCAGGATTGACAGAATCATAAATAATTAAAACCATCTTATCTGCCTCTACATAGCTCCTGCCTTTCTTGTGACCTTTCCAGTGGATCTGCCTGCCTCCATCTTGCTTCCTTTCTGAACAAAGAGCAGTCTAAAAAGCTTTTCTCTTACGGCCACCCGGACACTGCTCTCAGCATCAAGGGCTTTTCTTTGCTTCCATGTCTTTTCTACACTTAACCAAATCCATCCCACCTCTGCCACCATGTGTGACACAAAGAGTTTGAATGTGTAATGAAAGAGAATGTGCTTAATAAGACAGAGCTCTTTTCAAAGATGCAACTGTATTATTTCAAAGCAGAACTGAAATGAAAACACAAGCAGCACAGGTAGCACCTACTGCCTTTCTTAGTCACTGCTTCAGAAATCCATTGTTTTGCTCTAGAAAACGAATGCTTGGTGCCCAAGCCATATATTGGTAACATATCCTAGCTGCCTCTTAACAAGACAGAACAACATCACTGCAGTTCACTCTTTTCACAAGCCACATGCCTTTAAGAAATAACAGAGACATTCCTGAAGCAAAACACAGCAATTCTGGCCCATCTTATGAGCCCATCTTTTGGACTCTGTCAAAGAAGCTCTTTTGGGGTGTCACAATTTCCCTTAACCTTTTATTTTTCCAATTCTCTTCTGTTGCCCTCTACTTTCTGAATTAGTTCCTCATTCCTTCTCCTAGGGGCTGCTGGTCACAAGTACATGAGCTAAGAACCAACACCCCAGATTACACCACACATTGCCTAAAAATAAAGCTTCAACATGGGTCCTACGCAGAATTTTGTGCTGTGTTACCAGTTTATGGATAATAATAAAAAAAAGCAGTTTATTTGAAACAGAAACATCCAGTTACCAAAGCCAAACAAATAGTCTTACAGGAAAAACCCCAACGTGTCATTCATTAACTTTCTGACGCAATCAATAAGGAATGCAACAAAAGACAAGTGGTTTTCTTCCCTGTTTTGAATTTTATCACAAAAAGAAGATTATTTTTTAATGAGATATAGTATTTGAAGAATGATAATACTTAATAGGCACACAATCAGCTGGAATTCACTGACCCATTTTAAATTTGCCAGCTGCTTTGAAACACTATAAGAAAACAACATATACAGGACACATGTATTTTTCACTCCAAGGTAATTTCCTTACACTTGACTGTTAGTCTTTCTGCTACAACAGGTCACTTCAACAGTTTGTCCAGACTACAAATACTCTCGGAAATTTCCTAAAGATTCCTCTTATCTGTCTTATCTGTTAACTTAAAAGAAAGCAAAACCAAACTGTAAATTTTTTTTCTATCAGAACAGCAGTAAAACCAATCAGGTCTTATATACATACATATTTTCATTTGAAGTGGCAGACAGCTGACACTCTAAATTAGTTTCATTGACTTAGAAAATTATATTATTTGATTACCTTGTGTCAGGTTTTAGGTTTTCCACAGTAGAATGGGTTTGATTTGTAGTGATAATTGATTTCTCCTTTTCACCATCACTTCCTCCATTTTCAGTTGACACAACCTCATACTCTGGAAAATTACAGTAAAGAAAAATTTGTTTAAGTAACGTCTCTTACTTGAGCTTCTTCACTGCTCTCTCTTTTATCATCTGATTTCCACTCTTGCTGCCTAATAGTCTGTAAAGACAACTTGGGTGTACCTGTCTGGACATTAATATGCTAAAATGATTAAGATAGATCTAGTTCCAGATTGTTGTGTGCCCAGCCTCTCATCCTTTCTCATAGTTCAGTTATGGAACAGAGGATACTCAGCATCTCATCTTTGCCCAATGGTACACTCATGATGAAATTTGAAACACAAGTATAAGAATTCTGTAGTTTGAATGAAACTGTATCAAAGTTGAAAGTGTAGTTTCTAAATTCTTAAACCTTGCTTAACTTAAAATAAGACCTATCTTTTTAAGATTTTCAAAGGAAACTGCCCAACTAACTTGAATTTGTGCACTTAGGGAATCTGCTAGTTTAGAATGAAATCATTTTGCATAAATTTATTTCTGTATTTAGATGATTTTTAGAGTATCACTACTTTCTTTTCATCTCACTCAGATGTATCATCAGGCACAAACCATCCTCTGAGCAGGGAATTAACAATAGATGTTTGGGAAGAAGATACTTTTTCAATTCTAGCCCAGTCCTAGACATAGTTGGTCTCTAGCAGAAAACTGTCCCAACTTATAACAACCTCTTCTAAGAAAAACATTAAGTGTAATGTTAATTTTCCTCTCTTTGCAAAGAAATTCCCAACCTCATCAGCCCCTTCCTTTCCCCTTCCTTAAACCTCTCTGTGATATCACATGCAGCTTTGCTACTGCTAAGCTACTAAAGGAGGATGTTTTCAAAGAACATTTGCAATGAGCATTTAGATCTACAGAACAATGAATAAAGTAGGTACTATACTGTGAGAACAGAGGCCACTTATCAACAGCTACAGAACCTCTAGAAAACTACATCCTTTCTGTTTTTTTCCTAATGGCTCTATTAATGTTCTTGTTTTTAACTAAATGCTAGTAAGATGTATAGCTTTTTTTTTTTTAACTAAATCTTTCAGTAAAGAAAGGAGACCCATTTATTGTCAACACAGAAAGACAAAACACCTGCAATAGGATTCAGTTTCTAAAAGGAAAGGCTGTCCAAATTGCTGCTGGACTCTCAGATCCTCACTCCTAATAAATGTAGAAGATGTATATATGAATGAGTGTGGTGGGTTGGCTTTTGGATTTTTTAGGCCTTCCTTAGCAACGGGGGTCAGAAATCTAAGGAAGTATTCCATATCATCCTTTAGCTTAACACAACATATAAATAAGGCAGAGATAAGAGAACTCATGCTCTTCTCTCTTCTGGTGGTTGAAGGTGACAGGTTTCTCCACAGATGGTCTTTGCCTGTATGGGCCAAGTCCTGCCTGCTCCCACCTGCTGTTATCTCCGGTCCCTTCGGGAGGTGTGGGGAGTTGGCTGGTGCTTCGCACGGTTCTGCTGTCTCTTTCAGGGAAGTATTTAATTCAATTTTTTTATTTGTTTGTTCGCTAGCCCTCTATTAGCGGTGTATATTTGGAGGGTATTTGGTTTTAGGTTTTTTTATCCCTGTTTCCCCCTCCTTTTTTCTTTTTTTCCCCTCGGGAGTTCCCTATTGCATGTATAATATATTCAAATTATATATATATTGTGAATATACGTAAATATATATTTTTGATATAATCCCGTTTTCATTCAGACTTCCTTTGGTTTTTCTGTGGTTCGTGGGGTTTTTTCCTCACTTGAGAGAGTGGGAGGGGGGAGGAGACAGCTTGGACTTGGCAAGAGAGCCAGGCCAAACTTACACACACACAATTAGGATACACAAATTGACCCAATTTTGAACTCAGTTGTGCAACTATGGTTTCCTATGCATTCTTTTATGCAAAAATCAGCTATCAAACCCACTGCAGTAAATTACAATTAAGTGGAAGCGCAAAGTAGCTCTAAAAAATTATGTTCTAAAATTGCAAGCTTCTAAACCCCAGCAATTCAATCTAAGTAATTATATACATGTATGTATGTGTGAATTTTAGGTTTACTGGTATAGTTTCAAAAGGGACCTCCTACACAACATCTTTCTTTCTTTACCTTGCAGTAGATTCAGTTATTTAGAGCATATACAGAGCAACATGCATGTCAGAAAGTCAGCCTGAAGAAAGAAATTAATGCCAATAACGAAGATTTAAAAATTTCCATTTTCAGAAGTCCTCTCCCTTCCACCAGACACCCATGAACAGTAACCTCTACCTTTTAAAATCAAACTTATGGACCTGCAGGAATGGGTGTCTCAGAAAAGATGGGAGAGAGGGAAGTAAGTAGAGGACTTTTACTTTAGGTGTTTGTTCAAGTGTGATCCCAGTGCAATGATATTAGTATTGATGATTAGTATATATTTGTCTAAAACATAACTGTTTCCTTTCTATGTGTTTCCTCTTTGGAAACAAAGACATTTTCCTATTTAGCCACCAAGGGCTGAGTGAACCATGGAGAAAAAAACCATGCAAAAGCACTTATTTGTCCTGATTAAACCTCATTAGAGAAATTATATTTATTAAGACGCACGGGAGAGATGGTGGATATCCACTGCCTTAGGTACATCCAGATAGTGAATGAATAAGTGACTTCTGCCAACCCCAAGTCAATGTGTGATTTGGACTTTTTTAACTCATTCAAGTTGGAAAACAAAATGCAGTAAAAATGTGTATGAGCTCATCCATAAAAAGAACTGCTGAGCACATCCAGTACCTGCTTGTTACTCAGTACACAAGGCAACAAACTGCCCTACATTTCTGTGGCAACGCAACAGGAGTAACAGAGAATGAGCAAAATGGTTTTGGTTCCTGACATTTGCAGCCTTTACAAAAACAAGGAGGTGAGATTGATCACTGTTTTGGTTATTATTTGTCAGACCTTTCTGTTACTGAAGCACAGTTTTGTTTTTAGGCATACCCAATGAAACCCCTTATACACAGCTAAGGTTAAGCAAAGTAAGCATTTAAAAAAAAGGTGCACCAAATTATGCTTTCTGTTTTCACAGTTCTATCTGAAACAGTGTATTTCTTAAAAAAAAAAAGATGTGATGCCTAAATTAGATGATTGGAAAAACATGTATAAAATACAAAAATAAAAAGAGATGACAGAAAAATTGATTTAAGTCTGTCTAAATAAGTAATGTCACAGTGGTGCCAATATGAAGCAATCACTGTTTTCAGAAAATGGGACTCAATGCCTTCTTTTAAATTCAGAAAGTGTCCTTGGATGAGTTCATTAACTGAGTTATTAACTAACTTCAATGTTTAATTTTTGTAAGCTAGTATTGAATACAGAAGACAGCGGAAAAATTAGGAACCCCATCTTGCATGTTTACCTGCCTATGTAGTGATTCCTGCATGACTCACATGCATTAATTCTCAATACAAACCCCTTGCTTTAGAAATGAAAAAAACCAGATTCTTTCAGCATAGAGAACTTGTTGACCCTATGGTGGCTACTGCAAGTATTATGCTGACAAATTTCTACTGACTTACTAGATGGATGTAAGGTTTGATTGTGTCTGGTCCACTGTTAAATGACATCTGCCAGTCAAGAAAGATGTCTGCATTATGTGTGTGCATCTATATAATAGACTGCTGTTGCACTCTTGGACCTTCTTGACAAGATCTTACCAGATCCTGTACAGGAAGAAGCCAGAAATTAGAAGATATAGAGTCATACTTAAATATTTTTTTGTGTCATCCCTGACACTGACACCAATGATCTTGTTCTAATCTAGTAGCATTTTCTTATCCACACTGGAATTCATAGTAGCACAAAATAAAAGCACCGAGGTCCTTCAATCTGTTGAGATTAAAGTATTTTTTAAATGCCAAAAAAGTAAATTAAACTGGAAGTACTATACTATCATACAATGAAGGAAAGCAATTGAACCAACCTGTAACAGTGTCATTGTCTGGTTTTTCCCAGTCCAATATGACAAAGGTTGGACAGCCCTCAACCGTCACCACTGTGAGATTGGTTGGAGGATTTTGTGGAGGACGAGTGGGTTCTTCCTTGCTTCCAGCTTCTTCTTGAGGAAAATGTTCAAGAGAGCTTGTGATAGAGCAAGGCACATCATCGTCTTTCTTCATGTACTTGACATGGGGAGCTAAGAGCAATAGGAAAGACCTGTTACTCAACAGTGTTTTTGCAAAATGTCAATGCTATTTCACCTAGTTCACAACGTCCATCTCAGGGCACCAAGTAAAAGTCTGCACAAGTCAAACACAAATGTTTCAGAATAAAACCCAATTTTAAGCTGCTTTAAAAAAATTTTTATTCATTGCTGTTAGACCCGCAGTCACTGCCTTCATCCCCCTCTCATTGGCACCACCAAGGAAATATCACTTTGATATTAGCAGGTGATAGACACTGCTTGAAAGAATTAAAATCACAAAATAGGACAATTAACTATATTTCTTCTATAGTAAAATGACACTATAATTCCACCTGAAGTTTTTGTGAAGCATGTTAATACAAAAATGTCCCATACACTTTGTTTCACCAGAAGGATTAACAAGTTTAGTCCAAAGTCATTAAACTCGCTTAATGAAACTTGCAGTTTCTAAAGCAACTGTCAAAACCTTAACCATTTTCAGTGGTACAGCAACAAATCTTGGAACAAACTTTCTGAGGCATATGTCTTGTACTCTGCATCAAAATTAGAAAGATTACTGAAGACAAACACTCTCGTTCTAAGATTAAAACTTTTGTTGGAGGTAAACAATAAGCTCTCTCAAGAAAGAAGGTGTCTTCAGAAATGTAGTGTCTCTTACCAGAACAAGAAAAAAACCCTGAAAAATATTTTCATACGAAAGCACTTCTTCCTTTTATCTCAACTTGCTGAACCCTCTAGATTATTGCAACAGCAATAGCTTGACTACAGGCTGGAAAAGAGGTGAGGGGTATATGATGGGTAGATATCCTGTACGGCAAGGTGCACTGGTATTGGGACAATACCTCTCCAAGCACATGTGCAAGCCCACATGAAGAGCCACAGCATGTTTGTGAACAAAACTGTAAACTAGGAGGTGGTAGCAGGATTTGTGCCAAAGCTCTTTCATCTGCCACTGAAGCGACGCAGAATCAAATAAAATTTTGGCCTTTGAATAACCAAACAAAATAATTTTGATGCAAGATAGGTCAGTCTTCATATATTCCCCCAAATGAAAATACCATAGCTAGTAATATCCTACCTTGGTACCTTGGTTTGCCTGAAGAATCTGTTTCTGATGTAGGACTTGAGCTGAAGACAGTTGCATCCACTGTGGGAAACACAGTTATAATTTCCAATTAATTCAAAGTTTTGGTGTTAGAACTGCAGCATTTCACAGTTCCTTTGGCATTTTAAATCCCGATAAAGGTCTTCCATGGTAGACCTTTGCTGCCAGACCTGTTGTTTCATTTTAGTGACTCCATTTTAGCTGTGGTGTTAAGTAAATCTCGTACTTACCTGCTACTATAAACCTAGCCATAATCAAAATGACAGACTTCGTGACTGCTGCTGGATTCAGTTCATGCAGCATATGTAAAATGTTTTTTAGACCTTTTAAAAGTATTTTTTTGCACTGTACTTGCTGTTTAGCTTGGAGCTTGTTTCATGTTCCTAGAACATATAGCACTATTACATTGGCACATTAACTTCTCTAAAAATAATAACAAGGGAATCACAAATTCTGTCTCCAGAGTGTACAACTTCCACAAAATTTGAAGGAAATTGAAGGCAAATACACTGGTGAATAAAAATGTGCTAAAGCAGTCAGGATTCATGACACCAGTGTTGTATTAATTAGCCATTACACTGAATAGAATCTTCTTTTAGATGCAAATACTATAATGGACCTCAACAAACAAAGCACGATACATTCACAATGAGCATTTATAAATAAGTCAGTCTAGCATCCAACTCGCTTTACTGAGCACTAAGGGTCACAGTGAGTTCATGATCATTTAAAGGAGACAAGAATTTCAGTATTACAATACATCCGGGAAAACTAGAAACAGCATAATTTATGACAATACACTTAGAGCTGCATATCTAGGCTCAAAAATTCTAAGCACATCCTCCTCCAAATCCATTACTGGATGTCACTTCAAAGAAGCTTAGGTTTGGACTTGCAATCAAGTCCCAATTTTATAAAGGGCAAATTACCAATTAACCACTATGTGTGCTCTATTACCTTTTTCCCCATTTAAATGGTGGCAGTTTAATCAGATACCTAGAAGGATGTCACATCCATGATGAGCACAAATCAGTCACTGTCAAATAATAGTTTGAACTTATGTCCTGTGCAAAAAGAAATTTGCAGGAAAAGAAGGTTCCTTATCTACTCCCTACACAGACCTAAATTGCCACTGAAGAGTATTGAAAAACCTACTAAGCATGTATGGATTTATAGGAAATGGAAGGGCTGTCATATTCTCAGTTATCAAGATATGTATCAGAAGACAGCTAGATTAGCTCAGTCAAATTAAAAAAGTTGCAAAGTGGCATAAAAGAAATCAGAACCACCCCAAACTGAATGCTTCTTGTATTAAATATCTAATACATCAATATAATTTAAGGAAGGGAAGCAAAAGAAAATGGAAACCTTAATGTTAATTAAAAGAAAAACAGAAAAAAAGAAACCAGAACTGTTTGTAATATGCTTACCATAATACTCTGGAGTTGCAAAAGCTGTTGGTGTCCTATATGATGTTCCTGTCCTCACAGGCAGTGTTGGTCCAGCAGGTTTAGCTATAGTGACAGACGGAGGGACTTGTTGCAACAAGGTGTTCAATATTTAAAAGAGAGAAATAGCTTTATGGTTTTCTAGGGGAACTCAGATTTCTGACAAGTGCTTTGTGCAACAAGTACTTTCATTGAAACCATGGTAATCCCTCAAAATTTATACAACAGCTTCCAGCTGGATTTAGGAAAGTTCTGAATTGTGCTTATTGCAGATATAACCTAATCCTGAGACCCAGTAAGAAAATTCTTCGCTACTTTGAGATTGTTTCAGAGGACTTCAGTCAGCTAGAATATTACCTGGTTTAATGCACAGAACCATCCTACACGGACTGGTAAAAGGATGCAAAGTGACCATCGCTGACATTTCTCTTTCTTAAGTAAAAGAGCACGTTTCATCATGACTTGTAAGACACAACAGCTGAAGTCAGCAACTGAAACTTGGATTCTTCCCTCAAATATGGGTAAGATCCTTTCATTTGTACTCTCAATACAGTACATAAATTAGCAAGGTTGGAGCTGGAACATGAATAACAATAAACACCAAGTCCTTAACTGTGGTCTGCATTAAGAATTTAACCACCAAACAGTCCTGGAGCTTCCACTAAATGAAATTAAGATGCATTTCAAATGAAAGAAAGGAAAATGCAACCAAATCCAACATTTTCAACATTTGTAACACTACATGACCCAAAGGAAAAAGTTTTCTTTCTGAACTCATTTCTGTACTAGGTGTCATAAGTTTAGGCAGAAGCTAACTGATAGAAGCAATACTATCTCCCATAACTAAATAGCTCTTTTAGAAAATTTTCTGGATTATGTGACATTACTTTTACTCCTCAGCTGTTACCACCTGATAAAGAAAATAAGTTTCTAAGAGGCAAACAATCCATGGTAAAGGATCTTTCAAAATAGCTGTAAAAGATAAGAGCTAAATTCACAAAACATGCAGATACTTCCAGATAACGGTGACGTGACTGGAAAGCTCAACCCCAAAAAAGTCAGGAACTATATAGTGTGCATATATGACACAGAAGACCATGGTGACTGAAGGCAGAACTCTTCTTTAAACTCTGGTGAACGAAGTTTAAAATAACAAAAATCTCTACTTTCCACTAATTTCCTTAATAAAGTTGACTTTGAAAGATTGTTGCTGGAGTCCAGCTTCACAAAGGTTTTGAAACTGTCTTGTTTCCTTTTTTTTCCATTCAGGAGACTTTTAAGGTTTGCACAGAAACCCTTCCATAATATTCATCCACCAGATGAGTTAGAAAGATGCAAGTAAGGAATTAATCATAGTTTTAATGAGAAAAAGGACAGAATTCTGACAGGGAAAATCCAAGAAGAACATTGAGGCAAATTTTTCCTGTTAGTACAGTGGAACTGTCTCTCCAGGGAAGCAGAAGAAACTGAATTATAATGTTTAAAACTAAGCTGGATAAAACACTAGGAAACACAGAAGAAGGAAAATCAGCTACTGGCCCCACAAGGAATAACCAGTTCATCTAACCAATTTATTCCATCTTGAAAGCCGAGGAAGGTATGGTAAGTGCTGACTGCCACATAGCCTGGCCTCAGTGTATGGAAAAAGGGTGAAATTTTATATCACTGGTAAATTAATTAGACACTTAGTGGAGAAAATTAGTATAGACCCCCATTACAAGCAAAAGAAAATGTATCAGGTCAACATATTTTATGCTGCAGCTCAAGACTGACAATGTCTTATGTTTTGTTGCAGCTATTACTAAGGAAACACCACCGGATCAACAGCGAGTATAGACACAACGTTTCAATATTAGCTCTGCTGCTAGCTTGGAGGTTCTTGTCACTCATCTGCTGCACAAAATACTAAAGAATTATTTAGGTCTTTAGTGCCTTAATAGCACACAAAGTCCCAAATGGAACAAACCAAAGACAACAGTAAATACAATACAGTCGAGACCTTGATATTTCCAGGGAATGACAGAGACCAATATGAAAAGGAAAGCACTTGTCATGAGGCTAAGCATAAGGAGATGACAGTTTCTGACTACCTGGAAAAAAGTTAGCCTAAGGATTCTTATATAGAATCCACAGAAAAACATATATGTGCATATTGAATATCAGTTTCAGGATAAAATTAAAATAAAATAGGAAACATGAAAGTTTCTATGTGCTCTTAAATGGGTACTGAGAAGGTGGAATACTTTAGCACAATAATCAAGTTAAACTCTGTGCACATGAAATAGCTCACTCTACCTCCCAGTACAGTCAGTTCTCTGGGTGACTATTAGCTCATTATTTGCAGTGGTTAATGGATATGCAATATATATGTGACAGAATTTCTTAACAAATAACCAGTTGGGTGTATACATTGACGTATAATATTCAATATCTCCCATCCAACATGCACATTAAGTAGTTACAAATGCTATTAGTAGACATGAAATACTCATAAGGTTGATCTTCTTAAAGGATAACTTGGAGTGTGATATTTGGCTTTCAGCTCCCTTATTAGGGATGATTTTGACATAAGCAGGTTAGGAAAAAAAATCCCAAAATAGAGTTCATGTCAGAAGACAAAAGGTCTATGTGTTCCAAAATACTAGTTTGTGTAGATCTCACAGATTAAAGAAATCTATCCTATAAAATTCTCCTGTACCTTAATAGTCAGTATTATCTCACATGCAATAAAATATTTATGTTGAAAAGGCTGAGATACCTGGAATCCCGGGTTTACCAGTCACGGTGTTTGGAGGCAGAGGTTTTCTTCTCATTTGTGTAGGCTTGGCAGGAGGTATAGGAGGGCGCTGAGGTCCAGGTGATGTAGTTACTGAATGACATTACAAGACAGTGTTATTAATTATTCAACCTCAAATTCCATAAAATCAGAAACCCATTACAAGTTATATTCTGACTTCTCAAACAATGTTTCATTTCTTATTTAGTATCAAAAGTGGAGAGGTGAGGTTAGGAGCTGAAGTGAATTCTATTTTCAGTCTTAAATTCTTTGAGAAGTATGTGCCATGAAGTTTTAAACCAAGCTTACTCTGAAAATATGTAGCTCCTCTGAGATTTTTTACAAGTGTTTCAGTGATTCACTTTCTGTGTAGTTACTCATTTCTGTCAACAGTAATTTTTTGGCATCCAAAAGGATATGTTTTCACACAATAAACACTACCTCAGCGTACTAGGAAACATCTTCAGTATCCTACTCACAAAATTTGTGATTTCTTGTACTTTCTAATTAATAGAACTAGTCAGCCTCAGCTTGAAGCAAAAGATGTAATGAAAGGGAAATTATCATTAGGAAAACTTTATCCTATGCTGTTCAAGTGAAAAATGAAAAAAGTCACTGTCCCTTCATGCACAGACATGTCTAAAGACAGTTATGTGGTAGAAATTTTTGAAACGCCCAACTTGGTCATTTCAATGTGCAGTTCTAGCCAGTATCTATTAATTTTATCTGGTAAGGTCCTTTGACAGTGAGGTCTAAAAAGAGACCCTTTAGTTCATAATTACAAATCATTTTACTGTATTTTCCAGCCAATTATGAGGGATTTTATTATGCAAAGGAAAGGCAAAGGAAAAGATTTTTCTTCCACTATTCGCCTTTGCCCTTCTTTCCTTAAGAAAAAACAGGAGATCTGTGCAGCACATTTATGTAACAAAAGACTTGTTGTACCTAAGAGGGGAAAACCCTCAAGAGTAATAAAATTCTTATAATGCTGCCAATATCAACAAATACACAAGTTGCCTGATACTGAATTACTGGCTACACAGAGTGCCTCAGGCCCTATGTATCAGACCTTAGTTTACCCTATAAATAGAGTGACTGCGGGAGAGAAGGGAGCAGATCCAAAGACTCACTTGGGAGGACATTTTCAGAAATATTACAATATGCAAACAGGAATATCTCCATCTTTCTCTGTCCCCTTTTCCTTTTGGACTGTTGCAGCCACTTATAGAACCCTTTTTTTTCGTAATCCCTCAGATCAAGACAGGAAATAGTGCTTTGTCTAATTCAGAAAGACGTAATGGTTTTGAAAATAGCATTTATAGGTTTCACATTCACTCTTAATCTCCAAATGGATATGAAAAAGTTATGCCTAAAGAACTGAAAAGATAAATTTTTACATATATAAGTCATCATACCCTAGATACTACTACATGATAGTATTCATCATTACTTTTCCCCCAGCCCGTATTTAGGGAATAGGATTGTCTGTGATATTTATGGGGTAAGAATGTGCAAGTATTGACTTGCCAAGTAGTTTCTATCATATCTTCTGAGCAATACAACCACAACAGTCACATGAAAGCCAAAACAACGCATTTGGTGTATGTGTCACAGTTGAATCTATTATATTGCACTCTGAAAAAACAATAATCCCTACTACTACTTCCCACAATGACTTGGGTGACGGTCTATGACGCTACCAAATCTAATCACCAATAAATGGAGACTGAGCTTGTAAACTAGGGCACACAATAGGATTTAGGGATTTTCTGATAGTGTAGATTCTTGCAAGGACAAAAGGATGGTGAACTGTTAGGATTTAATTAATCTCGGGGCTTCTTTAGGGACCGGGAATGTATTTCCTTGACTCAGTCACTCTTGATGAAAGAGGAGGGTGTGCAGCCTCTTGGGAGAGACTTTGTCATTACTGTTGACATAGACAATGGGATTGAGTGAACCCTCAGCCATTCTGTGGCTGACACAAAGCTGGTGGTGTAGTTTACACACTGGAGGGAAGGGTTGCCATCCAGAGGGACCCTGACAGGCTGGAGCAGTGGACCAATGCAAACCTCATAAAGTTCTAATTTTCCTCACAATACTAATAGTCAACACAACTTTCTCATAAATAGGAGTACAATTTGGTTATGCATTTACTTTATTCTCCTTTGCTATGTGGAAACTATTAGTATGGAAAAAATCAGTATTTACAGTATTGTGGCTGTTTGATCAGAAGGATATGATCACGATGATAATTTTTAGCATATAGCATATGTTAGAGAATAAATAGTGACCACAAAATATTCTTATTTTTATCACTTCTAGTAACATCCTGAAGCCATGAGAAAGTGTATTGATAAGGGTGGTTAAGAATTATTTTCTCTTCTTAGTGGAGATGCTTTTTGTGTAGAAAAGGCAGTGTTTTTATTTTTCACAACACCTACAGTTTCCCATATTTTCTACTTTTATTAACTTTACCAGAAAGAGGCTTTTCCCAGGTATCAATATATTCCCAAGGTTTTTTTACATCCACAGCAACTTGCTCGGTAATATCCTCAGGTATATACATATCACCTGTGAAACAAAGGAAATGGAATAAGTCTCTACAGTGCAGCACCAAGTCATGGAATACTTGTATATTGTGTATATTCAAACTCTAGTTAACATTAAGTGCATAACCAGCATGTATGGCCCACCTATATTTTTAGTGATAAATGAGTGAAATCCATTATTTTCTTATTCAAGTAAATAGGAAGTGATCTGTTTCTAGAAAGTCTGCAATTTAAAAAAGTGTATTTGGAAAGAGAGAATTAATAAGACGGAGAGGTAACAGATCAGTTAAACCAAGATGATATGTGGAAAGATGTGTACAGAGAACAGTCTAGTTTTTCAGTATATGGAATAAAAAGTCCATTGATTCTTGCAAAGGGCAAAGTTCTTCTTCTCCCCATAATAAGATCTTTAGTCATCCTCCATACTAAATAGTTAGAGCAATTCTGAACAAAACATATACCATATTTGGAGTACAGAAGGCAAAGTATACATAAAATTCAGTTTGTATACAAGAGAAAGTCCTACTTAAAAGTAATATAAACACATTTGGAAAAAACTAAAGTGGCATTAAAAAGATCAGCATAACTCCTGGTACAGAACAACTGTTTCACATGCTGGTATTTATAGTACAGTCAGATTGTTAAATTAATATACTTTCTCTATACAAAATAAGTGTATTTGCTTTATAAAAACTGTATATCTAGTATAGTGAGAAGATGCATTGCAACTTCATCATGTTTGTGGTGACACCCCCCCCCCACTCTTACTCATGACGTCATGAAAAACCTGCAAAATTTAATATATTAAAAATAACCCCTCAATATTACATTAATTATCAAATTCCAACCCTATTCCAACAAAATTTAATCACTTCAACCAAAGATTTCATAGGTTTATAATATGGTTCTCAATTGGTTTTGACATTACACCAGTATTTTTACGTCATGAAACAGATAATTTCTCAATTACTGGAAATATTCATGGGGTCTGGAACAAGTTTAAACTAACCACTGTGTCTTTAATACCATCAGAGGAGTGGATCATTTTAAGGGAAGTAAAGGAAAAAGTGCTCTTGATAAAATAAAACTCAAAATACCTTTATACTTGAATTCCTCTAGAACTTGACGGTATACCCAAAGTTTAAAAAATAAAAAGAAAATAGAACACAAAGATAATGGGTATTATAAACAAAACCAAGTATCTCTCTGTTTCACAAGGAAAATGGAAATGTTGTTTAAAATTTGTTTACTGACATTTGTCAGGAAGTCCAATAGATCAGGAGCAGTTTTTAAAAGATTAAGTATAAATTAAAAAATAACTCAGTATACTAAGTTACATACACAAAGATAAATATGAAAAGACATCTCAATAAAATTATGTTCTAGAGAAAAAGGCTAAAACTTGGCAAAAAACCTAAAAGGAATGCTAGTCGTGAGGAGGTAATCTCTGCCTCTTTTCCACAATCAAGTTTACCACCTGGCACTACAGCTAGCCAGGAGACTGAAAAGCCTGCCAGGAAACCAGCCACAATCCCATGTGCTGATGCTGGAAAAAACAAATTCTGCTTATCATCTGGGCCCTGCAGCTTCCAAGCAGACTCTCCATGGGGTGAAACATCTTTGCACTGAGGCTAATGAGCGCAGTAAGGAAGAAGGAATGGAGTACATTCAATAGCAGTGTCAGTCCAGCAAGGAATTAAAAGTTAAAATTGATGTTTAAACAATATAGTAACTAACCACAGCTCTTCGGTAAATGTGCTCTTCTTCAGAGAAAGAATAAATGATAAAACGTCTAAAGGTAAACGTGAAAACATATTTTTCCTTACAGGCCAATTAAGGAGTCTGATCAGGTTAGATCAAAAGTTAAGTATTTTGATAAACTAATCACAGAAAATAACATTTTCATCATGAAGAAATTAACTTCTTCAGATCCAAAAATCCTCAGGATATCTTAAAATATTATAACACCTTCAGGATGTTTCTTTAACTTAGAGGAAAAAAGACTGATGTAGCTTGGTAATGGAAAATATTACTGGAAGTATCATTTTACAGAAGAATTCTAAAAAAAGTGTTTTCCAGTGAGTACATATAGCATGCACAGTAAGAAGCAGTCTTGTGATGACTTTTGACATCATCTATCATAATGAAGCTACAGCTCTTCTATAATAGAGCAATGGGCACTACCATAAAGAGATGGAAATGATGACAGCTGGTGGGCACACCAAGAAGAGCATTTAGAATAGGATTGCTTAAAACAGTGCTTTAGCACCCAAACCAGCATTAAGCACAATAAACTACATGTAACAATTTACATGCTCACTATTATGTTTAGACTGCTGATTTACTCAGCATGCATTCATTTTTGTTGGGGTTTTTTATAACCTACAAATACCCTTGCCAAGTTTACTACTATGTGGGAGAGGAGAAAAGCTTAATATACTGTCTAAAATAATAGTATATTTGTGCATAATTTCATAATGTGATCACCCCAGGAGACCTGTGTGCATTCTGCCTATTTCAGGAATCAGACATCAGAAGGCTCATTTATAAGAAGGAAACACAAGGAAAGAACAAAGCTTTCTGACCCACAACTACTGACATTGGTCATTTAATACTGTAACTGGCTCTGGTGTCCTGGAATGTGATGGGCTCATTCATTGACCAGAAGGACTATGAAAGGTCAAAGAGCACATAAGTCTAATGAAGGCATTCACTCAGTGTGTAATACAGAAGAGTAGGTCTTGTTCTAAACAGGTTAAGTTCAATGCAATTTAAATATACAACCATCTCTTCTGAGTTTGTAGCATTTCCAAAAACATGGTGGGCTTTTCAAAATTAAGTATGGGAAAAAGTAGTTGAAGTCATTCCATGATCAGCAACAGGTATTAAATTGCCAAAGATACTAGAGGGAAACATTACACAGACAAAAATGTTTAAAAGAGATGGTATATCATTCAGGTTATCCTAATCTAGCTATCACAAAGCAATGGAATGGGACAGTAGCAGTAAAAGTAGTGGGTGAACAGCCAAAAGTTTGCTCTAAATATGTGCATTATATTTATTTATTTATTTATTTATTAATTCATAATATGTATTATTTTAAACTTGCTTTGTTGATGAAGAATCCCAAAATTATGTATTTAATTAACCAATGGCTATATTAAAAAACCAACAGTGTTTATATTGATGTAATAAATTAATGCTTTATTAAATAAAAAAATTACAGATTCTTTATGAGTTAACACTGACAACATTATTTTAATTGGATTGAAAAATCAAGTACAATTGAAAAAGGACAAATGATTTTTCCCCCAACCAAACCCATATTTTTAATAAATCTTTCTGGTTAGGGATGTATGTTATCTCTGTGTGTAAGGATACGTAAATTGAAGTTCTCACTCTCCTCTATCATCCATCAATTTGGAATTCTTTGATGCTGAAGTATTCAAGCCTGAATACTCTACAGTCCAAATACTGCATGGTCTGAGTAAGAACTGGTCTGGTGTGAACGCATCACGTGCATAGATAGTAGCTAGCAAGATATCCGGTTTAAGACTTTCCTACCAAGCCTCCTGATTTGGACTCAAACAACTGGGTGACCCTTTTCAACAGTGTTTTCCAGTAATTATCTTGGACCTAACATCTAGAAAACATTAGTAAACAGTAGCCACATAATAATCTATCTGTAAGTTTACACAGACTGTCAATATAATTTCACAATGACTCTCGGTAATTCCATAACATGATCAGTAGCAGCAATTACACATGGTACTCTGAGGAATTAAATTCTGTAACAAAACACAATGAAATATTTTGCAGGGCTCAAGGTGATTTGAGAAAGTCACATTCATGTCTTTTCCAGATAAGATAAAAAACCCCCCCAAAAATGCAGCTCTACCTGTTGTTGGCGCAATCCACTGTGGCAGTCCAGGTGCTTTTGTTCTGGCTGGTGCTAGTGTGGTTTTACTAAAAACTGTGAGAGAGTTAAGAAAGAAAAAAGAGAAAGATGAAAAAAAAGTTCCATGAGAAGAACACCCGAGAGGTTTCTATGTGATGCCTACAATTCCACACTAGAGAAGAAAAAGTAACACCTAGTGTGATGACACACACAGTTCTGGTTTCTGATTTGAAGAGGCTTTACCTGTAGACTTATTAATTGATTAAAAAATACCCTTTTTTTCTCCCAACAACACTTAAAATTCCACTGAGAATAGGGGAAATTAATTAATTAACTAATCTCCTTCCCATCCCAGATTGAATAAACAATTATTACCAGGTCTAGTCTGTGATTTATCCGACGGTTTTGGTCTTGCGGAAGGGAGACGTGTCTTATGAGGTGCTAAAAGAAATAAGGTTCTGCTTAAATGCTGTGTAAAAGAACACCAATAGTGCAGTGCAATTTGCCAGAAAAAAAGGTCCATGCACCAATGTGATACAGCAAAATGGACACATGAGAGTTCTATGAGTTCCAATCCAAAATGCATGTTGAAAATGCTAGTTTCTTTAGTGGTCAGATGACTCTATCATGCAGTCTGACCAGTTACATTCATGTTTAGGTTTAGGAAAAGATATAAAATATTTACAGCCAGTTACCCAACTGTATATGGATACAGAGTTAGCTCTGCAAGGTATCCATGGCCTTAAGACATTTAATTAGGTTCTGTAAAAAACAAACAAACAAACAAAAAACCTCAAAATAAAACACCACACTGGAACCCCCAAACAAAATACCTAGATAAAACCATGAAACAGTGAATTATTGCTGAGAAAACAACCAGAAGCATTCAATGCAGACACTGTGTAAGACAGCTGAAGCACAGTGTCACCATCAAGGTTGAAATTGGAAGCCTTCAACCTTTCCTTATTGTTGTCTTTCACTTACAAAATAATTTTGATAAGGTGGTTGTTACAGTATCTGTGTGAATCACATCAAAAGCTGAAAGCATAAGATACTGTTGTCTTTCTCACCGTTATCAACCTCTGTAAATCAGCGTTTTAAATAAATAGAGCTGGCTATTTGATATTCAAATCTAATAACCATTCTATCCATAACACTTAATCCAGCCTCTCTGAAGCATCAGAGAAAATACTTATGCAGTACAGAACATATTACTCAGTTTTGACATTTAGATTTGGGAAAAGTTTTACAGATTTAGATTTTATAAGGTAAATGGTGGAAGTTAGTTACATCTATATTTGCAGCACTATATATCTGTCTCATAGTGTTTAAAAGCTTCATATCATCTTTGATATAATACTGATTAAACCCCATTTTCAAAGCACCAAAAATGTTTGATAAGGGGGAAAATAAATTTTCATGTTACGTATTTGAAATGGTTTTAAAGGTAACAATGAACTTATAATTAAATATTAAACATTACTGATTTTACTTCAGATTTACAGACTCTCAATACAACAACTTAAGAGAATCTTAAAAATTACCTGTATTGAACCATGGAATTTCAGTTGCTTGAGCAATTTTTGGCTTGGGTGAAATGTGGTATGTTTCATTGGGAACTGAAAATGGAGATATTACTGCTTATCAAGTGCAAATTATTTCCTTTTAAACATAAGATACCACAGGTGGAAAGGAAATTCAAATTGTCTTTGTGCGGATCGTAAACAAGAGTCAGTACTAGAAACTTGTCTGAAAATCATGCTTTCATACAGGAAAAAGACTTTTCAAGACTGGAAGATATATTTCATTAGTAAGTCAGACAAAATCAGAAAAGATGATCAGGCAATGCCTTTTTACATGACTCCTCAGCCTTGTACATGAGGTACTTATTTCTAGAAAAGATTTCATGAAGAAGAAAAATGCCTGAAAAATTAAAACCAGCAATACTTTGTACATGCACTGGAATGTAACTAACAAATGAACATGACATAAAGACATATTGAGGTATTTCTGTTGATTAAAGTGTAAGTTTAGCTATATAGCAAAAGCAGAGAAAGTAAAGTTTTAAGAAAAATAAACTGACATAACATTCTCATTACCCAAAGGTATTTTGGACCCATCAACAACATGAACTGTAACAAGGTTAATTGATCCCAGGTGTGTTGCCTTTGGAGCTATAAAAAATAAACCATTGTTCTGTGAGAAGGGAAATTAAAGAAGGTGGATTTCACAAAGGATCTGTCTCCATTATTTCCTAAAAACCTATCTACACATCTGCTAAGACAATTTTAACAGATATGAGACAGAAACATGTTCTGATTAGTCTGGGTGTATTTTCATGCTGACAGCCAGACAGTGCAATGATTGTTCTGGGCCCCCACTAACTTCAGAACAAATGCCCTAAAGGTGGAGTTCTGACAGTCTTTGGTCTTTTTCATACTTAGTATATTAACTTACTCTTCCATAAAACATTTCTAAAAGCTCGTAGTAACATATTTATCTTTCAGACCTCATTCAAACTTGATTGAATTTATTGAAAGATATCTAAATTACTGAATGAAGAGGACAGACTGGCAGGCAGAGACACACACTACATGCCTCTTTGTCTTTCAGAAATAAGGTTAAAATATGGAAGCTGGAAAATAACCTACTTACTAGCATAAAGAGCAGTGGCTAAATAGTGACATTTGTACTTAACAAAAAAAATTTGTTTACTGTTTTTCCTAACAGTAGTTTGTTTTGCACATACACAATTATAATGATCTATTCTTAAAAGAATAAACCTCTAAATTCTGTTTTCTAAAATTCTTTCCCTAAAACTAACTTTGTAGTGGTACCAAAAGATGGCACTTGTTAACTATGACGTGATTGGAAATAGCTCTTATTCGACCAAGACTTGGAATCTAACTTGGTTACTTAACAGCCTTTCAAAATAAGGCATTTAGAACAGAAATGTTTTTCATAAACTGTTCAGTTTGATGTTCATAGTAATATATATACGTACGTATAGCATATACGCATGTATATATAGTTCTTGAATGAATAGGGTGTCTGCTTAAATTCTTTTTTGGCTATGAAAAAAAGTACCAGTCTAAGGTGAAAAAGTGTGCATGAAATTATAAAACTATTCATTGAGTGATTTGCCTTGAACTAAAATATAATCAGTTCTGTTGTTACACCAGAGAGGAAGAAAGATTAGGAGCTGCTCTTTCTTATAACCATGTTGTTACTCCTCCTCTAACTATATTTTTCTCCTGTAACCTTCCTACTTGGCAGTTTTTATTGAAATAGTTCACACCTAGGTAAAGCTGAAGTATCACCGTCCTTCGTTGTAACTGTGCATCCCTGAATGTACTGAAGTTACTGCAAGAAGTCACTGTGCTGAAGACACTTATTCTCTCAGCATCTACTATCTTGGACTGAGATTCTGTAACCTGAGTTTCAAAAGTAATTGAGAAATGGAATCAAATGTATTTAGGCTAATAAAATCACCCAAAAGAAAAGAACTTTGTGAGTGTGACCACAGAAATATATTTTTATTAAAATTAATTGAATTCCTCATATTTTTAATGGCTACTAAACCTGTCCAGCTGCTCTCCATGGAAATGGATGCAATTCTTGGGCACTCAGTTTCATATAATTTATTAACATACTCTCAGCTGAACTATGGTACCAATTTCTGTCTACTTATTATGCATGTCCCATGACTGCAGTACTCAGTGACAGCCGAAAATGTAACTAAGGCAGTGCCACAATAACACTTCTAAAGTTACAAACTGTAAATTACCAGGTTTAGTTTGTGGTACTTCTGGCCAGACAGATGTTTTGGGTTTGGAAGGAATGAGCAGTGTTTCTTTTGGAGCTGAAAGAAAAGGAAAAAGACTATTATTGTGTTCTTCGGGAGTCATGATCCAATGCCATATTTAGCCCACAGAAAATGCATGCCTCAAATGCCTGAAAAAAAGACAATAACAATTCCATGGCTTTCTGGAACCTGAAACAAAATGACTATCCAAAACACAGAAAAGTCTCAGCAGTGTGCTGTAGGATAAGTTGAGTTAGTGGCTAAAATTCTTGGTCTAAAAGAAAAATTTGACATTAAATTTGGTTGGAGATCTGACAAATACAGATTTCTGACCAGACATAAGCTGTAGGCTATTTTTGCTTTACGTCTAAAGTAGAAATAAGAATCCTCTATACTAAGGTACATGCATGTGGTAGCAGAATGAAGGATAGTGAAATGGTGTTATATAAATCTGTGTTCTCTAGAAATTTCTCAATTGAAAAACTGGAAATACCTGCATCTTAACTTTAAGAAAACTTATTTACCCATTGTTGCCTTTGAATGCCCAGTAGTAGTAGAAGATTTTGTAATAATTGGTTGTGGAGTTGTCTGATGTATTGCTGTTAAAGAAAGAATGTGAAGAATCTTAGAATATTTATCTGTAATAGAAACAAATAGCACTTGTACTATTTCTAAAACTTGCAAAATGCCCCAAACTAAGGAGTAACAGATTACCTTGAAAATCAACTGCTGACAGATATAGTTATCTTTCTATTAACTTCTGCTATACATTCCCTTAATAACAAAAATGGGAAGCCACACAGCCCCTTCTAACTATTTTTAAAGCTAATTTTGTTCCAGTATAGAGTACAATGTAAGTTGCTAACTGTACAAGCACATTAGAAAGGAATTTTGTTGCGTTTTATGAAAAGAAAAAAAAAGTGCTCACAGAGAAGCATCCCTGACTACCAGGAAGTAATCAAAGAGAACTCAATCTATCTAGCCGCTGAAATTTGTCAATACCCACATTACTACATTTTAGTCATCATTTGCTATGTGTAATAGAAAGGAGAGAAAACATTTTTTATTTTATATTACATATCTTACTATTATTTTTAGTGTAATTTTGACATATTTTGGTTTGATTGTCTTAAGTGTAATGCATCTGCTTCAGCAAAAAACTGGCTATGAATAATTCTATTAAGAAGCACAAAATCTGAGGCTAAGGGAAAGAATGATTAAACACAAGCAGATAAAATTAAAAGAATGACTCCATTACCAGGTTTGGTGTGTGGCACTCTTGATTTTTCAGTTGTTTTTGGTCTGGTATGAATGAACTGTTTTTCAGTTGGAGCTGGAATAAAAACAAACAGCACCCAGAACAATAATTGAAAAAACACACTGCTTTCATAGCACACAAGGATCATAAGTACAATCTGATCTGTAATAAGGCAAATTATGGAAGGGTAAAGCTGAAAATCAATCAGTTGGGATTCCTGCAAAGAAAGGAAAACAAGTTAAATGGCCACTTACACAAACACACTTCTAGAAAAATATATATACAAATTTCTAGCTTTGCATCAAGTAGTGAAGAATATAGTCATGAACATCACACTGTGAAGTAATGGGACAAAACCAGACAGTAGTAGTCTACATCTTCCTCATCTGCCATACATGGGTATCTAAGGACAGGCTCTATTTTTCAGTGGGGACTTTGTATCAAACTTGATTTATAAATTAACTTTTTTGCTCTTATATGGGAATGATTTAATGTTGTTGTCTTCACACTCTAAAGTTTAAAATTCTTGTAAAAAAAAAAGTAGGAATCATTTACTGAAAGAGGTTATCTTGGCTGTTGCTAATTTGTGGTCCACACCAACATAAGAGGTCCCAAATGCCTTAGCCTGTGCATTCTTCATCCCCCTCCACAAAAAAGAAAAAACCCCATAGTTTTAAGCCAATAAATAGCTATTGCTATTTCATTAATGGTACCATTTCATTTTCAGAAAAGCAGGGTCAATATGTGCCTGAAACTGGGGACAGAGAACTGTTAGGAAAGATTGCTCAAGCAATACTTGCACTGCCCAATACTGCTTGGATTCAGTGACCCTTAATTGGCCCACATCCGAAATTCAGCTAAGAAGAAACAATAGTCAGTCAATGTTTCATATATTTAAGCAAGTTTCCCCAGCGTGGGTGACTAGAAGTCAGCAGAGTGGATGGTTTTAAGAATTAGACTAATATTAGATTTAGAGGGTCACCTAGCTGCTCTGTATACTTTATGCTATACTTGATACCTTATAATTTTCTTCTGTAAAATTATACCATGAAGAGTTGTGTTGGTTTCAGCTGGAAAAGTTAACTTTCTTCACAGTAGCTGGTACAGGGAGGTGTTCTGGATTTGTGCTGAGCATAGGGTTGATAATATAGAGATGTTTTTGTTGCTGTTGAGCAGTGCTTGCACAGAGCCAAGGCCTTTTCTGCTCTCTGTACATCCACGCTGGCGAGGAGACTGGGGGTGCATGGGGGTTAGGAGGAGACACAGAAGGGACAGGTGACCCAAACTGACCAAGGGGATCACAGAATCACAGAATAAGGGGAGTTGGAAGGCACCCACAAGGATCATTGAGTCCAACCCTTAGCCTGGCACAGGACCATCCCTGAGAGTCACACCATGTGCCTCAGAGTATCATCCAAACAGTTCTGGATATTCCAGGCCACACGACATCATGCTTAGTATATAAAGCTGGGGGGATGAAGGAGTAAGGGGAAGTTTGGAATGATGGTGTTTGTCTTCCCAAGTAGCTCTTACGTGTGATGGGGCCCTGCTCTCCTGGAGATGGCTGAAGCAGGTAAGAATGGTAAGCAGGGAATTAATTCTTTGTTTTTCTTTGCTTGTGTGTGTGGCTTTTGCTTCACCTATTAAACTGTCTTTATCTCAATCCACGAGTTTTCTAGCTTTTATCCTTCCAGTTCTCTCCCTGATCCTGCTGGTGGGGAAGTGAGCAGGTGGCTGGTGGGGGCTTAGTTGCTGGCTGCTGTTAAACAACAACAGGAGTGAAGTTGAAGAGTATTTTAGAATGACATTATCCATACTTCAGAAAAAGAAGTTACAAGAATTGCTACCTCTCTTTAAATAAAGTCCCCTTTTACTGGAAAATAGATAACGTGGAGGAATTGCATCATCCTGAGTAGAAGGGCTAGAAGATGAGGAAAAAAACCTTTGAAAGTAAATGGGCTCATGCACTATTACCCTTAGCACGACTAAAGAGTAAGTAAATATCTAGAAGCAGAGCAAAACTTCATTATTAGTTTTTAATAAAATGTAATGAGTTCTCTCTAAGATGATCTGCTCTAAAAAGAATGAAAAATAGAATAATTATTTATGAAATACACGATTACCCAATGTTGCCTTTGTTCTTTCAGGAATACGAGGAATCATAGTAGTGTCTGGTTCACCAAAAGTTGGAAAGATTTCTGTTGGAAAAAATGTCAATAAATTATCTGAATAATGAAGAGAATCTCCCTTTCCCTCCCACCTCCCTAAAAAAGTCTTTCAGCACTATACTGTATACACCAGGAAAGGGAACAGCAATGGGCATTACCCTCAGAAATTTATGGTTACGAAACAATAGTAACAACCCTTCAGTGAAATCACTGGTTATCACAGATCAGTCAGATGTATTGATGGGGAGTCACATAATCAAAATATAACTGAAGGGCATCCTCAGTCTAATCTGGACAGAAACGTGTATATAAAGAAAAAGTAATGCAACAACATTAAGAGGTTTCTCTCATAAGAGCTTCAAAAACATGGTGCAAACTACTGAAGTGTATTGCTCAGATGCAAGCTGTGGATAACTTGTAATCCTTGATTAAGGCATACATGCCACTACTATTTCTTCTGGTAATATCTGCATAAGATGAAAAAAAAACTTGAACTGCTGAAGTTGCCATCAGTAGGTAGGACTTAATTGCAGCACTGCAGAGGTTTCTTAAGCTAGAATGATACCTAGATAACAGCAAATGCACTGATGACAACTCACCCACCACCCACCCTCAAAGCAGTTGCTCAGTTATCAACCTTGGCAAAAGACCAGATAATTTACCAGGCTTCCTGTGTGGAGCATCTGGGATGGGAGTTGCTTTAGGTTTAAAGGGAATATATTGTGGTTCTTTAGAAGCTGGAAAGAAAGATCTGTTTTAGGGATTTATACTTTTCAGAAATTAGATAGGTTTATTTCACAGGCACTGCATGTGTCATGCTTGCTAACAAAAACAATCCCTGCATAAGAGACTGAAAAATCCAGTGTCAGATGCATACAGGAATTTAAAGAGAAAAGAAAATCATGAATGAAAACACGGGTGCAAAATTGATCAAGTAAGCAAAATCTGGTGTCAAGCAACAAAAACTGAAAGAACACAGACAAATACAGTGGACATGTTTCCACCTGTATTTCAAAGCTCATAACTGCAATACCCATGGCATGCTTGTCTCCTAAAAGCGTCAAAGTGTCACACAATATGTGTGACAGGGAAAGCAATTTTCTGTGAAGACAACAAAACAGCTAGAAATCTTTCAATACCTGGAACAGAGTAAAGTTCAATAAGTACAAAAGAAAACAAATCAAAACCACAAACAGATAATGTGAAAACCAGACTAATGATACGTAAGCATTGGTCCAAGGAGCAGGGAAGAAATAACCATGACCAGCTCAAGCTAACAAATTTACCTGTTGTTGTCTTTTTTTGTTCAACTGTAAATGTACTAGGTGCCAAAACTTCATAAAAAACATGATACACAGCATTAAGAGTACATATAAGCAAAAGGGTAAAAATACTCCCTTTTACATGACTGATTTATTTTCAATTTGGAACACATATTTTTTTCCAATAAATTACTTATTTATGAAATTAGTGAATATACATTCACTCAAAATAATGTTCAATTGATACTTTCAGAATCATTATGTGTTACAGAGGTTTGGCAGTTCATGGGTATGTAAATCCCTATTAAGTATATTTTAAGGGTCAAATTCTATTACCAGGTCACACAATCATATGAGTGGTTTGAGCTACAGCTCAAACATGAACCATACATAGTTTTCTCTAAGCACCTTTTGACAGGTACAAAAGAGATGCAACTTCTTCCAACTTCTTATAATGTTTGTGTGTTGTCTACCCTGCTATACAGATTATTCATCAGTGATAGCTGTCATGTGGCTGAAAAGCATAGATAATTCATCAAAAATCAGACTTTAAAAAGAGAAATCAGCTCTATCTTCCTTTAAACACCTATATAATAATCATTAGAAAATGTATTTGTAATATGAAGAGATGTTAATCAACATTTGATTCACTGAGGAAGGACAACTTAAAAGAAACACTGAATATTCAAGCACAACAAAACAACAATGTATTTACCAGGTTTTGTGTGTGGTACATCTGGAGCTGGTGATGCCCTGGGCTTGGAAGGGACTCGTCGACTTTCCTTTGGACCTGTGAAGCAGAGAAAAGTTTTGAATATGTTATTGAGGGTGATAATTCTTGGACCTGTGAAGATGAGCAAAGTTTTGAATATGTTCTTGAGGTTGATCATATGTCTTTAGATTATTCCTGACAGGAGATTAATTTTCTACTAAGAAATTTTTTAGAAATTACTTCTGGCATTTGAAAATAATCACAAAGATATCTCCTGTCAATGCAATGAATATTATGTCTGTGCAAAGACTAAAGTGATTTCTGTAGTGCAGTGTCAGATTCACTCTTCACTCTTCTCAGCAGTTTTGAACAGAACTTTCTGCAGAGTAAACTGCTATAGTTCTAACACTTCCTCTAATTGTGCTTCTCAAGTGTTTCATATTCCAAAAATCTACTGCTCATTTAAATCAACTTTGCATTAAAAAAATTCTACAGCAAAGCAGTCAAAGTAGAAGAAACATGGAAACTTACCAGTAATTTTCAAACAGACAGAACTATTTCCAAAGTTTTGGGAGCAGGAAAGTACTGTAATTTTACACTTGTAATTGAGTAACTGAAAAATACTTATACTTCTCTCACACTCTATGGAAATTAAGATGCAAATTTTTCTGTGTGCAAGGGTTCAAGGTGAGTGTTAACCCACACATCTCTATCATTTTATGTTATTGACATGTATAAATATATAGCTGATTATCTTGTTCCGTGACAGCTATATAGCAAAATTTGATTATGACAGTGGAACTCCTCAATTTTGAAAATTCTCAAACTGATGAAACTTTCATGCACTAAAGGGCAAAATATTGATAAGCTTACTTGCTCTAGTTGGAGGAACACGTGGACTGGGTGAAGTTTTAGGTTTGGAAGGCCCTGGACGTGTATCTTTAGGAGCTGAAAGAAAGAAACTGGGTTAAACATTACTAAAGTTTCCCAAGGTATCAGTGTCAACGACCACCCACAACAGTCAATAAAAACAAAACAAAGATTTGAACCAAAGGTATTTTTATGGAAGTGATTCAAAAGGGAGGTTTTTTTAACAAAGTCAGATTATAGTGAAAAGAAAAAGTCTTCTGTGACAAAACAACAACTAAGCATGAGATAGAATTACTGGTTCCATTTAAGAAGAGGATTTAAAAAATAAAAGAAGAAGAAAACAGAATAAGTAGCTTCAAATACAAAAGACACCACTGCTCTGTAATGGAGGTTGTCCTGGAATGATGCACAGTACCAGATTCAAGTGACAAAAAAGTCCTTAGTCAAACGGATCTGCCTCAAGCAATCGTGTGACCCAAGATCACTGAAGTAATTGTTTTCTGACAGTGAAACTGAGGTTTGAGTGAAATGGAATAATTTTTCAGTCCTCTATGATGGACTGAATTTCATTTCATAAACTAGAGAGGAAGGGAAGCAGAGAAAGCAAGCTTGCAGCTTGCAGCTCTGCAAATCTGCTCTACCCCAATCATATGACCAACAGAAACCATGCCTCCTCTACAGTATGACTGAGGACATATAGGTTAGGGTCCTGTTCTGATCTACCTTCTGCCTCTTATCATTAAATATTGAAGAAAATTGCCCTATGTTCTGTGTATAACAACTTGAAAGGAACAAGGGATTTCCTCAATTGTGCAGAAAATAAAAAAAGTAACAGAGAACCCTGACTGTTAAATTATTAAAGAACATGAAAAGAAAGGTGACAAATTTTTGTAGGTCTACTCTTAATGATTTGTGCTGAAGAAGAAAGAAAATATGACTACTCAAACAAGAAATCATCATTACCTATTGTTGACTTTGGTTTCTCAGTTCTAAACTTAATTGGTTCCAGAACTGTATTAGCAAAATAAAACAACAAAAACAAATATTACCAGGAACAATCAAGATATTACAATCACTGCCTCCACAATAATCATACCATCCCTGCTACAGCTGATGACAGATGGTCACTTGTCCCTGAAATTCAACACTTCAGAGTATTATGCTGCTCAGAATTGCCTCCAGTTCAAGGTAATAGCTCCAATACAGAACAGATCCCAAATATAAATCTGAAGCTTTTGTAAAAGCCACAAAGAGACTGTGGGTGGTTTTTCACCTTCATCTTTGTACACTTTCCTGACTTATTTCAAGAGGGTTTTGTTTCAAACAATAGCTGCAGACTTACTGGGGGGAAAAGGAGCCCAAGTTATCATCTCTCTGCCCATTTTTTTCAGCAATACCATCTAATACTGCATTTACTTTGGGTACCTGCACTGGGTCTGGGTGGGACAGAGTCTATTTTCTTCATAGCAGCCCCTGTGGTACTCTGTTTTAAATTCGTGACTAAGATGTGTTGCTAACATACCAGTGTTTTAGCTATTGCTGATTATGGCTTGTTCCAGCATCAAGGAGTTCTCTGTTTTTAACTCTGCCCCCAAGTAAGTAGGTTGGGGGTGGGTGCCAGGGGGGAACACATCCAGGACTGCTGAACCAAATTAACCAAAGGGATATTCCCCCTCGTATAATGTTATGCTTAGCCACAAAACTTTCCTAAAGGACCCATTGCTCCCAGATTGGCACTGGTCTCCTAGTGGGATGTGGTCGGTGGTATCACTTGGTTCCCCCACTCCTTTATTTATTCTTCACTTGTTAAACTGTCTTTATGTTGAGCTACAATTTTTTTTCTCCCTTCTGCTCCTCTAATTCTCTCCCCCAAACCACTGTGGGGTGGAATGAGAAAGTGGCTGGTTATGTGCTTAGTTGCTGGCTAGGGTCAACCCTCTACAATACCTCATGCAACAGCTAGTGTGAGTTGTATAACTTACTTTCTCCATCCTTAACTAAATAAAATGATACCCCTCCTTTTCATCTTCGCTTCACCAAAACAAGAAAATTCACACAGAAAAGACCTGTTTTCACTGAGAATTGTACAGAAAATACTCACTGTTGCAGTGAGTTAAAATGTAGCAAAGAACTGTAGACAGAGATTTTAAACTTACCAGGTTGCTTATAAATTCCACAATTTTATCACACAAGGAATATATGTGCAAGGGATACATATAAATCTGAAGCTCCACTGATCACAGTAGATTTCATAAGACACACATATCAGTATGAAAATGTAAAGAAACAATGTACTTGCCTGGTTTTGTTTGTGACATCTCTGAGCTTGGTGATGTTCGGGGTTTGGAAGGAACACGGTGTGGTTCCTTAGGGACTGAAAAAAGAAATAATTTCAAGAACTCATCCTGACAGAAGACATAATGTTAAAAAAGAATGTATGCCTTTGGGACCCTCTGGAAACATGAAAAACTTGAGTAATGGAGATATATGAAAGCTTGAAAGAGTGCTGATGGAGAACCTCTGTAACAGGATAGCATAAAGCAAGACCAGTATGGATGGACCAATATATAAGGTGAAGCAGCACATGACAGAATCTGAGTATAGAGACAAGTAGTCAAAGGTAGATTGTGGTGCTTCTGTCCACTTTACAGAATGCATTTGTGTGAAAAAAAACAACCAGAAAAGATGATTATTAATTGTTAGTATAAAATCATCAAAAAATCTCTTACAGGATGAAATTTAATAGCAAAAAATTATGATGGTGGAGTACAATGAATACTTGTGATGCTCAGCATACACTGAGAGAAAAGCTGAATGTGATGGTCCCCAAGTGATTTACGCTCTAGGTAAAACTGTTACCTATTGTTGGTTTTAGTTGATCAGTTCTAAATGTTATGGATTCCAGGACTGTATTGGAAACAAAACATAGAAGACATTTTGAAAATTGAAGAGAATAACTCCACTTACAATTAGTATTACTTGACTAGTAACTGCCTTCTGAATCATATACTATGTATACTGCCTCATAAAGAAACAGTTACCTTTAAAGAAGTCTCTGAGAAAGCAATGTAACCTGCAAGATAATGTGAGCTTTGTTCTCCCATGGGCCTCAGTGAGATATCCAAATATATAGCATTATGTCATTCAAAAATGGCTTTCTAGAGACACAAATATCTTCCTTTTGTGGTGTATTTCAGGTGCAGTTTATATATACAGTTGGAATCAGAGACTATTTGCTTGTTTACTGTATGCCATATTATTAAAGAGCACTATGGTGTATTGTTGTTGCACAGTCATATTATTCAGCTCTAAACTGGTATGGATCTAAAATAAAACTGCATGTTTAAGAGACATAAAGGTGTGAAATTGATGGTATCCCTCTCTGTGTCAGTTTTTCTTTATGAATTACAATAAAAAAGAAAAAAATTCTTTTGATCTTTTAAGATAAGTGATCACAAGGTAAGTGGATGATGCTATGGAAAAAGTTCTGTATATTATAGATTCTTGAAGAAACAGTAAGTTGTTGTGTTGGTTTTTTTGTTTTGTTTTGTTTTTTTAAACACAAAACAGTACAAGTTTGTAACATTTGTGTGACAAAACCATTAATCATTTTTGAGAAGGTCAGACTACCATAATAATGAAAAACGGCCACAGAGGTAAAAGCTGAGCTAATGAGAAGCTGCATTTTAAGGTGTAATTTGGAAACAATGTTTTATAATCAGCTGTCATGGTTAAAAAACTATGAGAGGACAAGGTTTTTTCTTTTGTTTTCTACAGGCGATAATCACATCTAAGAGATAACATCAGATTTAAAAAGAATATTGCTTCGTGTCTACAGTTTAAAGATCTTCATTAAATTCATTATCATTAAATTTTTCACATTTACCAAAAGATAACATATGTTAATATTTGATACCCTTGAAATTTTCTGTTGATATTACAAACTGGATAGCAGGGGACAGAAAGTAATTTTTCCTGCCTACTACTGAATTCAACTGCACTCACATCTCATGACCTAAAAATCCAGTATTTTGGAATACCAATTAAATGATCATTAATGCCAATAAATATAAACAAACACTAACTATGTACTGGGCAATTTCTCATGCAGAAAATAAAAATGTCATGAAATTAAGTAATTGTTACTTAAAAAGGAAACATAACATATTTATTCTAACAGTGCAAAGCAGTGTGGGAAATAATTGTACCACCCAAGTAGCCACAGTGCATACATTAACTGCTTGGTATTTGCTTCAGTTAGCACAGTTAATCTGAGCGTAACAAAATTATTCTCATCCTGTTGCCCTGAAGTAACAGAGATTTATTCTTTTGCATGATGAAAAATACCTAGCAAATAAACTGCAAATAAATTGCTGAGCACAGCAGAACAGAACCCCATTATGTTTTAACTGGCTCAGGTAACTAAACAGCTGCTCAGAAATACATTTCAATCCAATATAAACTGAATCAGAAATAATCACAAAGCAGTTTACCATCTTTGGCTTGTGGGATATGAGGTTTGGGTGAAGTTTTAGGTTTGGAAGGAACACGTTGAGTCTCCCTTGGAGCTGGAAGAGAAAATGTGCGTAATAAGTTGGTTAAATTGCACAGCAATTTAACAAATCTGATACCAGATGAACATACAAGCACAGAAACCTCACACCTGCAACCAAGAAGTCTCCTTGTAGGAATAGGAAAGTCAGGTAATACTCTCCATGTGTTTACAACAGTCTAAACAGGAAAGTGGAAGTTTAGTAATTTTTGAAGCTTAGTTGTTTGTTGGGTTTTTGTTTTGTTTTGTTTTCATAAAAACTGGAACAAACACAAACAAGCATAATTATGAGAAAGGTGATTGAGAGCTGCCAGAATAATTTTCTTAAAAACCAGGCAATATTCCAGCTGTGAAGAGAGCAATAAGCCCAATAGTCGTGAATGCCAAGCAAGAGAATTACCTAGAAGGAAAATGAAGTTAAATGAAACAATCCTAAGGCATAAGGTGATTAACTTCAGTGATGCTTTCTGTGATGGAAAAAAGCAGACATGACAGCTGGCCAAGGAAATATCATTACCTATCGTTGGCCTTGGGGGTTCAATTCTAATAGGATCCAAGACTGCAACAGAAACAGTGTGACAAAGTAAATGCAGAATATACTCCGAAAACCTAAAATTACTACACCGATACATATAAAAGCAGGTGCTAATACAACATCACGGTAATGTGGATCTTCAAACTAACTGTTACTTTTTAAAACCATGGGCAATTAAAGTTCCTAATAATACAGGTTAAATAAGAAATATATAATTGGGCAAACTTGATGGCAACAGAAGCAAAAATATGAGGATAGAAATCAGTGAATCTTAGAACAAGCAAGAGAAGTGATCACGGAGTTTAACCCAGAGAGGAACTCTTGATATAAAAAATGTCAGGAATCTCCAAATTGAAGTCTGTTACTAATTGAAAGTAGCATGCTGACCATGACAAGACAGTTGAATTTTTCCTCTAAGGTAAGCAATTAAGCAGAGGACTAAAAGGCTGCTATTGGTACAGCTATACTTAATAATTATCTGAAAAAACTTATTTTGGTAAAACCTCTTAGTTTTTCTTCATTAGAGCCGCTTACAATTTGGATAACAAAATTGATATATCATGTCCTTTTCCTCCTCATAAACTATGCCAAATGTGGGAAAAAAATTATGAAATGGCAGAGTCTATAAAAATTTCCTGGCAGTAAAGAAAATACATTAAAATAATATTAATGCATAAACTCTCCCCTCTCAAGGCATTAACAAATAAAACTATAAAACTTTGATTGCAATTGGTGCTTTTCATACTACCTCTTAGAAGACATCTCCATGCTAGAAACATTGAGAAGTAATAAAGCATCAAGATTACACTTCCATTTGTTTGGGTTTGGACCACATATGAATAAGCAAGAAGCCTACAGGAAATGGTGCTTTCAACTGCACATATTATTAGACCAGTGAAAAGAAGAATGACTAAAGATGACTCATAATCATTACCCTCTGCAGTCTTTGGACGTTCATATGTGTAGGGACTCCTAGTAGTGACTGACACTGGAATGGTTGCTGCTGGAATAAAGAGAATTTTCTTGAGAGAAATACAGGTGCACCTATATCTATTTTTCAGCTGCTGGCATGGCTCAGCTGCTCTTGCTTCCCAGTCAAAATTCACCTCCTCCCAACTATTCTGAAACACTGAGTAAACGATAAATTTACCGAATGTTCATAACTACCCTGTGTGACTTTTGTGGCTCTTAAAAATTCAAAAGTGCATTTATGCTACAGGAACACAACAGCAGAGGACCTCTCTAAATCTTCATCTTCCTGTTCTACTAAAGTTTTTTTCTCCTTCTCTTTATGGCTGTAGGCCACTAAAGAGAAACAGTGGCAGAGAAATCCTTTTTCTTTGGTAAATCTTTCTATTAATTTTCCCGAGTTTCTTCCATAGTGATGCCTTTGCATATTAGATGTGAAAGACTTCAGGTGTAAATAACTGTAAAGTCACAGAAGGCAAGGCTGAAGATCCCAGTAGATTAACTAGTGCCACAGCACGTTAGATAATCAAGTTAACAAGTTTCCTGACTCTATCTACAGTACTTAATTAGGTTTGAAAGGGATGAACTCCAAAGACTGAAAAATATAAGGATCTTTGAAGACAAAGTTTGTAGAATTATTTAGTATTAGCATGGTTTTATAACTGGAGCCCATTTTCATTCCTAAATACATCTATGGTCATTAAGTAACCTCTGTTCTTATCCAAACCTACAAACTTTACTTCACTTTTTTACTCTGCTTTGACTCTTCTCAGTCTATCTTCTTTTACCTATACTTGCACGACACATATTTTAATTAGGAAAGAAAAAGTGATTGGTGAATGTTGTACAATGTGCCCAAAATTATATTTTTGGACATACTGGTGACTTGTCATGATGAAATTCACAAGCATTTCAAGACTCACAAGTACACTTATTTCAAGGAAATCACCTTAAAATACAATAAAACCTGAGACCCTCTAAAACTCTGTCAGTTTAGATACAAAATTACTTTAAATAATTTAAAAGCCTCTATTTCCATGCATGAAGGTTTGTGGTGAGGGGATTATGTCTGGGAGGATTCTGTTTAAGTGAAAAAGACTGAATTATTTCAGAATTTTAATTTTCCCCTCATTTATTTGCTGACATTTTTAAACAGTTAATGGTTGATGTATTTGATACTATTGCCACTACTCTAAGAAAGCAAAATATTCCAAAATTTCTTCAAGACAAATAATTTAAGTAAAGTAGTTTCCCAGAGAGGTTGTGGGATCTCAGTCCCTGGAGAGACTGAAAAACTTTTCCAGAAAGAAAATGTTGCAGTGCAGTTGGGTGCATGACAGAAAATTCATTATCATTTCCTGTTCTGAAAAATGGAGAACTTAGTATGTTTAGATAGAGGTGTTCATGCTAACAATAGTATAGGTGAGGACAGTGGCTGGGCGTGATCCCATTGGCAACAAAAACTCTTTTTCATCCAGGTAATAGATTCAATTACCCAAATATCAAGAAAAAGAATGGAGTTGTGAACTTCCACTAGAATGTATAGTTTGTTGTTTGGAAGGATTGAAAATTGTGTCTATGTTTGGGGGTTTTCAAATGAAGTTTTTTTCTCTACTGAAAATCAGAAACTGCACAAAAGACGTATTAAAAATGAGAGCCAAAATTAACTTTCAGGATCTCTGTTTGACCCAAAGTGGGTCATTAGTAAGTCCCTGATCAAGTATGAATTTGTCACATATTCTTCATTACTTTGATTCACTGTTAAGGAAAGCTGACAACGACTGTCATGACACAAGTTTCTAATTTAGTCTGAACTCTGAAGTGAGCAGGAACATCCTGCTCTTTGACCATTTTGCCACCCACCCAAAAGCCAGGTTCTGCCCATGCATATTTTATGCCTCAAATAATATCTTCTGAACAAGAATATCATCATTTGTCACATCAGAATACATGCCAATTTCCCAATTACCTACCTACAGGAAAATCCTTACAAGCTTTATTGTGATTAAAAAGTGTGTATTAGGATTCCACCTGGTTGGTGAGTGAAACCACCAACAGGGAAAGGACAAGGAAGAGACGAGTACAAACACAGAATCATGACACTTTTTTTGGAGTCATATAGAAACTTGTTATATAGCTATTCAGTGTGGAAACATCAGCATAAAATCTTGATCTTGTCAGTCCAAGGGTGTAAAATAATTTCATGCAACAGTTTTCAAATGAGTTGTTTTTTTTTTCTCTGTTGTTTTAAAAAACAACATGCTGGATTCAGATCTATATTCAAACATAGGCATTTACAGCAGAGACAAAAGTAATTATTCTTGTAATAAAACACTGGACTTCCTACACTAAAAATTATGTAGCAGCTGTAATCAGCATGAAAAACTAATTATACACACCACTTTGAGACAGTTCCAAGTCATAAGTACCATTCAGTTAACAAGCTTCCCAGGGAATAATTTGGTCTGAAGAGAGTAATTTCTTTTTACGAGCAAAAAATAATTTGCAGGGAATCTGGAAAGAATTTAATGAAATTGTCTGATCTCTTCCAGCATTAAGTGAGACATTCTTACAATAAACAGTTGTGCAATTTTAAGCTTTTTAACTTCATTATAAACCATGTAACATTATAAATATTTGTGTAACTTTATTTACTTATTCTCCAGGTCCAGAAAATGCCAGGTGTATTTTGTTCTCTGCCATATATCATAGACCAAATTCAACCCCAGTGTGAAGGTGCTATTTGAGATCATAGAATATGCCCTTAGTAAATTCCAGAATAGAATTCCACTCTTATTTCCACAGTTTCAGTTAAGTCTACATATGCATTAATGACCACTGAATCAATAAAAATCCTACTGTTCTATGTAAGATGCTATAACCATCAGCAAAGCAGGAACATTTACATGTTCCGGACTCTATGCTGAACTAAGTTGGAAAATTTGTGAATTTGAAATGAAAAGCAGGAAAACAACTTGTATCAATGCCGGGCTGTGCGAGTTGGTGATTTAGGATACAAAAGTTAAAAGTTTTCTTGGTTTGCTTCTTTTTTCTTTCCTTTTTGGATTCAATACAAAAATATTATTCGTCAAAGAGGAATTCCTCATCTTTCTGATGATTAAGTGCCAAACTTCACACAGAATAAATTTAAGCTAAAATGCACTACTTAAGTGATAAACTATAACAAAGGATGGCTATGGAAGTGAGTTACCAGGCTTAGTTCGTGGCTTTTTGGGTCTGGTAGATGGTCTAGGTTTAGATGCAGAAGGTGTGAGTTTTGCTTCTTTAGGAGCTGAAAGAAATATACTGGATTATAAGTTTATCCTTTCCACTTTATCACATAAAAATGAGAAGGGCAACAAATGGCTACTAGGAACAAGAGCAAATGGTAAAATCAGATATGCCAAGAGGGTTTCTCAAAAACCTTCCTAAGCCTTCACTACCCCAGCAAAATCCCTGCTTGTTCTTCACTGCAAAATTAAGTAGATTTAAAATATGTAATTGTAGCTTGCAATCAGATTCTAATGTTCCTCTCATTAAGTTAGCAAATTCATTTTTGCAAGATACCTAAGACGTAAAACAATAGTCCTTTTTATCCTTCTGAATTCCAAGTCAATTTAAAGCCTTCAGAAGACATAAATAGACAAAATATGCAAAAATGTCCTCAATTTTCAGCACTATAAAGAAATTACTGGCAGGCAGCTGAAAGAACATGGAATCAATAATAAAAAACAGAATTGCTCCATAACTGTAGTCATTGAATTCTGCTAATAAAATAGAAGTAGCATCATGTAAATAGTAAAAATTAAGAACAACCAGTCCTAGAAACCTTTTTCCCCCTAAACATGCATGGGCTGGAACTATAATTCACTAATCTGACTGTTTGTCTGACCTCGGATGAACAGTTTTGGGCAGTGTAGGCAGCAATTTTGTTCATCTTTAAAAAGCTGCACTCTGAGACTGCTTCATAGCAGTAGACACAGTGGAAAAGTGTTTGACATTTACAGTGAGACATGAAGTGACTGAGAGGTGTTTTTCAAGCCAAAATGACATTCAGAAGGATTTATAAAACAGTAGAATTAACACATTCACCTAGTGCCACAGGAATCCTTCATTGAGTGTTCTAGGATTAGTACCCACAATATTACCCTTGCACTTGGCTTTTCAATTGTATTTCCAAGGGGTTTGTGATTATTTTTGAGGGTAAAGAGTGTTGGTGTAGAAAAACTCCCAATAAAATGGAACACAATTCTGATTCCCAAAATTTTACTGTACCACAGAACTAGAGAAAATGTATGGGGAAAAAAATGGTTTCTTCTTCTCCTAAGCTTAGAAAAACAATTCGGAATGCTTATCTCCTAACTTTTTCCCTCTTTTAGAGAAATGGATTAAATACAGTACAAGCTATGAGATGAAGTAGCAGAGTCCAGACGGTGGTTTGGACTGCAAAGAAGAATGACCAACAGCTACAGAAACATGTATTACCTAGTGTTGCTCTTGGTTGCTCAACAGTCTGAGAAGTTTTAGGCTTCAAAAGTGGTGGTTTAGGAGCTAGAAAAGAAAAATTCGAGTGTAATCGAACCAATCAGTAGATGTATTAGCAGGAAGCCAAGAGGGTTATAATTCCAACAGTTCAGGGGAGTTGTTTTTTAAACAGTCTGGAGAAGCCTCACTCTTATGTGTAAGACTCTACACTCCTTTTAGTTTTGTTTCCTATGAAATTGCACACTGTATGCTTGTGGCTATGTGTGAGTCTGTTTCTAAGGCTCCTTCCCCATTTTTATGTTCTCAGGACATTTTCATCTGTTATTGGATTCAATTAGCAAATAGATTTACGTTATGGGAGAACAGTGAGAAAGGATGGATGAGGTTTTTGACTGAAGAAAAGAATGTGGTCCATATCAAATACCAGAGAATCTATGTGAAAGAGGAAACTTCTAAATACCAAATTCTTTCTGAAATGTTAAATGAGTACCTACAGTAAATTGTAAGAGAGGTATAAGACAACAAAGACAGCTCCTGCTTTTTACTGACCTGTCTGTTTATAAGACATGAGAACAGAAACATTTTAGGGCTCTAGTAATCCACACTGTAATACTTATTGTCCAGCACCTGAATCACTAAAGGAGGCAAATTAATTTCTCTTAATGCCAAATAATTTCATGTGTATATGAAAGTTTTTCTTCTACTTTGAGAAAGATCTCCTGTTTCCACTAAAATGGCAATGCTTTTCATTGGGTTCTCTACAGAAGGATTACTGATCACATGAGCAGTACTTTACTTTCAATCAACAAACTCTTTGGACTAGGAAAGATGTCATCTTTGCCATAGTATGTCTGTGGGAGATGGGGATTGGCAAGGGAGATTATAGAAATAATAATAACACATGTTGCTCATACAAGGGATATTTTCTCATTCCAGTCCTTTAGAAAGGTTGCAGGACTAGAGAACTTGTTTATGTTTTTATCACTGGACCCAAATGCATAAAACTGATGAGTTTAACTCTCATTCCTTATGTTAGGCAATATCAAATGATCAATTTTAGAATGATGAGCTAATCAGGATGCTTATGTACTGCATAGCTCCTATTGCTTTTACAAGTTTCACTTAGATATTTTTAGTGAACACATCTCTCTGCATACCAACTTATAAAAATGGTGCACGCAATTACCAGGTTTCACATCCTGTACTTCTGGGGTAGCAGATGGTTTCAGTTTAGAAGGAATAAGTGGTAGTATTTCTTTTGGAGCTGAAAGAAAGAGCTCAGTTTGCAATCAAAAATTGTTTAACAAGCATTTCCCATAACAAACAGCACATGTCACAAGTTTATATTGAAGAAAAGACAACTTAGTATGGAATGTCAAAGCTAGCTTGATGAAATAGGATTTTAAAATGTGGAATGGAGATGATACTGAAATGTTGTGCATTGATCAGAAATAAGATTGTGTGACTCCAAAACAATAAAAATTTCCATTTTGAAAGCTTTACAGACACAATCAGCACATGCGTGTGCATTGGGAGAAAAAGAGATAGACAGAACACTCATAAGAGGATGACGGTGTTTTGTCATGCAAGAGGTAAGTTTTACTTCTCTGAGACAGTAAAACCATCCAGAACTATGTTCTCATAAACAAATATGTCAAGAACAATCAGTCTAATGAAAATGGAAGGACAAGACTCTCTAACCAGGAAAAAGAATGTTTATGCATGTGAGACGATGTGCTAGAAGAAATGCATTCAAATGGGATGAAGTGCTCAAAACAAACACAGAGTTTTTCACTGGGTGAAAACAACATTACCTAATGTTACCCTTGGCCATTGAAAAGGACGAGAAGTTTTAGGTGTGAAAGATTCCAGAATGGATTCACTTGTTGCTGCTGGAAGAAATTATGACAGTCATAAGAGAGCAAAGAGCTAATGGAAGAAACTCTTCTTTCATAAGCAAAAACAAATTTGTTTTTACAAGAACAACAAATATTTAACTAATGCTTGGACAGTTAAGTATCTATTAGGGAGAAACTCAGAGCTGCACAGAGCTTCAGTCACTATAAATTGGCACATTTTTGATGGATATTTATTTCCTCCTGCCGTTATTACAACTGCTCTGGATCTCAACCACTGCTGAGTAAGATTTTAAGCAGAGCTCTTGAACATTTTGGGTTTTGGTGCAATACTCAAGGGAGGTGATGTTGTGTAAAATGCAGGAATTTATTGAAGAGGACATGTTAAACAATTTGTCAGGCATTAAAACATACAGCATTTGGAGAAGAAAGCTGACAGCTGATCCAACCATGGCTTCAGTCCAAAAGCATCAAGTATCTGTGACTGTTAACCAATTTCATGCTGTTAAGAATACACTATCCTTAATCTTTTTAACAAGGCTGCAACAATAAAATGCAGCCTGCAGCTCACATCACAGTGTTTTCATCATAACTACATACAAATACTGTTTCTCAGTTATCTATGTGGCATATCTTTCAAAATACTGAAAGAGACTCATGTGATTATGAGTTGTCACAAGCATAGTAACTGTGAGAAAGCACTAATTTCAAATGCCAGCAGGAACATACTTTCAAAATTCAGGTGTTAGAGGCTAATACAAACATGCACTGAAAGTGCTATCAGTGTACTCATTTCAGTCAGTTTTAGAGCATGATTTGAGCTACTGAACTAAGAACTAGGTATAGAGATTATTGTACCTGGTCCAGGACCTGCTATTTCAGGCTTACTAGGTGTCACAGGGCTTGAAAAAACAGGTTGAATATCACTGAAAACTATAAAAAAACAGTAATCACAATAATCTCTGATTATTAATTCTGCACATAGCTTTTTTAGTTATAGAAGAACAACAAAAATGTTAAAGGCTATACCTAATTTGCAATGCAAAGGTCCACCCACCATAAACATGTGTTACCTCAGCAATGGAGCAGTGTTGGTTTAATGTGTGAGCTGAAGCTAGCTGTTAAAATGAGAGCTAAAACTAAATTGTCAGTTAGTTAAAGTTCATATTACTTTAGACAGCATGGCCTATGTATTTTGAAGCAGCCCAAAAAATATGAAGATAAAAGAACTTCTAATGCCGTGCTTATACAGATAAAACACTCCAAAAAAGGCAGCCCTACAAACATATTTCTGTGGGGGAAAAAAAGACTGCCTTAATTCTTTTCAGTGTTTTATTTTCTGTCAGTACTTTGTACTTTGTTAACGAATTTTAATGTCATATAATCTATGTACATATACACACATGAAAAACAAGGGTAAAATAAAGTTAAAAGAAGTCACTGAACAGAAAAAAATAGTTAGAAAGAAGCTTCCCATGCTGACAAAACAATATATAGTATATAAATGTGTTCTACCTAAGTGTATAACGATTAAGCTTGTAAGAAAAAAACCAAGTAATTTAAAGATTCTTATTAAAATTTAGTAATTATTATTAGTAGTAGTAGTAATAGTAGTAGTAGTATTAAATCAAGATTACTTCATGTAAGTATATCCCAAAGTAGCCCTAGTAGCTTTTTGAGAAACAAATGTGAGATCAGAAACACTATCAAATAAGTTTCTCAGCAGTAAGGACAAGTTGTCATGTAAAAATAAGTACTTTGTCTGTCTACACTAATGATCATGACTCAAGCAGAAGACAATACGGAAAATGACCAAAATATCTAGGATTAATAAGATTTCAAAAATTGCTGTCAAAACATCAAAAGGAGTTTAATGGAAAAGCTAATGCGTTACTGTTACCCGTAGTTGTTGTTAACACGTGAGGTGTTCTGGAAAGTGAAGGCATAGATTTTTCCAGGTCAGCTGAACTTGTAGCTGCAGAAAAATGTAAATACCCCTGAGACAGATTCATATGATGTAGATACATGAAAGGGGGGGAGGAATCAGAAAGATTGTTTTACATTGCTCTGCAAGATGCCAACACCACTACAATAAATTCACGAGATTTCCAGCTTGAAAAGAGAGGAACAAAACCTCAAAGTTTTGAAGATGTCGCATGCACCTAAAAGACACACCCTGCAGAAACTGCAGTCTCCCTAAAGCAGACATCAAGAGGAGTCAATTGGTCTATCTGTGCACATGTAACAGGAAAACCCTGTGCTTTTGACTTCACCTGCACCAAGAGACCTACATACTTTAAATACAAACAAATATGAATTTCTACAACCAGGTATTTCTATTGCCAAAGCTTTGCTTGTTTCGATACAGCAGATGTCAGTATTTTGAGTTACAGATTTTAATATATCATGCAATTTGTCATTTGTGATATTTTATCTAATTGACATAATATAAATTAACACAACTATTGTGATAGAGTCATACAGTGAGGCAGCAAATCCAAAACAATACTGCTGGAATACTAACTTCCAGGTTTAGGATAATTCTCCTTCTCATCTCTCACTATGAATACAAATTTAATCTTGAATACCTATAACCCCAGTAAGAAAAGTTCAGAAGTGAAATAACAACATAACTTGAAAGAAATGTTTAGAAATAGAGAAAACTGCAAAATAATCTGTACTATGCAGTTAACTGAAAATACCTTATGGCAAAATATCCAAGTTAAGAATATATCTTCATAACTGATAATTAATCCATTTAGCTATTGGTCCTTATATTCAAGAGATTAAAACAACACCAAATAATATTAAATGCTGTGGTTACTATTTATTTAATCCTATGCCACAGAATATCACCAGGTAGTTATAGAGCCTAACTATCAGACACTGAGACAAAATTCCACTTCAGACAACACTAAGCAATGAGAGCAAACAGCCTCTAACTGTAAAATCCTTGATGCAAAACCAAATACTAAGTTATGGAAGTATCATAAATATGATTTACCAGTCTCTATTTTTGATATTTCTGCAGATGCAGATGTTTGGGACAGGAAAGTAATATGATTAGAGTCCAGTGAAGCTGGAAAAAAAAAACAACAACACAACCAAAACAAAACATTCTTTTTGGCATCATCTAAACATATAGACTGAACAGATTTCAACATGTTACTAAGAAACTAGGACATGAGAGAAGAAAATGTCTCAAATGCACATGCAATGGATTTTCTAATGTAAATGTGTGAAGATGCACTGCTGATGCAAAAAATGAAGAAGCAGTTACAAGAAATATGAAGAAGACATCACATTACAAGAAATGTGAAACTGCCATATCCAATGCCTGAAGTAACATATGACTCTTTCATCTCTACGCTTACACTTTTCTCCAGTGTAGGTCCCAAGAGAAATAAGTTTGACTAAAAGCACAAGATCTCTTGGGACAATTCCCATCTTGCATCATTACCAGACCTGCAAGAAATATCATTACCACCAAACACTGCTGGTGTCTTGAACCTTGAAGAAACATGCCATGGTTCACCAAAAGCTGAAAAGAGGCATCGAGCTTAAAACCCTAACATGACCTCAAAAGCAGCAGCAGAGCAGAGTGTTCCCATGCCCAGGTGATGTCAATGTAAAGCCATGGGCAGAAGACAACCAGCCACCTTGAAAGTCAGTGAGGAAGCAACAAACGGCTGCACCCTTGGACCAGGACTCCCTGAAGGGTGGTTGAACTGCTGTGCTGTCCTCTTGTGCCAGCCCCGATGGGATTTGCCTCTGAAAAATGCTGTCATATTGGAACAGAGAAGGCAAGACCCGCTCCCAACACACAAAGAAGCAGAGGGATGGAGCTGAAGGCAAGGTGCAATCACGTGGTCTCTCTGCAAGATGTCACATGCTTCCTGCAGAAAATACTTGTCAGCAATGGAAAAAGCATGGGATCAAACAGCAGAATTGCAGAACCAGTGTGGTGAGTGCTTCAGCAAGCCAAGCTGCACCAACAGGTCTTCATCTTGTCCATGGGAGACGAGAAGGATGCCAGGTGGTTTGGGGTGAGAGGCGTGATGGGGAGCAAGGGAGATGGCAGACAATGGAAAAAGAAGAGGTTTGCTAGTTACCCATCACAGTTTGCTTGGTTGCCAGGGAGGAAGGAGTGGTGGACTTCAGCCTTGGTCTTCGAGTAGCTAAGATCAAACACAAAAACCATCTTCAGGTCCTCAGACAGGCTGCTGTTGTAGGGTCATATCAAGACAGAGCTACAGAAAAGGAGACATGGTCCTGCTTGGGCCAGGCTCCCCTGTCACAGCATCAATCTCTGCAGTAGCAGGATGCTGTCTTTCAATTGGCAGAGGTAGCCCAAGATGTCAGAGGAAACCTAGAAATGGAACCCCAGAAAAGGCCACAGAAAGCTCACATGTGTAACAATTTCTAATAAGGAGCCATGGAGGTCCAACCACATCATTGACCCCACTTCTCAGGACATCGACACATCAGAACAGGCTCACCACTGTAGGGAAAAGCATTGCCAAAGTGAGGAAGGAAGGAAGGGAATGGTTGGCTATTTACCCATCCTTGTGGTTTCTGGTGAAGCAGACAAGGTCGATTCCAGGGCTGGTCTCTTGGGTGCTACAGTCAGACATGGAAATGATCTTGAGATATCCACTGAGCCTTGCCACAGCAGTACAAGCAGCATCAGTTCCCAGCCCCCAGATATCTGTATTTAGGGCCACACATGCTTTTCCCTGGCATTACCTTGTGACTCAGTGATCAAATCAAGAGTCAACTGTCTTGTTGTGGTTGCAAGTACCACAATAGTCCTTGAACCTCAGTAACTAAATTGCTCTCCATCAGCATAAAAATTCCTAAGTGTCTAATTCACCCAACCCCTCCTTACGTTTCCTTGAAAGATGCTGAAACAACCGTAATTGCAGAGAGAACAACGGAGTTAGGACTCATCTTAGAATTTGAAATTCAACATGACATGTTCTGGGCATGTCCCCAATGCAAGCAACTGCAAATACTAATTAATAATTAGTAATTATTCTAGCATGAAGGAAGAAACTGCACATTATACTATCAATATCCAGTCATAAGTCCAACCCTTCTTAAAAGTTCAATAATTTTTGCAAATAGGTAATTTCTTACTGTTTTCACTACTATTATTGTTTTTACATAGAATAGACCTCACATGAAAGGCCTCTCCACTCCCCGTGGTATATGATAATTCTTGTTCTTCTTTACAATTAGTACCTGAGCCAATGATTAACATGCCTGTTCATCAAGCTTGAACTTCAGTGCTCATCAAATAAGGAAAAATTAACTTATGTACTCTAAGGAATCCATAAGACATCTATACCACATTAGTAAGAGGAAGTAAAATTATGTTTCTACCATATTGGAATATTTAGTTCTAGAAAGAATTTTCAAAATAAAAACTTCACCTAGAGACACACAGGAATTTTATGACAAATTCTTTTTGTCACCGGTCCCTTCAAAACTGATTTTTCAAGTGATGGAAAAAAGCATTGGTTCAAACATCATAATTATCATGAGTAAGGCAAATGTTTTATAGTGCGTTAACAAACCTAGGTATTGCTCAAAGCAGATGAAAATGATGTCAAGTGACGGCACAGAAAAAGCAAATAAATGAAAATATAATATTTACCCTCCACTGTTCCTTGCCTTGCAAAGTGAGGGGAAGTAGGTTTCAGCTTTGGTCTCTGAGTAACTAAGATTAAATCAGAAAACTGCCTTCAGAAAATAGAGACAAACACTTTTTTTCGAAGCAATGTTAGTACAGAGTTTTAGATGAATCAAGCCTATATTACATTCAGGGTTTTTTTATATAACTATTTGCATTCATTACAGGATTATTCCATTTTTAAATCTGGGTGGTTTAGTTGAGTTAGTCTGTAGAATACAGACTACAGAATACAGTTAATCTAGTGAACTAAGCCTATAGAGCAAAAAATTATGAAAAGTGATCACGAATCTTAAAAATTAAGTGTCTCGTTATATTTTATATAAATGACTGATCATCCTGCTGACATATTTGACATTGCCACTACCAGGAAAAAAAATTGAAATGTGTTGACTACATTTTAAAATACAGCTTTTCATATTTAAGTATTTCAAAGTGATAGCAATTATGATGGAATCACTGTTTACCCTTCACTGTCCTCGTGGTTTTCAGGAATGGAAAAGTTGTGGGCTCCAGGACTGGTCTTGGGAGAGCTAAGATTAGAGATGGAAACTATCTTGAGATGTGAGGGCAATCTCTTTATGCGTATGAAAGCATTGCTTTAATCACATCCAAATAAATCAATATTTATTTGGGTATACTCTTTCTACCAAATAAATCGTACATCTGTTTTTTTGTCACTCTCTATTATCAAAAAAGCACCCAACCACTAGTTAAACACTACCCCTATTGCACACTATTGGCAGTCATGATGCTTCAGAGCTGCCTTTTAACAGCAGTAACTGACAGACTCCAAAATCCATTTTCAGGCAGCAAACAACTACATTCAAACTATATATTGAAAAGTAGTCAATGAATATGCAGCCAGAATGTGCATCGAAGATACTGTCAAGTTTTGGATATATATTTAATCTAAAAAAGAATTAACTAGCACTGATTATTATATACGTCACTACACTTAAAAACCTGAACTTTGAGTCTAAAAAAATACACGCCTGGGAAAAAAAAAGCGGAAACAATAGCTTCTCTGCTGAAAAATGAATTAAGGTGAACTTAAAAAGGATTTCCTTCAAGAGATGAGCCAACTGGTAGGCGAAAAAAAACTTGTGCTTTCTTAACTAAAATCTGTAAGAATCTCTAATAGACCAGCAGTTCCTTAATTTACAGGAGTTTACAAGTTTTCATCCTGAAATGGTATGAAAGACTTCGAACAGACAGAATTTCATATCCACGCTGTAAGACAAGTATAAGCTAAAAGTCACATCTATTTCCAGTTATCAGTGAGCAGATATGTAAACGAGAACAGTGAAATGCAAAGATCATAATAAAAATCCCTTTTCTTGCATAGGAATATATTATTGAAAAATACAGAGTATCTCATTAAAGAATACAGCAAATTCTTAACCCAAGCAGTGATAGGTCAAACAGGTTACCTCAGAAAGTGGAATCGAAATTTTAAAATTGCCATCACACTTGCAAGAACATGGGAAAAGTAGAAGAGTGTAAATTTGATGGACCAAAAAAGAGAAAATTATGAACATGGAATTCTTGTTCTTATTAGACTCCTACACTCTCAGCAAATAAAATCCTTCAAAAATGAATCCAAGGTTTGTAGGGTAGATTAATAGGGGATCTATTGAAAGAGTTTCCAAAATTTCTCCCTTTCAAAGATGCATTTGACTACACTCTTCTCTGTGGCTCTGTGCTGTTTACTGTCCTCTCCATCTTAATTTTGTTTGCTGAAAAATGGGAATAACAAGAGTTCCACAAATATGTTTTCTGAATTACCTAGCCAAAGTTTGCACCTTTACTAACACTGATTTGAAGAAGTGTTAAACACAGCAATTAATATGACAAATATAAAAGGCAGTACCTAGCTGTTAGTGTTCAGGGGAATACTATAGAACCTTTACAAACATCTATAGAGGTTTGCAGCAGAAGACAAGATTCAGACCAATAGAATAAAATGAGAGTTCCTGTGTTCAGCATTAAATGTGTCCTATAGAGGAAAAAAATATTAAAGAAGCTGGTTTGATTCTTTAGGAAACATGCAGAAAGCTGACAAACCTTTTATCTCCCCAGATAAAAAAATTATTCCTTTTTTCTCCTAGACATATCTGGACTATCAAGGTCTCAAACTACCTAAAGAATTCCTGGACTTGGGTTTGCAGTTTTCACTGTGCTATCTTTGATCTCTGTAATAAGAATTTTGTCACTGCACCACAGCTAGGGAGTCCTCCTCCACTAGAAATATACTTGAATATTCTACGAAACTTCAGAATTTACAACTTGAACAACTTTTAAGCTGTTTTAAAACCAAAACTGAACATGAACAGTCAATATAAAATAAATATACAAAGAGAACTTCCTACACATATCGCTCCCTGTCTCCAACATTGTAACTTACTGGGAAGATGTTTTACATACCTATAACCACAGAAATTCACTTTCATAAAAAGAAAAAGATAAAATAAAAAAATGGTATAACACTTCAAACAACACAGTAGCTATCTGTATCAGGATACTCTGCACATAGTGGAGAAGTTGAAGTTTGATTATGAGTCTCACAGTGTTTCATAGTAAAATTCTATTACATTAAGCAATACATAATTGGTCAATGGCAATTATGGGTAATACTAAGAATTAGTACTGCAAAAGTGAACTAAGAGTTTGGAAAAAAAGTCATAATCCAGCATTTTAAACATCATATATATATATTGCCTTAAATTAAAGTACCTGATGCAGAATTTTTATCTTGCAGTTGTTCTTATCCCCAAAGTAAAGGAAAGCAAACCAACATTTCACCAAAAGCACACTGGGGACTCTTTTGATAATTCAAGAACGCTCAGTTCACAAGAAATGTCAGTACCAGACTGCATTGATGGTATTTCCGTGACTCCAGATGCTTTAGACATGAATTTTGAAACTATCTGTGTTTCATTAAGAGCTGAAGAGAAAATCTGGATTTAAAATGCTGAGGAATCTAACTGCTCCTGGGATAGCAAACACACAAGTTGTGATGTTCAAGATGATGTAATTGCAAACACAAACCAGGTACTGGATGCTTAAAAGTCCTTTCTGTATTATGTGAATAAAGAGAAAGATATGTGGCCCCATATGGTGACAAGAGGACCCTGATGGTATACAGAACTTCTTGGAGTTTAAATTACACCAGCAGAAAAATGAAATTCTTACAAGTTGGTGTAAAAGATCAATCCTTTCTCACTATGTACCAAAAATGATTTCTAGTTGCTGATCAAGAAATGATTGATTCAAAACAGTTCTTTAACTAGCTTGCCATTTAGAATTAGAAGCAAATGTGTTCACATCAGAAAAATGGAAGCAAGTGTGTTGAAAACTAAAACAGCTCAATCAGACATGAAAATCATCCTTAAACAGACTCTACAAGAGTGGTAACACTGTGGTTTTAAAGGAAAAAAAGGCTAGATTGAAAGTATTGTCATTACCTCAATAACCACATTGGATTTTTGGGCTGTAGGGCTCCGTAGAGCACAATAAATATGAAGTCATTAATCAGTCTTCAAGAAACAGTCTTGAAGAACTTTGGCAAGTAAACATTTGCTAAAAACAACTAGTTAACAAGTGACCAACTAAGCAATAGGTTTTTAAAAGAAATCATGAGGATAAGTAGGAGACCCACTCCAGGGGATATAACATGCAAGCAAGTATTTCAGTGCAGTAATCTCATTGTGTGGCTGAACTTCACTATTTTTAGTTGAAAGAACCTTCTATTCATTCTCTTCGCTTCCCCTTTCTCCCCTCCCCAGCACAAACATGCAAAACCAAAAACCAGAATTCCTTAGGTTATTCTAAGCAAGTCCCTTAAATACAAACAGCTGTACATGCTAGGGTTTCCCATCTCAAGTCTATGATTGAATATGTAAATTAAGCATTATTATAATATTTAGTCACATTTTTAACTCTCCTTCAAATCTAGGACTTATCAACATGTTTATGTTGAATTCCAGACTAGATCAGGCATGATTTTTTTCCATTCTCTCAAACACTGTAATTGTTGAGAAATTGACCCCTCTAGTTTGGAAAAAGTACAGTATAACTTTCTTTATAGGCAAAGAAAGCAGAATAAAGAATTGAACTTGAATTTGCTATTATATCAATACATAGAAAACCATGATGGAAAACCATTACTGAAACTTTCTGTTAAAGTACTTGATTATAAGTTATTGCTCAGTATGGAAGACGCATTAATGATAGATACTAATTAATACCCCTGAAGAATAAATATATAAACCTAACACATCTCTATTTCTTGATTTTAAGAATGCTTAGTTGGAATCTGCAAGCTTTCCCATTAATCTGCAATTACAGGCAACTGGACAGCTACTAAAAATTTTCTGTCAAATATCCATTTAGTCTACTTTTTGCTACGAGGAAGTTTTGGCAACAACCTGAAATAGGCTTTGGATGAAACTGTCATTATTGAAAGAAAGTGAAATATTTCTTCTTGCAGGTACAGTAAACCAAGCAGAACCTTGAGCATTGATAAAACTGCATTTGTTCAGGGTCATTTTGTAAGGCACTGGTAAGTTAGCTTATTTTGTGAATCGAGGAAGTAGAACCCTAAAGAACAAATGTTGGGAAGGAAGAACAGGAAAACTACGTACTTTAGATTATTATATATTTATAGGTGTAGAGTAATTTAATTGTCAATAAAATACCATCATCTAACAGTTTAATTTTACTGGAGTCTGGCATAACAGGTATTTGAAAGCATCACATCTACCATAGAAGCATCAAGTTAAGATCAATTTGTTGCAAATATTTTCTTTAATTACAATGTTGTGCCATTTATTTCAAAAGCTGCACTCAAGCAATATAGCAATACATCTCATAAGCATGCTTTAGTTTTCGTTAGTTTTGGGCCCATGCTGTCTCCCAATATTGGCAGCAAAATGTCTAACTTAAAATAACTGCTTTAAGTATACTCAGGTTAAAGTATTTAAGAGTCTATTCTCCATTATTTTGAACTCCATATATTCGTTATTATTGATTCTATTATTTCTATGGGACATACTCAACCCTTGCAACCATCAGAATAGTTTCATTAGGGGACTAAAAAAATATTTTCATTAGCTTTCACTCTTACCCATCTGCGGTACCGCAACTTAAAAAGAGAACACTACTGTATGTAATAAGACATGCTGATTAACATCAAGCACAGCAATACAGACCTGTAAATATATCAGGAATGTAGACCAAAATTAGAAGAGAATATTTACTGTTTTAAAGCATCACACAAAATTTCCTATATTTCCTAAGTCTGGTATTTGAGAGAGCAAATGAATTGTGTTTGTTCTGAAGTTATTTTCAATCATGTTCAACTCAATTAACAATATTCCAAATGTTTGATGAAATCTCTGTGGGAATTTCTATTTAAAATCACATTTTTCAAATATTACCAGGTACAGCTGATGGCATTTCTTGAATGCCAGATGTTTCAGATGTTGAGGAAATGTGCTGATTTTCATCCAAAGCTGAAAGAAAATCTGGAGTTAAAACGAGAACTGACTTCAGAGCTGCAGTATTTGGACAGTAGCTGGTGTGCAATTCAAGATGACACTGATGAGAGATCAAGCAATTTGTAAGCAGCTGCAAAGATCAGCTGTGAAATGAGGTGCTACATTAACACTGAAGCTGGTGTGAAATGAAGTAGGGCCAATTCCAAGTAGCTCATGCTAAGTATTCTTCTTCTCACTGGCCTTTGTTTTAAAGTACCTATTCTTTAAATGAAAATTGCAGCTACCAGAAGAAAATTAAAGGCAATATAAGCTAGCAGAGGGTTTTTTGTAGACTGTTATTCAGTCAGTGTGCTAAATTATTCTTCAGCTTCTATTATGCAGAAATGGCCGAGTTGAGCAGGGATGGGAGTGGGGTGGAGGGAAAGCCTAGCATCAAGTAGTCTTCAAAGCAACATGTCTGAATGAATCTTAGCACTGTCCACAGCCAATGCAAGTGATGGTAAGGGCTAGAAAAGCTGATGCAATGGTATGCTATTTACCAATCATGCTCCCTCTGGTTTCCGTGGAGGGATGAGAAGTGAATTTCAGGCTTGGTCCCTGGGTAGCTAAGGTCAAATATGAAAAAAATCTTGAAACAATAAGTGACATCAGTCTTTAGATAAGGTGATTTTTGGCCCTTAGCATGTCTGATGGATCTAAACTTACTTTAGATTTCTTGCATACACACTTCTAATTGATTCTGTGGTGGCCTACTCCATTCTTCATCTTGTGGGTTTGGGTTTTTTTTTTTTTTTTTTGATACATAACATCTAATTCTGACGCATTTATTACAAGGCCAGCTCTCTGCATCTGATTTTAAAATTCTATCCAATAGCAACAGCTGACAGCAAGCCTCTTCTCCTTTACTCTTTAGTTTGGGTGTTTCAGATAAGTCTTTTAAATAAAGAGCTGCAAAAGTCCAATATTATTTTGATACAACATGCAGACCCTTTTCACATAAATGGTATCAAAACACTTTCCTGAACATGATCTATAAATTTGTATTTTGCCCAGGGATCACATTTTTCCTCCAACTGCCACAAAGATACTTTGATAGAAACAGGCTTACAGAAACTGATCATCCTTCGGCAGAAAATGGCTTAAAAATTATCTTTATGCTTTTCTGATAGCATTTTAATGAAAAAACAAACTCAGAAAAAAATCAGATTCTATTAGATCCCCAAGACCACCATTTCCAATACAGATATTATGCAGTAAGCATGAAAGAAACATGCTCTATCTCTATGGGCAGTGTTATATGAAAAACTGAACAGTAGGTGTTCCTGATGTTAAGAACACTCATGACTGATTAAAGTTGAAGGCCAAGTAGTAAGAAATCTAAGTAGCCCAATTCTTTACATCAAAAGAGAATTCTGTAGTAGTTTGGCAAGAATAATGCCACAGAGAACAGTAAAGCCATGCCTGACTAACTGCTAAAACTCTTCTACCTAATGAAGATAGTTTGATTTGACCAAAATGACCTTGGAAAAATGGAGTTCTCAACTTCAAAAGGAAACAAAAATATGGTATTCATGCAGAGGCAGGATAACTGTCAGCACCACCCTTGGAGTATTAGCACAGCTGCATCATGTTTGTGTTCAGTGTGAATTCTGCAGTAGATAAAAGCTAAGGTTTGCTACATTTATCTGTAGTGAGAAACTAAAAGAATGTGGGCCAAAAAACCTTAACAAGTAAGACTAGAGAAAACATGAATAGCGTATGTGTATTGTAATAAGCTAATCTCCAGATGACAAAATATGTCAATGCTCATTTACCCCATTTCACTTGGTTCATCCCCGGAAAGAGAATGATGTTTGATAAACTGATATTATAAAATATCACTTGCCTAAATCATGCTAGCATGAGCAGAAGCACAGACGAGAAACTCACAGCAACTCTCTACTATTTTTTAGGATTATATTCTGGGAAAAATCTCATGGCCTAATACAAATGCATATATTGTGCCTAAGACCCTATATTCTTCATAAATACATGGGGAGAAGTGATAAATTATTAGCAGAAGTAACTGTAAAAATAACCTTTAACGCCAAAAAGCTGTAATGCAGCGGTCTTTTGAATATTAGAGACTACTTAAAAAAGTTATAACAGGAAACAAATGTTCAAACAACAAATGTCTTTAAAAAGTGCGTACTAGCTAAAGAAAACCATTCCCTCCTCAAAGGATAGCTGTTATGCTGACAACCCAAAATTCATCAAAGCCTGACAGTTTCCTTTCAAGTGCTAAATTCTGCCCCACACTCCCCATCACAACCCTTCAGTAACATGATACGAGCCTGAAATAGCCGGATGGAATCAGGATCACTTACTTGAGGCCAAAACTGCTGGACACTCACAACTATTACAAATAACATGAAGCCTTAATGACCAAATGAAAGACCACTGGAGGCAACATTAAAAATATGGGACAAATAAACATCAGAATAATATCACTTATATATCAAGAAAAACAAAGGATAGGAAATAAAATAAATGCAATTTACCAGTCTCTCGATCTGACATTTTTGCAGATGTGGAAGTTTGGGGAGTGGAAGTAACATGAAGAAAGTCATGGGAGGCTGGAAAAAAAATTGTGGCTTATTATTTAAATAATACATCAACCATCGCACCATGGGATCACCTGCAACCGTGGATTTGATGGTTTAGACTACAAATAATGAAATAAAGAACTGAAATAATAAATAAAGAATTGAAAAAAACATAAAAACATATTCTGTAAAATGAGCAGAATTTTAAAAAGAAAGGTTAATATGCAAAGAAGTGTAAAAACACATAAATATGATGCAAAAAATTCAATGGGATGACATAAGTTAAATGGAAAAAATTCCCAAAAGGTTAGTAGAAATGCAAAAAAACACCTGAAAAATTGCAAAAAAAACGGGCAAAGGGAAGAAAAAAGGAAGTAAATTTATGAAATGAAGACACAGAAAAAAAATCCAATTAAAAAATTAGCAAAAATAAAAGAACAAAAAGTGATTAAGACATCACCACGCAGGGAAAGAGAAAGGAATATTCTTAGCCCAGCCAAATTTGTATGCTTTGTTATAATTACAAGTAATCTAATTTCTCCACTGTAAAAGCAAGAAAGTCAAAAAATTACTTTAAGTAAAGGAAGGTAAGGAATGTAATTTCCCTGAAAAAGACCATGAAGTGCATGACATATCTCAGCTGATATAAAAGCAAGACTGCTACAGACAAAAGTACCAAGGTATTTCATATTGTTCATTCCACTTTTAACTTGGACTCTACTTCAGATTTTAGGTTTACCAGCCTGCTCACAAAATGCTTTGTTACCACACGGGCCACAAAGTAATGCCAGGACACAGGACTTGTCTTGCATACCTGCTACTGTGAAAGAAGCTCTTGCCAAAAGCACCTCCACCCATTGTTGCCAAGTGCTGTATTCAATGATTGAAATAAATATGGCTTTTCACATATGTCCTTTACATCTCTACACTTACACTTTACCCCAAGAGAAATAAGTTTGACTAAAAGCACAAGATCTCTTGGGACAATTCCCATCTTGCATCATTACCAGACCTGCAAAGAAATATCATTACCACCAAACGCTGCTGGTGTCTTCAACCTTGAAGAAACATGCCATGATTCACCAAAAGCTGTAAAGAGGCATCGAGCTTAAAACCCTAACATGACCTCAAAAGCAGCAGCAGAGCAGAGCGTTCCCATGCCCAGGTGATGGCAATGTAAAGCCATGGGCAGAAGACAACCAGCCACCTTGAAAGTCAGTGAGGAAGCAACAAACAGCTGCACCCTTGGACCAGGACTCCCTGAAGGGTGGTTGAACTGCTGTGCTGTCCTCTTGTGCCAGCCCCGATGGGATTTGCCTCTGAAAAATGCTGTCATATTGGAACAGAGAAGGCAAGACCCGCTCCCAACACACAAAGAAGCAGGGGGATGGAGCTGAAGGCAAGGTGCAATCACGTGGTCTCTCTGCAAGATGTCACATGCTTCCTGCAGAAAATACTTGTCAGCAATGGAAAAAGCATGAGATCAAACAGCAGAATTGCAGAACCAGCAAGCCAGCTGCCAAGCTCTTCATCTTGTCCATGGGAGATGAGAAGGATGCCAGGTGGTTTGGGGTGAGAGGCGTGATGGGGAGCGAGGGAGATGGCAGACAATGGACAAAGAAGAGGTTTGCTAGTTACCCATCACAGTTTGCTTGGTTGCCAGGGAGGAAGGAGTGGTGGACTTCAGCCTTGGTCTTCGAGTAGCTAAGATCAAACACAAAAACCATCTTCAGGTCCTCAGACAGGCTGCTGTTGCAGGGTCATATCAAGACAGAGCTACAGAAAAGGAGACATGGCCCTGCTTGGGCCAGGCTCCCCTGTCACAGCATCACTCTCTGCAGTAGCAGGATTGCTGTCTTTCAATTGGCAGAGGTGGCCCAAGGTGTCAAAGGAAACCTAGAAATGGAACCCCAGAAAAGGCCACAGAAAGCTCACATGTGTAACAATTTCTAATAAGGAGCCATGGAGGTCCAACCACATCATTGACCCCACATCTCAGGACATCAGCACATCAGAACAGGCTCACCACTGTAGGGAAAAGCATTGCCAAAGTGATGCAGGAAGGAAGGGAATGGCTGGCTATTTACCCATCCTTGTGGTTTCTGGTGAAGCAGACAAGGTCGATTCCAGGGCTGGTCTCTTGGGTGCTACAGTCAGACATGGAAATGATCTTGAGATATCCACTGAGCCTTGCCACAGCAGTACAAGCAGCATCAATTCCCAGCCCCCAGATATCTGTATTTAGGGTCACACATGCTTTTTCCTGGCATTACCTTGTGACTCAGTGATCAAATCAAGAGTCAACTGTCTTGTTGTGGTTGCAAGTATCACAATAGTCCTTGAATCTCAGTAACTAAATGGCTCTCTATCAGCATAAAAATGCCTGTGTCTAATTCACCCAACCCCTCCTTACATGTCCTTTAAAGATGTAATTGCATACATCTAATTGCTAATAGTAATTGCATAGTAACATGAGAACTGAGAATCACATCTTTGTATTTAGAATTCAAGGTCTGATCTCACTTTTCCCAACAAGCAACAAAATCCTTCATTCTATGGGTCAGAAATTACTGTCCCTGCCACTAATAAGGGACAGTGTAGAGAATTTCTCTATCTGTAGAGAAATGCTTGCAAATAAGTGACCAGTGAAAACATTTCTGCATTATTCTAGCACATCTTACAACAACTTAAACTTGTACAATCTGACATCTCTTCGCACACTGAAGGACATGTAACTTCACTGAAGTGACTCCCTTACACTCTCTTATCCTGATCTTGCACAAGGAAAATGCACAACTCAATACATAACCCAGTGTTAAATCTACAGTATATATATATATATATACTTATCAGCACTGCTCACTTTTGCCCATTTCTTTGGACTTGGCTTCAGATGCAAGGGAGGCAAGACTTGGTGACAGTTTATAAACATGCACAAGAATGAAGTTGCTGGTAATAAGGAAGTGGTGCTTAGTGATTCCTCTGGAATATTTTGATAAACCCAACCTTTGGAAATGGAAACCCTTTGATTCAGTTCCCTTCGACTTGATCCTTTTCTAGTAACATGCAATGACTCACTAATCAAATAACTAACTTGCATTTTCCCATGGTTAAAATCTCATGGGGTTCTCTTTTGAACAGCAGATAAATATTTTTTCCACCTATGGAGATGCTTTTGCATTCAATGTACAAAAGGAACAAATCTGACATGTTAACACTAATTTAACTACTCCTAAAAATGGGTCTCCATATAGACACACACAAAATTCTTTACAAAAAACCTGAACAACAACTCCACAGGACAACCTAGCTAATTGTTTACCAACATAAAAAATTTTAGTCCTATCATTCCAACATTTCTTTTCAAATTTCTCAAATGTTGCAGCAGACACGACTGGTCTCTCTCTCCAGTTACACTTTCATACAGAAGAAAACAGAATTTCTAAGACCTCCATTTGGCAAAGCATTGCTGTGTCTTTTGCGAGACTGACTAGATGTCAGGAGAACTACAATGAAGAGAGAGGTAATTACCAGATGAGATTGGTGGCATTTCTGGTATGCCAGATGTTGTGGATCTTGAAGGAAGAGTCTTCCTTTCACCTAAATCTGAAAAGATAATCTTGTGTTAAAAGGCTTAAAATTGCCTCAAGAGCTACTTGGATAGCACAGGACTCAGCAGACAAATGTTGCTTTGTTAAGATGGAAGAACAGGGAAAACTGTGTGCAAATCAGCTAACATTACTCTGTGTCGTGGACTGGTAGGCTGGTGTAGAAGTTGATGTGAAAACCAGGTGACCTAATTATTCATACTAATGAGAATTCTTGTTACTGCTTAATAATCTTAGCACATTATGAGTGGTAGATAGTAAGAAAACACCTTTTGATCCAGAAAACAGTCAGTGGGCCTGCTGATAAAAACATGAACAGTATTGGTGTGCCAAGAACCAGTAGATTATTCAGCATAGAATTTAGCAGACTATGGCTGCATTGGTCAAAGAAGACTTGGGCAATAAACTGCTTTCCTTCCCCCTTCACCTCCTTCTACCCCTTCTCCATTGCCCTCACCTCTTAACTTCTTCATGCTCAAGAAATGCTTAAAAAGCTTAAGCATCCTCACATACCAAAGACTACAGGAAAAACAACCTATCTCCAAAGCTATAACTCAAAGTATAGCTTAGTTAGAAAGCTCTAGTCTGAGATGCCATAACTTTCTTATTTTAAGGCAATACACAGGAAAACTCACAGCAAAATGTTTATGAACACTGAAAAACTGACAGAAAGCAAGAAAGAAGAAGAAAATCTTATCCCTAAAAAGTAGCATATTTTACTTGACTGTAATAGTCTTAAGTTTTGCAAAATTTAAATCTTTTCTTAATACAGCTATTTGATCAATACTGCAGTATTCTTTAAGCTACTTGCAGTCTTTCTACAAACCTGTGTGTGCCTGGTCCCAGGAATGATGATGCCGACACAGAATTTGAAAAAATAAAACATAGGGCAACACCCAAGGCAAGTAATATGCAACAGTTGTCTGAAATTGTTGACACGGAAGCAGTAATAAACTTTTTGGTACCAACCAATCAAATGGGCATGCTTCTGAAATAATATTATTATAATTTGCCAGTGCCTGGTATTTCTGAAGATGTAAAAGTTTGGGGAGTAGAAATAATATGAAGAAAGTCATGTGAAGCCGGAAAATAAAAGCAAAAATTCTGCTGTATTTGACAGCTCTATTCAAAACAATCCTGTTTTGAAGTGACAAGAACCATCCTGAAACAGGATTGTATTCTTTTATGAGTTGACAAAACCTCTGGGTAATATTTAACGCATTATGTTCCACAGAAAGGTAGAGTCTGAAATGTACAATAACCAATTGTGACTTGAAAATTATTTCCAAGAACATGCACTAATAAACAGATACATAATGCAATTAATGACCAAACTGTTCTCAGAATCACACAAAAAGAAGTTGAAGTATAGAGTTAAAAAAGAGAAATACAAGGCTATTCAAAATAGGAGAACAAATTATAAACAAAATGTAGCAAACTGGGACTGCATGAAATTTTTGTTTAGAGCTCCTAGGATCAGGAAAGAGGATATAGTGGTGTTGAAACTGGAGAAGGGAAGAGGATGACAAAACAAGAACTGGACCAAATGAAACATATAAACTGCCTTTTGTCAGATGTGTAATGGTGGACAGCTGCAATCAATGTCCCCCTCATTAATGGATAGAAATTTTCGAAGTACCAAGACAGTGTCTGAATCTTCAATGATATGCTTTTATAGTGCTATTTTTGAAATCTGGGCACTTAGATTTATGTCTAGATTTACACAGAAAGGCTAAAAGAAGAGCTACAGTTTCAAAATATGTTGGATTTTCTGAAGTTTCCATTCATCTCTTGCAACTCTGAATATTTCAGTAAAGCAGGATATTCCACTTACGAATCTCAGGTGTGGACAGACCTATTTAAATTTGATATTTACAGTAAGTCTAATTTAATTTTAAAACTGAGAATTACATGCTGTTGCCAAATACGGAAAAACCTCTGAACTACTAGTTCAGTATTTCATATAAAATTTCTTTAAAAAATCTGATATTTTGATGCAGCACTTTCATACCTACAGTTATTCTTCCTTTATGTCAAACTAAACAAACTATTTAATGAGAGGCACTATGTCTCCTCTAAAAATTCCTAACTGTCAGGAGGATTAACCTTATGAGAAACCATTACTGGATCTGGTTGGTTGGACTTCTATGGTACCAGGTGGTTCGGATCCCGAAGAAACAGGCTGTTTTTCCTCAAAAGCTGAAAAAAGAATCTGAGCTTAAAATGCTGAGAGACCCCGTGACTTGATGGATTAGCTCTGAATAGCTTAGTGAAGGCTGTGCAATTCCAGAGCAAAGCTAAGCAAGATGGTAGACGGTCTAAAATGAGACATGAGACAACTGCCATGACAACAGGAGATGATGGCTGGCAATACAGTTCTCTGGCCTGAAATGCAAGTTCCACATGCCTGAAAGGACTCTCACCAGCAAGGAATTCTAGGTAAGAGCTGCAGCTCTACAGAAAGACAGGTATTGACAAGATATGACAACACTTTCTTTAAGCAGTTTTTTAGCCAATAACAAACAAGATTTTCAGCTGGTTACACAGACACAAGAATGGTGAATAATCAGCTCTCTGTGAGTGTTGATAGCCGAGGTTCTAAAGCAGATCTTAAGATTACCATTTGCAGATCTACATGATGCTAAGATAATGGGAAAGAAAAGTCATAAAACTAATCTGCTAATTACCCATTTCCATCTCTCTGGCTTCTGCAGAAGGTAGAGTTATGGGTTTCAAGGCTGGACTCTGAGTAGCTAAGAGCAAACATGAAAAAAATTTTTATCATTCCAAGACAGACAGTCCCCTTACAAGTGATACAAAATCTAATTTCACCCACTGTAACTAGAAAGTTTTTGTTTGGTTTGAAGGTCTTTTTGTTCTATTAATTTTTACCCCATTCATATTTTGGCATGCGTTATCTAATCAAGCTGAATCCATATTACTTAAGCAGTTCTTATTCACAGCAAGGCAGCTACAACCCAAACACATGACCTTTAATATTCACAGCACTTGCAGGTCTGTACAAACTGGTCACTATTACATTATGTACAACTTTTTTTAAAGGAGTTGTAATGGGAAAAGATAAGAAAAGAGTAGTACAATGAAGCTAGTGAAATAATTGTGAAACATTAGCAAACAGCACCTTTTATCTGTTATCTGTAATGAAGACTATTACAAAGTACTTCTGTTTATTTAACTTTGAAGTATGGATAAACTGAAGTGTGCTTTAATGAAAACAGAGAATCAAGATGGAGTTGGGCATTCTTACCTAAAAGCCATTGTGAACAAATTTTCACCATGTGCAGGTTTTGCTCTACTGTCCTGCTTCTAAGAAACAGATCCTATTCAGTGTGTACTGGCCAATAAGTACTATTCTTTCCAGTAAACTCATCTGCACCAGTCCCTTATGCCCACTTAGGTTATAATGTATTTGAAAATTTCCATCTTTATTTTTAAGTGGTGTTTATCAAGTTGAGTTTTTTTGAAAAGCAGTCGTGCCTGAATTTAAAATTTAAACTTCTCTGAATGCTTGAGATTGTAAAAACATTGAAATAAGTAGGTGTGTGGTTCATTTCCAATGTAGGCAATATAATATGAATATATGCTAAAACGTGAACAGACTTTTATTTCATATGTTGGATCTGCTTTCCTATTTATTTTCAATCCATTTTATCACATTAGCAATTATAATTTCAGGTTACTATCCTGATATAGTTGGACTCAGAAGTTGGACCAGATGACCATTGTAGGTTTGCGACTGGAACCACTCTGGTCTATATTTGTAGTTAAGAAAATAATACCAAAAGCCATATGATTCACAGCTTTTGGTAAAAGTTTCCATTGATCCATTCACATCCAGTAAGAACTATGAGAGATTTCTCAAAGGTATCAGAACATTGAAGGCATGTTAACAAAGCTATCTTTTCAGAAACATTTGAATTCAAAATATGCTGACCACACAGGAAGTTTATAAAACAAAGGAGGTATCTCCCTCTAGCACAATCAAGATAGAAAAAATAAAGGAAAAAAAAAGTCTTCAGGGGCACTAGGGCAGAATATAGGTCACAGGCACTTGAACTTCGTAAATTAAATTTTGCTTTCCTTGCTGATTTTATAACAGCAGGAGATCGAGGCATGCAGAGGCACGGTGCAGAGAAACCTCCTCTGAATAACCACCCCCTCACTCCTACAGAATATCTTTGACTTCAGTATTGACTTCATAGACACTCCAGCTGACCCAGTGGCTGGGCCCAGCCTCACACAATGAACTCCTTCTTTTGCTAAGTGAAACTAATGGAAGATAGCAGAACAAAACCAGAATAAATACTTGAATGAAACACGTATTTTGCCTCTGTTATTATTATTCTACCTTTGCCACTGAGACAAACATAGGATTGTGTTATTATTCCCCAGCAGAAAGCAAAAGTACTTCACATCACTTTACAGGATCACCTTTTCAGATTTTCAGCTACTTTTATAGCAAATAGGTTATTAAATCATCGCGTTTCTCTTTTTCCAGTGCTGTCTCTAATTGGATTTAACTGAATGTCTTTCACTACAGTAAAAATAAATGTCTACCCCCATCCCCTCAAATATATCTGGAAAGGAGCTGTCAAAAAAATCTATCAAATTAAGAACAAATTGTGAAGATCATATTCATGTTCTTGAGAATCTGTTTCAAATACACATTTCAAGAACTAAGAGATGTTTCTGGAAATTACTTTTAAATTTGGCAGACTACATTATGCAAATGTATGCTGTCTAAATAAGCCAGCACTATTCTATGATAACTTCTTGACTAATGCTTAGTGAAATATAAATTTATCTGATTAATTTGATTAAAGGACACTACAGGTAACTAGTGTAATAGCTGTTAATACAGAAAGCAGCAACAAGCAGTTGTTTGGGTAAATTTGGCTATACAAGCCTGTTATGAAAACAGGGGTCTTGAGAAAGGAAGACACAGGTTATGATGTAGAAGAGTAGAGGCATGAGATGATAAGAGATGGAGACTGGGCATGGTACTGGACACCCCATGCCATAAACAGCTCAGCAATGGTCAGTTGTAAAAACTGCACACCTGGAGCTGGATAAAATTAACTTTAGGGATAACAACAAGAACACAGAAATAGTATCTAACATACACAAATGGCTCCCTAAATGGTGAATTCAGATCTAAGATGTCTCTCAGCAGAGGAAAGAAAGAAAGAAAAAAAAGAAAGAAAGAAAGAGAGAAAGACAGACCATTCAAGTTTCCATTACACTAAAAATAAATTATTAACGTTATACACATACATATGATATTCATATATTTAAATATATGTCTATACAAACATATATACATATAAATGTGTGTATATATATAATATACAACATAAAAACCAGAAAGGAATGGTGTGCTTCCTCTTTGCCCATAAGACTTTGACCACAACATTTTGACCCTAACACAAGTAAAACTATTTTGAAAACGTGAGCATAACCATGCTTTCTTAAATATCAGGACTTGTCCTGAAGTTCATTATCAAACAACCAATGAATCTAATTTATCGATACTTAAACCACAACAACATCCACAAATTATGGCAGTATTTTAATCAAGTATACAAGTATTTGGCAAAATACATGAAAACCCACAGAACTGATGTTGACTGGAACAACACTCCAACTTTAAATATAGTCACTCTCAGAAGCTTATAGGGCTCTCCCAAGAAAATAATGAAACTAAGTTACACAGTTTTACATAAGTTTTATCCTATAAGTTAACCCATATATCCTCATGAGCTTCTGTCTGTCTTAAATGAAGCATTAATCTGTCAAAGCAACAAAGCAAAACCAGGCTTAGAATGAAAAAAGGAATTTGTAAGTTTTGTGAAGATAATTTTTCACTAATGTTTAGTCACATCTACAAAGAAAGTAATTACCACGATCTGTCAATGGAGTTTTTGGAGCATCGGAGATTCTGGATCCAGAAGGAAGTAGCTGTATGTCATTAGAAGCTATGATAAAAGAAATAACCAAAATTTTATTTGATTAAGAATACTACAAGACACCGTATGGATCTATATTTGGCTTATAAACCACCCACTCCTGAAAACAATGCAATTCAGTAAAAAAGTAGAAGTAGTTCCAACCTAGGAAATAAACCACATGGATTTGTCACGTGAAAAGGTATGTGGAATATGAAAGATACTATTTTTTCCCTATTGTTATACAAAGATCCATCAATCACAGGAATTTGATAATGAACCTGTATCAGTAATTGTGACCACCTAGTTTGAAATTAATCAACGATTCACCTTGATTGAATTTCATATTTTCATCTTTAAAAGTGTGGCAAAAACAAGGAAGTTTGAGTATGGTTAAGAAAAGCTGCATAAAAGTTAAAATGAAAATTAGATTGATAGTTTAGCTTCAGTAAATTCTGGAAATCTCCTTGCAACTGTAAATGAAAAAAGACAAAATTGAGAGTAGGACACTAACATGAATCAATAGGATTTCATAAAAATACATTTATTGAGAAACATTAGCTGTCCTCTTCATGGGAAGATCTGTATTTCAGTCCTGCAAGTGTTCCTGATCCTTCCTTTTATAATACATCTTCCTGTATGGAGGCCACCTGTACTTTAGAAAAATCTAACCAAAGTTAAAAAAAAATAAATGCAATCTCAAGTTTAGATTTGTCTTCATAATTTTACATGGCTTGGATTTAAAAGTACAAACAATAAAATCGGCATTAGAGAATTTAGAATTCTGAATGCCAGAAGTAAATAGATACTGCTCCAAATCACAAAACTAACAGTACAACATTGAGACAAAAAAGTGAAAAAATCAGTAGAGTTTTTCTTTCCTTGAAGGTAAATGCAATTATATCACATGTAATATAAAATTGTCCTTATGTATGTTGATGTTGCCTAGCACTCTTGATGTTACCTAAATGAACATGTCACCAGAAGAAAATCGGAGAGGTAGTTATTTCAATTCTATCACTGAGGATAATTTTACAGATGGAAGTTTTATGTTATGTCAGCCATGCAGATCACATAGACAGAAAGCATTAATTTGAAAAATAAAATTGAATCACCCAGTAAAATCTGCAAAAGACACAGTTCAGCCAGAGCTAGACGTATCCTGCTTTATATTTCATTCCAGTGTGAATCACTGGAAACACAAAAGGAACCAGAATTTTTTAATTAGTACTTCCTTTGGAGCCAATAGAAAGGGGATGCAGCAAGTAGTAGAAAAGTTCTGCTGGAGGTGAAAAAAGCATCTAGTGAAAAAAGAAGGTAAAAAGCAGCAAAATTAGTTACCCGGTATGTTTTGAGTTTGCACCAATTTGGGTTTAGGCGTTGATTTAAATTCTTCAGGTCCATGTGTTTTCTCAGCCTGAGCTAGAAGAAAGAAGCTTCATTTAATTTAGAATCTCTCTACCCTTCTCTTTATCTACTGCCCAAAGCCCACTGCTTTCCTTGCACCATTTTATGTCACCTGATTAAAGTAATTTCTACAGTTGTTTGATTCCATCATGATTAATATTTAATTTTGTTTTCAGTTGTGTCTGTATGATTTTTTGGATTTATTTTGTTACAGTTTCATATAAACAAAGGAAAATGAGAATCACAAAGATTTCCCCCGTTATTCTGATGTTTTGTTAATCCTCCTAAAATAAAAATTATCATGAAAAGAATAAATATTCACCTATAATACCTCATCTCTTTCATTTTTCTAGTAGTAATATAATGGATTTTGATTTCCATTCATTCTTCTAATTCTACATCTTCAGAGTAAAGCATGGGCAGTTTATTAAACAGTCATTAAATGTACCTAAACTGAACCACTGGTCATGTTTTAATATATTAGTGCATAACTGTACTCTTCCAGAGTTTCACATAACAATTGATTCCAATGGTAAGTAAGTCAAGATCACTTTCATCTTGCTGGAGATCCCATGGGCATTTAGTCAGTGATACAGTACACACAACTGGTCATCTCAGATCACAAATGACAAAGCTTATGGATATGGAACACAGAATGGCAAGGCCTCAGCCTTGAATGTGGCAAGAGCATTATTTCCTTCCACAGAGCAAACTGCACAGTAGTTAGTACATGTTGGTAATTAGAAGAGATCATTAATATCGGTGATCAGCATCAACATAGCATTGGTTTTAGTATCCATTCAGTTTAATAAAAGATCCCTTTCTTTTGAGACACAATAGAAGACAGTTACTTTTGTTTTTCCAGCATGGTCTCCATGCTTTTTCCATAATCTACTGAATTTCCAAATTCAATTTGGAATCATTATCTGTAATCCATAATCCATAATCAACTAATCTTCCAAGAAGAACTGATCATGTAGGTTTATAAGCTTCTTATTTCCTTTCCTGAAAAAACGTGCTGTTTTCCATGTTCTAAATACGGCTACAACAATTATACTATTTTCTGGTTTGGAATATGGTACTTTTCAGTGCCACAAAATCTGAAATCTTTACAGATGCTGCCTTATTAGGACCCAATTCTGCTTCTAAATCAGTTACAGTGCTGTTACTGCCATCAGTGAAAGGAGGATTCATTCTACAGAGAAGTTAAAGCAATTTATCTCTATGAAACCTGTGGGAGAAAATTCATCCATAAGAGACACTGAAGCAACAACTAACAAACCCATACCTCAGAAGTACTACAGAAGTTAACATTTCTCATTGGTGAGATGTAATCATGAAAAAAGCCCAAACAATTCCACACCGAAAGCAAATACAGAACTTACTATGCTTTGGATTTATTTTTAGAGGTCAGATGGTTTGCGCTCGTATGGAGCATGTCTTGTCAGCTAAATTATCTGAACAAGCTGAATAAGATAAAGCATGCCTAGAACTGAGACAAAAGAAACAAAGTTCTCCTCAGTTTTGCACAGAACATTGTAGCCATGACATGAAAAAAGAGCAGACTTTTTCGTGGAAAAAGATACAGGAAGTAGAGAACTTAGGCTCTGAAAGCTAAGTTAGAGAAAAGAAAAATGCCGCTGACTTTTCCAGGGCACCAGGTAAACGAGGTTTACTGTACTGGTTCAAGTGTATCTACAAAGTAAAGTGTTAACACAACCAAGAAAGGTAAGTTACCTTACTATGACAGCATAGAGTACAGCAAGAATGCACTTCAACAATATATTTCCTCTAACTTCTCTTAACCCTCTCTTACTCCACAACAGCAATTAAGATATTCTGATGAAAGTAATACTCTCACTCTTAGTATACCACATAAGCACAAGGGGAAGTCTTCAGGGGCTGGAAGAAGAGGCCAGAAGGAGCACAGGAGGAACAGAACTTGGGAAACATGACAACAAAGGAGTTATCTCAACTAAACATCAACCCTAGTTAATGGATTCAGAGGTGGTACTTTTTATTTCTAACCCATTCCTTATTTCACAAATCGAATTTGCTAAATTTCTAATAGAATCCCTTACATAAAGAAATAACTAGCTTTTTTTTTTTTAAAACTACTTCTTCCACGTCCCTGGCAAATGTGTTCATAATTCTGAGTGTTGGTAGGCTCCAATTTCCCCATGAATTTAATAAAAAGACTTGCACTCTATTAAATGGGAAGAAAAAATGTTGCAGCATTTGAGATATATTAGACAACATTTCAAAGGCTGAAGAAAAAAAAAGCACTATGAATTTGTGCTGCTGTGTTAAGAATAAAATAATCCTGAGTGGAAAATATCATAACAAGCCTGGCAAAAACAAGAAATGAAAGAGCTTACTAACAGTCTTTCCATGGAAGTGCATGCCAAGGGAGGGGAGGCTGGAAATTAAGAAAATGATGGGATGCCTGGTTGACAAATACATTAAAAAAAATTACTAAACTGTATCACATGACAAAACACACCCTTTGATAAAGACACAGTGCAATGCAAGAACAGTCTTCAGACATCCTGCTTGCTGAAATACTTCAAGCTCCATTTTTTCCTTCTAGCATAGCTGATGACACAACAGCTGCAACAGCACAGAGCTCCTTTCAAATCAGTGCTCTGTTGCCACTTCTGGCACCAGTCCTTAAACCTTCCACAGCAAACAATTACTATGCCTTACTCAAAGAATCCAGTATGATTTTCAAACAGCGATATTTGAATGAAATATAATTAAGTAGATCCTATCGCTAAACTCAATTAATTATGCTTATATATTAGACTGTTTCTCAAATGCAACCTTTGTAACAGGCTGGGGCTCAGATCTCTTGTTTAAGTTACTCATGAAAGCCTGGCTCAAATGCTTAAGTATTCAAGTTATTTTTCCATATGCCACAGCAAGACAGAATTATACTCAAAGAACGTCTTCCTTTTAGAGGATTCACTTTCATTTCCCCCTTTCCTGACTTTTTTTTTCCTCTTTAACTGGAACACTGTAATCGTAATTAATGCATTCTTTCATGTAAGTAGTGTGACACACTCTTATTTTAATATGAGGCACTGGTGCTGAGAAAACAAATAATGACTGAAAGGAATGGTCATGGGAAAAAAGGACATGGAAACAAAATGACAAAGGAAGCATGAAATGGAAGATGAAAATTATTCTAAAAATTTTAGTAAATAACTATTCGTGTGATGGCGATAAGAATGTGTTTAATTGTAATAAATGGATAATAAATTCTTACAAAAAATAGACAGTACTTGCCAATAATTACCATGTATAAGACAACACATCATCCAACTTCATAAACATACAATTCTGTGCAAAGTCTTGAGATGACAATGTTTATGGTTAGAATTACTACATAAACATAACTACAGAACACAAAGGAAAGGAAATAGAATGAACCAATTCTCTCCTTCCCAGGTGCCACATTTCATTAAAGTCAGTTTGTCAAGGTGTATCACAAGAAAACTCTTTTTGTCATTCTTCACAATTTCAAGATATCCAGCACCCCACAATTTTAATTCTAAGGGGTTTTATAAACCTCATGATTGTATCATCTGAAACTTTCCTCCAAATTTAGATTCAGATTTTTGTCCAATTCAATAACTCAGTGTTACCAATTCAGCTACACTATCCTCCTGTTTTCCAACTACTGACTTTAACTGCAGATTGAGAAACACAAAGATGGATTTAATATTAGTTTATATATTTGGCAAATATATTACACAGAGTTTCTAAAAGTAGACTTTTCATTACCTGGAAGGGACTGTGGGGAGATTTCTTGAACTTCTGGTGTTTTGGATTCAGCAGGCCATATTCCAGTTTCATTCTGAGCTAAAAGGACAAAAACATTAGAGAGTAACTGCAAACATGTATCTACTCTCTTCTACCACAGATCTATTTCTGTCCCACTTCAGTCTGACAAGGTAAGCCAACATGGATAAATGTGGCTTATTACAGCTGAATACCTTTAGGAACCAATGAACTTCCACTGCACAATCAGTACAAGCATCTATCTAGTTATGCTAAGCACATGCATTTGTGGGTTTTTTTGTTCATTAAAAAATACTCTAAGTACAAAATTTACAGAAAGGATTTAATGCCTTATGAATCTTTACTTTCACAGTGCAAAATGGTTTCCAGTGTTTTTCATTTTTCTAGCATTTGAGCTAGACAGTAAAAATGTTTTTCAAAATTAAAAGATGCAATATAGTTCTAAGTGCTATACAAGAACAGTCTAATAAAATTTCAAATGCAATGGAATTGTCATACTAGCCATGTCCTTGTTTTCCTTGATATTACTTCTAACAATTACAGTGGTATGACAGTAGCCTTCTATTCCAACAGACATAAAGATATTTCAGTAGTGGATACAGGGAAAATTAATTAATTGAATTAATTAATTTTTATTTTAATTAATTTTTTTTTTTCCTGGACTACTAATATTAAAACAGACAAAAAACCAAACAACCCAAAACCTCCAAACTGTAAGGTTTTTGACTAACTTAAAAGAAAGAAAAAGTACTTTGAGAATTCTTTTTTTTAAATTTTGTGATACATTGATTTTTCTAAATAATACAGAATAAAATAGTTTCAGTAAGTCAGCAAATCAGAATTAGTCATGACTTCACACACAGCATAAGCTTTACAGTTTTTTATTTTAGACATACACCATTCTCTGGCACCACTGGAAGATACCTGTATAGATTTAGACAACACACAACATAATTTTTTGTCAATTATTTGATATATTTATATTATTTCTCAGAGTATTTTTGCTTGGCTTTTTACAATTACTCTTCTCTGGTTTACAGTCCTTTGAAATTCAGGAGTCCCTTGTGTGAATATCCACGCACTTCATGTTCTTTGGTAAGCAGAACATAACAAAGCATCACTTGTCTGCCCTGGTTATTTTCTCAAAGATGTTTGTGTAACCTGCTATAGAGAGTGGCTCCAAACTGGCATCACACCAGCTACAAATTTTAGACATAGAGTACTCAGATTTAGAAGTCCAAGTTCTACACTCAGCCAGATGAGCAAGTTGGACATTTCTAGGACAAGTGAACTTACCTCTGTCTTTTTCCTCATCTTTTGCTCATAGTCACATTCTGCAATTTTTACTGTGCAAACTACTGAACCTTATGACCTATCTATAAAAAAAGCATCATTTTTCTGCAGAAAGATATAATTTTAGTGGTAGAAAATGAAAACAAACATAAAAGTTCCAGATACTGCAGTTTATAACTGATACCAGAGGTCTTAAAACATGGTTTTCTAAAAGTAAGAGTTATGAAGAATGGATTTGTCAAAATATGTTCTACTGAGTTTGTTACCTGTACATTATATACATGTTAATGCTAAGGTAGTAATGATAAAGAGCTCATTTTCCATGCTTGATATTCAAAGAAAGTATTAGTAATCAAGTTAATGTGTGATTAATGTTATTATCATGATTAAAAACTCTTAATGCTCTGTAATATAAATACTGCAATTATGTTTCTACACTTTGCTTGAATTTTCAGTAGCCACAGACGATGTGAAAAATATTTGTGTGTCAAATGCTGGTAATACTAATTTTTAAGGAATTCAACCTCAATATAAACATATTCTTACTCAAACACATTAAAATATTATTCTACTGGGTAGCTCTACCCTCGCATGTATCAATATCTTAACAGAAACAAGCTCTGCTGTTTCCCCCCTGCAGAGCAAGCCATGCTGAGAATGTGCCATGGCCTGCAATGGAATGACAGAGTAAATTAAACAAAGCAGAAATAAGAAAAAAAAAATCTGATCCAGTTGTTTGAAGTTTAAATTAAGTATTAAGACTAGTCAAGCCAAAAGCCATCAGCTCCAGAACTCTGCTCAAGGGATCTGTGAAAGATGTACTTGGGGATTATCAAGGTTTTTAAATATAGCTTTATTTTCCACAATTATGCTATTCAAGGATGATGATGTTAAATGAAAACCCCAGTTAATGTTTTTCCTCCAGGTTTCAGGCATGTTCACAAGACACTCATGAAACCTGTACTGAAGAGTTCTAATTTCTGGTTGCCATTTTTAATGAATTTCATTACAGAAAATAAATAAGAATTTCTTCTTGAAGCACCTTAAAAAACCTGTCCACCTGTTTTAAATTAGGCAAATTTCTATGAATCCTTTTAAGTCCAAGCTAATTATTAAATATAAAATAGAAAAAAAAAAGTTGAAGAGGAATAAAGGACTTTTCTGCTTGCACACATCATCTCACATCACTACATTTCTGATACTGTTCACAAAAAATAGAAGTTTAATTCATTTCTGCTTACCCAGTTTTTTCCTGGATGCTGGAGATAAGCCATCTATTGTGAGGAGAGGAGAAAGTTTCTGCTGACTTTCATTGAGGCCTGGAACAATAAGGTGCACTACAGAGAAAGATGTGTGCCATTAATTCCAAAAGAGATGAAAATACACAGTCTGCCCTTCAAGATATGTGAGCAACTACTACTAAGCCACTGGGAGTTTAATCTGAGTATCTGGGAAACGATTTGGTCCTATTCTGTAATTATCACTCCCATTTGATGCTATTTCCCCTTTACACCACTCACTGTACTATCACCATTTCATGATTAATCAGAGTTAAAAACAACTTGATACTGGAACATACAACCCTGGAGTACATAACATCACAAATGCTGGGACATTCTGTCTTGTGTGCCAAGAAGACCCAACACCAAGCTGGATTAGTAAGTATATGTTTGATTCTCATCAGTATATTAAAACACAAAGTAAAATAATGCAAAGTTATGCAGTTATAGAAAATATTTCCATATATAAAGGAGTAAACACCCTCCTGAATCCAGGAATAAATTGGTCCCAAGGTGCATGATGCAGTGAGCCTTTCGTGTCTACTTCAGGCAGACCAGTAGTTAGCCACACTGAACACTATATGACAGACTTTCCCCTGTTTTCATGTTCTAGGCTGATATTGTGTATTCTCATAGGTCAAACAAGAACATAAAACATGAAACTGAATAGCTTGGAGGGTTATGCCCTAGATCTAACATCAAGTTCTAATTGCAAGTTCCCTACAGTCTAACGTATCAGTACAGGTTTGTGTCTCTAGATGGTGTGTTATCATGCTGCCTTAAAAGATTGGTAAGAACAATCCCTCATCTCAACAAGATCTTTGCCTCAGAACTTCACTTGAAGTATAAAAGAACTTGGCTTAAACAATGACACTATTTTCTTTTAAATACAAAGACAATGGAATGATTCTATTTCGCTTAAGCTACAACACTCTTGAACCATCTGTACCACCATAAAATGTAACAAATGCCGTCTGAACCAGCTGCAAAACACCCTTTGGTATGCAAGGAAAGAACTATCAAGGTCAAGGAAATTAAAAGCATTTCAACCAAGTTCTAATTTTCAACCAAGGGTTAACAAAAATGATAAGAATTCTTATAGTCACCTAATATTGCTCCGGGGAGAGAAGAACTGTCTGGTGTTTTTGGCTGCGTCCGATTTTGAATAACTGTGGAGACAACACAGGCATGTGAAGCTAATTTTAAAAAACTCAAAATGAGAAACAAAACCACACCGGAAACAAGCCTCAGCATTCTTAAAACCTTCCCTCAACTTAATATTTGCAGATGAGGACACCATAATCATCCTTTCTGTACTCACATTCAGTTTAAGAGACTGCAAACTATGTTTCCTCTACACTGTCTCTTCATTGTGCATCTCTTTCCTATGACATATCAATTTTAGTGAAAAATGATATTCTATGCTTATGTTATTATAGGGCCAGCTGCAGACCATCTCATTACCCTGACATTCATTTTCATCTCAAGTTACTCTTGCAGAGTCTAAGGATAAATTAAAGAAAATATACAAACTTACCTTGTTTGATTATTGTGACTGGGACCAATTTCTTATTATCACTCAGTATAAGCTGAGAAAAGAGAAAAAAAGAAAAAAAAAAAGCCTTGGGATAACTGCCATGATAGTAATTGAACTTTCTGAGTAATAAAAACAGAGGGCTCTAATCCAATACCGCGCCTGTCCCAAGTTAACACTGGATATGGCTCTGGCCCTAGTCAGTGATGGTTACACTATCACTTCAGTTCCCACAGGCTAGTGTGGTAATACTGCATTTTGATCTCCTTCTTCCAGCTTGAGATGTTTTGCTTTATAAAAACACAGTATTTGACAGCTTAGGAATCCCCAATCCTTTTTTCTCTTAGGAATCTCTTGAGCACTCACTGGAAAGTAGTCCAGAAAGCTAAGAAAAGCTGAAATTTAACTACAGCAAAACATCTGAAACAGATGCAATTACAAATTTGGTCACAAGATACAAATATATTCCCAAGAATACTCTATTTAGAACAAAAACTATTCCAGAACCAGGTGCACATTTGTAAACTATCAGCACTCTTGGGTGCATAGCCTGCTTAAAGTAGATTAACTCAGAGTAATTTCATTTGGTGAAATTATTTCCAAAGTATATGTGGTCAGTCACCCCTGTGCTTCTTACATTTTTTCTTGCTAAATATTTGGACTAGTCTGCTGTTCACTTCTCTTTGACCCAGATTACTTCCTGCCTAAGTGTGAATGCTTTCAATTATATTGATAGCACAAAAGGAACATGTGAATAGACCCACATTTATTAAAAGAAAGAAAACAGCCAATATCAAAATTATAAATTAGTATTTGTAACCATACATAAGGATTAGGAACAACTTCTGAAAGCTTAATAATATGATCAAGAGATGAGATGAGGTAAACTCTAATGCCAGCAATATAAAAATGCTAAATACTTTAAAAGGAAATTTTTTTCAGTTATATCTGAGTTGCAAGAAAGAAAATGACTCAAACAATCACCTTTCCATGCTAAATGTATATTGCTAAAGTCACAATCAGATAATGTTCATTTTGCACTTTATGATATCTGGTCTACTCCATATGAAAGAACACTTTCATAAAAAAATCAGCATTCGATGGCAAAATGTTAATTACTTACCTAAGAATAACTATTTTTGTTCTGTTCTAAATAATTTTGAAAAGCTTTAAAAACAGTTGTTGAGTACACATTAAACACATACCAAAGTCTAAGAAGCTGGAAGAAGGCCGATCTCCACAAGCAAGATGAACCATTCATCAGGGAAATGGATGGAGGCTACTTATTCTGTGAAAACCATTACTTTCTGCTACCTAATACCAGTTTTGCATTGGCATGAACATGATCTTAAATTAAGTGGAGGTTTCAATCATTGTCATTAACGAAGGATGGAAGAGTCTTCCTTTTTTATTGCTTATGTTTTTCCTTTTTTATTAACAATTTCTACATTTCTATTTTGTCTTCTAGAAAAAAAATTGTATTGCAGATGAGCACCTTCTGAAGTAGCCCTACTCTTCACGTGACTAGCAAATGGGATGAAATGTATTTATCATAAGAAGGTGCTAATTTTATTGTATTTCTCATCGGAAACCTTACAATCAAATAAACAGCTCTGAAGTTGTAGTGAGAACTTGTGTAACTCCACTGCAGAACTTCTAATCATAATTATTACCACTAAAAGGTTCTTGTACTGAGAAGAGCATTCTTTCTTTTTTGAATAATAATGGATGACTGTAATGACAGCAATATAAAAATGCCAAAGACATTTAAATACATTCAAAATTTAGTTTTTCACTCAGGAACAAATCCTTGACATGAAATCCTTGTTCCCCACCTGTAGTAGTTACACAGCTCACCTGCATCAAGCTGTAAGTGCTGCACTTGAAAGCTACCACCATGTTGTCAAAGCTTTCTTCTCAGTCTTCAAAAAGTGAGTACTTTAGATATTTCTATGTCTAGTAAAATTTATTACTTAGACAAACTATTTTGGAAACATCAGCCCATCATCTGTAGGAATGGCACTATCAATCGTATTTTTCAGGCAGGGAATATAAAGCATATCGGTATTAGGAACATTAGTAACTAAAATGATTGCTGCCATCATGAAAGAAGATGGCAAATAAGATATTCCTAAGGTATTTCTGAGGAAAATTAGAGATGTAAATTATACCACAAGTCAGACATCTTAACTTCTGACCATATAAAAAAGGTGTATTGCATCAAGGACTGCAAGTCTCAAACCTTTTGTGAAGCGACACATGGCAACACTGTTTGAAGAGACACTTGTTCTTTCTCTGTTACATTCCAGTACTTCAAAAAGCCAAAACTAACTGGCATACACATAAGATACTCCTCAAGGAAGGATCACGGTCAACAAGGATTGAATAAGTTTTGGAAGAGTGAGAATGTTTTCTTCTGCAATTTAACAAATGGTAGAAGCTGAGTCCTTTTTGGCTGGAAAAATTGAGGAGGACGCCACCTTTCAGACTGATATTATGGAACTACAGGAACCTAATCAGACAGAGGAGGAAATAAATTTTTACTGCATTCTCTCTGCCCTACCACCACCCATTGTTTATGAAGGGAAGAAGAATGACCACCTCTAGAACTCTCCTTTTCTTCTGCTCTCTCATTAATTGTAGCTCACACAGCCTCAGGAGCTTGGACAAACCTAAAGAATGAAACTGCCAAAAGAAACACAAGCTGATGTGTGACCAATGTTGAAAGGGCAGAATGACTAGATAGATCAGTAATGTTACTTTAACAAACAGCCTTTAAAAATGTCCTCACAGAGAAGAGTCAGGACGATGCTGATATGAGTCAGTTGTGTCTTTGGAGCAAAATAAGGCACAAAAAAAACTTGGCCTAAATAACACTCATTCTGTTTTTTCAGCACTGAAACATACCCCACCTAATGCTGTGGAAACAGGTAATAATGCACACTGAAGAGCAGGCCACTCTCTGCTTCCCGGCCTTAGTTTTATGGCTTTTTCCACTGCTACAGTGAGAATGATAGAAGACTTTTCAGAATAATCTGTGGAATGTTTTCGTGATATTCCTGTGGAGGGTGATAAAGGAGTTCTGCTCTGGAGTTAAGCCCTGTGAGACTGACTAAAAAGACTGGATGTTGGCTCTAGTCCTCCCTTCTTGCTTAAGCTGTGCAAATATTTGGAAAACTGTTTCAGCTCACTTTCTCAGGACTTCTGCATAAATAGAATCGCTGCTTCCACAGAAGCAGCATAACAGTCAGGGTCCTGGCACATAGGGTTTGCTAAGAGGAGCAAAGGAACTCAGCTTGCACTCCATATGCCAGATTCAATTACCTGGTCTTGGGCTGGCCTGTGTAACTTTGAAGACCCTTATGGGACCAATTGGAAGAACAGTAAAGTTGACTTCCATCAACATAATGAGATGTCACCTTCCTGAATGTCTAACCACCTGCATCTATATTACTCATTTTCTCTTGAATGTAAGACATGACTATATTTCCAATAACCTAAGCATTATACTGCTCTAACTCTCTATATAATGCAGTAATTAATGTATTATTGTCCTAAATGAATGTAAATGGCCTCAAGTTGCATCAGGGAGGTTTAGATTAGACATTAGGGAAATTCTTTTTCACAGAAAGGGGTATCAAGCATTGGATAAAACTACATGGGGAAGTGGTGGAGTCACCATCACTAGAAGTGTTCAAAAAATGTGTGGATATGGCACTTGAGGACATGGTTTAATAGTAAACATGGTGGTGGTGCTGGGTAGACAGTTGGACTTGAGGATCTTAAAGGTGTTTTCCACATTAATGATTCTGTGATTCTATTCATCCCTAATTATTCATAGAAGAAACTGTGTAATGAATTGTGTTTTGATTCCCAAAGGAATTCCAGGTCTGATAATTACAGACCATTTACAGTATTGTAAAATATGAAGAACAGACAATGAGAAACCATACATTAACATTTCCTACCATGAAAACTCTTGGAAAATCTGAGACAGAAGAGAATTGTGAAGAATGGTTTGTTCCCTTATAATAATTAACACTCATGACTTCACCCTTTAACATATCTGAAGTAAGAAGGGTTTCTACAACTTTTCTTGGGAAGTTATCCCATAGTCTACCTTAGGGATAGTACCTTAAAACAAAACAAAACAAAACAATCTCCAGAAGATTAGATGCTGAAACGTGCCCTTTGATGAAAAATTAAGGAATTAAATATGAAGAAACCATTTAATCTTATAGTAGAACAGGTAATGCTCAAAAGTCATGAAAAAAATGTTTATTTTTCACTGTATTAAAATAGTCTAGTAACAGGTTCAATCTAGAGAGCCTTCATTTCTCCTTCAGCTTTTGGAAGTAAAAAGTATCCATGTATGTGAATCCATGAACATATGAATCCATCTAAGCTTGCTGGCTAGCACTTATGTCAAATGCCAGATTTTTTATTTATTTATGTATAAAAATCATCAAATGTTTTGATGAAACAGATAAATTCTACCTTGCCTCATGCAAGGATTTAATGAACTGTCTAGTAATCTTGATGGGCAAATTAAATTGTGCTTCCCAGCTTCCTCTGGTTCTGCAAACACTTGCCTCACACATGGGAACTACCAGTGAATTTAAAAGGATGAATAATGTTTTAGAAGATCTGAGTAAATACAGGATTACTCTATAAAACCACAGCACCAGATTATCACAACATTTACTGACCATAACAAATATCACAGGTTAACAAACCTGACTACTACAAAGGGATAAGTAAATTTTAAGTTTAGAATCCACACACAGGAACCATCAGCTTTATCTTTGTTCATTTGGAATAAGTATATCATTATTAATAAATAATCATCTCAGCTACCATTCTTAATCATTTTGTCAATCCACACATATAAACACTTCTCCATACAGTTATCAGGTCTTAGATTTAACAGACTGGTTTTTTTATATTGGCAATTTGTGGCCTTGATAATGTATTTCTTTATTTAACAGAGAAGAAAAAATTTTTGATCATACAAATCACAGATCTGGCATAAAAAATAAGATTGTTTTGCATACCTGTGTTTGGGAATTGGGTACCAACTTGTACATATTCTGGAATTGCCCATTTACTTTTTTATCTGTTTTGACAGAAAGATAAATAAATACACATAATTACATTTTTTTTTGTCCAGAGCAAAATAAGCCAAGTTTATTCACCTTTTTCAATAGCTAGGAAAGTTAGGGGGCTTAACTACAAGCTTGTATAAAACCAAACCGTGGAACAATTTTATTTTGTCCTGTTTCTTCAGATCAATTAATACATCTGCAAAGTCTTTTGACAACAAGGAAATCAAATGTAATCTTCTTGTTCTACAAGAGAGCTGAAGTGGTCTTTGAGACTTACTACTCCTTGGTAAGTCAGAGATGCTTAAGAAGATTCCTTAATAAAATTAATATAACCACAAGACTAATTTGCAATTAACAAACTTGAAAGAGGAATTTCTGTATCCCATCTGTAAGGTTGGTACTAGGACTGACTAAAAGCAGCTTGTTTTAAGGTCTCCAGTATCAAGTATGTTTTTAAGTATGCTCTTCTAAAAAATTACACATTTAGCACTGGCAATAGAGAGTAGATATATCACTTTTCTTTGGGTCTGAAACGGTTTCGTTTATCTCAACATATGAACATATAACCCATAGCTTTAAATGCTGAAAGGTTTCTCTTAGGCTTTTCCTCTTAGTTTCTTAGTATCAAAAGCTTCTTGTGATGCAGCTGTTAAGTTCAGATGAAAAACAGTCCTGCTAAGCACCTCTTCTAATCTAGCATAATGCTTCAAATTTTGTCTATATCTTCCACATTTACACTTTTCTGCTCCCTCTGTAACAATAGGTGTGCAAACAAGAGTAAAGCTATATATTGTCATATTTGTTCACAATTGCATCCAAAACAGATGAGCAATAGGAAAAAAATTCAACTCTAAAGAAATATCAATTAAGATACATTTGAGATGGAAAAAATCTTTCAAAGCGCTTGATAGTTTTAAAGAACAGGACCTACTACTGGACTAAAGAGAAGGGAAAACTGACAGAAGTTTCACACTGATGTCATGAGAAAATCATGTTAAGATGGTAAAAAATGAGCTACTTTCATCTCTGTTGAAAAATTTTGGTTAAACAAATACTGAATATTTGCCATGTCTTTTATGTCTTCTCAAATCATAAATTAAAAACAGATTCGCCTACCAATTCCTCCCAACATTTGGTCTGTGGATTCAACACATACAAGAATATGTAAAAGAAGTTTCAGTTTATGGTCATTTATATATTTCTTCAGTGAGGAAAGAAAATTTACAGTGAAGGATGTTTGGTTGAGGTTCTCCTATATAAGAAGACATTGAGTTACTACAAGATAGGAAACTGAAAGAGAAAAGAAGTGGCCATTTGTGCTGATTGGTAAACTCCTATGCACACAGTTAGTTATAAATTTATAACAAATATATACTCTCTGTTCACTGTCCATATTTTATGTATCTATCTACTATATATTTACTAAGCCATGAAAGGCTTGAATCTGAAACATGCTGACAACTTTCTGAGTAGAAGATACTTTATCAGTAGACCAGAATGCAGACATGCAGGGTAATCACAAGCTCCCTGGATTTAGGTGCTGCAGAAGCATCCACTGAATACACAAGTTTACATTCCAGGAAAAAGGAATCTCTTCTACATAGAATATGAGCTCTTACAAGAAAGTATCTTTCAACCAAAATCAATCTGTCTCCATAAACCTAGAAGAATGATTCTCCTGGCCTATTAAAAATGTAAAATGACTATAAGAAACAGCATTTAGAAATAGATTATATACAAGGAGAAAATTTGGTGATTCTAGTGAATGTTTTTGCTGCTCTCGAACACAGTATTAAACTATAAACACTATGCACTCTTCAATTCCTCCTATTTTAAGTACTCAAATATATTTCAGTACTCACTCTATGGATGACTTTAAGATGTTTGAAATATAGAAAAACCAGCAATCTAGTATGACATTTTTAGTGCTGAGAAGCAGTTTGTTTTGTAAGGCAGGTATGGGAAAAGGCTACCACCATTCTCCACTTTAAGCTTATGGTATAGCAAAGGCATTATTCTGGACTGTTGAAATGACTCTATGGACACTGGGGAGGTACTTCAAAGTTAAAGCTTTGTACTTTATAGTGAAGGCCAGTAAAGTTCTTTATTAGGGAGTATGAAGGCTTTTGCAATGTTAGTAGCCACCATACTGCTCTCCTCCCTCATCCTCAAGTATATCAAGCTGTGTAACTGAGGTCCAAATCAAATTTCAGCCAGAAATCTCATATGAATAAGGCTCTCTTATGAGAATACCTGTTCTTTACAGTTTGAGTCAAGTTAAAAATACTAAGCATAGGAGTTTGCAGTATCTTCTGACCAACACCACAGTTAAGAAATACAGTGCTTGCAGAAAATAAATTAAATTGGACAATATCTACTAAGTGCTCTCTTCCTCTCATTAGAAAGAGGAAGACTCTGCTGATGCCCATTTCCTCCAATGATATAAGTAATTCTTTGAACAGTACATGCATTTTTCAAGGGTTAATTTGACATCTCTGTGCCTGTATTGTCTTGGGACTTTGAAGCAAAACCTTCAAATATGACTGACAGAACAGCCAGAGATGTAATACACTGCCTCTGTGAAAACACAAAAGAAAGCATACATGACAGTGCATGCTTCAAATACAGTTCATGTAATTCCATGACTAAAAATTAGCTTCAAATTTAATTTTCTAGCAGAGTCAGAAAGGGCCCATTGTGATGCTTGCTGGATAAGACAGGCCCTGTCTAGCTTTTTACCACCTTCAACATAAATACAGGTATTAAAGGAGATTCAAACGAGGATAATCATTTCCATGAACTGAAATTAGTTGATGGAAGAAATTAAATGGATTACTTGGATGATGGTTGATGGATTTCTTGATTAGTTGATCACCTTATTATTAACGGCCTAGGGAAAAACCTTAGAATACAGTCAGAAGTATAAATACACATACTCAACACTTTACATGTATCTGAACTAATCACTGTTAGAGTTCCACCAGCCTGAAGCAGATCCTCTGTTTGCATTGACAAGAGAACACATTTCAGAAAGTAGGTGGCAGTTTTTCAAACACAAAACATTTCTACTTTCACCAATTCCTAAAATAATTTGTTAGGGGCATAAAGGATAGCATTTAAACAATAGAAACCTGATCAGTAGTCTTACTATAACTAATACCACAATAGAGGAAAAAATACTGTGAAACTGAGTAGCTATATGATTAATTATTGTCAAATACTTACTAGAGAGAACTGTCTTATGATTTAAAGTCTTGCTCCAAATACTATCCTCTACGTTGTCTTTAACTCCAAATTCATACTGTGTGTTTGGCTTCAAATTGTCAATCACAGTCTCTGTAACTGGGCAGAGCTGAAAAACCCATTTCTTGTCTTTACCCTTTTCTCTGTAGCGAACTGTATAGAACCTGGTTGAGGAAAAAAAAAAAAAGAGAAAAATCTACACAAAGAAACAACAACCATTTTTGTGAAGAATTAAGAAAATAACTTCTAACCACCACTGTTCCATTGTTCTTGTTCTTTCTGGTCCTTTTTGGTCATCAAATATCAGCAAAGCCAGCATATATTTCACATATATACATCCCATCATACAGACCAGGACATTATAAGAAGGGCAAAAGAACAGTCTCCTCTTCACAAACAACCCTGTGAACGAGGTTCTAACCACAAACTGCAACCTCATTTTGCAAGCAGTTCCTGTGATTCTGAGATATGCCAGAACTAGTCAATAGAATCATGTGTCTACTACTCAACCGACTTCTCAGAATCTTCTACATCAACCCAGTGAAAGGTGTTCCCTCAAAACTAGTCCAAAACATTCTCAAGAGAATACCAGTAATAGCTGATGTTTGTCTAACACATTCCTCATTCAGTGATCCCATTATGCATTGCCCACACTTCAAACAAGAAAACAAACCAAGACATTAATTTTAGCAGTTTAAGTCAGTAGTGTGATAAATGCTAACAGACTATGAAATTAAAAAACATTTCTACAGAAATTGCCCAATTCTATCAAGCAGCACCACCCTGAAAAAGTATGACTGCAATGCTAACCAATATAAGAATGCAATGGAAACGGTGAGAGCTTCAGCACAAGAAGCCTACTATAGTCTCGTTTTCAATACACATACTGAATCACTACCAGAATGGATTGGAGATTTCTGGTTTTGTAAAAACAAATCTCAGAGACACTTGGCAACTTTCTAATCCAAGTATTACTGAAGATTGTTACACATAACATAAATAACACATATCCATCGCCCATATCCATTTCACATTTGCATCATCTGAAAAAGAATTAATTCCACCCAACTGTATTTTGCCACACTTTAACAGAGCAATTTAAGGCTTACAACTTAAGATTGTGAGATTTATTCCAGGTATTATATAGGCAAATGTATGGAGACGAAGGAAACGAACTTAAGGAAAAAAAACCAACCAAAAAAAGTTCTTTAATCAACTGAAACAGTATCAAAGGTCCAGAATAAAATTACTTGGTGGACCAAATACAATGTAGTCAATGCACAAAGCTGCCTTTGCCAAATTTACAGAAGAGCACTTTCAGAATACAGTACATGTGAAACATGTTGAATACAAGGAAATTCCTATTTCATTATTAAAACACAACATAAGACAAGGCAAGTATGGAAAATATTTGCATACACAATGATTCACTCTGTTTATATATTTTATCTTATAACTATCAATTTTTTTTCTTGGCACCAAAAATATAGATTCTCGTGTTTTAGTTGCTACAATTCAGTTCATTCAGGTACTTCGCCAAGTTACAGAACCAGTATTTATGTTGGCTCATGTAACTCTTCATTAGCTGTACTACTTTGTGTTCAAAGCAAGAATAGTATAATCTAAAAAGTTCAAAAGGAAAGGAAAAAAAAGACAAAAAAAATAGAAGTAGTGAATATCCTCTCTCTTATGAATTCCTACGAAGGAATAATCTGCTCCTTACTTCTGTGGGCTGTGATCTATGCAAATTTCAAACAATAGATCTACTTATCAGTTAAGCTGGTAAAGAACATTTTTAACAAGAAACTATTGGCAACATTAAAATAAGGAAAATTTCTTCTCCTTTATCCTCTTAATCCATTCATGAGTGGTCACTCAGACATTAACAGATAGGAAAAGCTTGCTTGAACTCCCTGTCAAAGGCAAAGGATACAGCAGTAATAAGCAAATCCAGTCTTCAATATAAATGCATCTTGTTGGATCCTGTACACTTTTTTGGTAAGGAATTTGGAATAAGTATAGATAGATCTATGACCAAAATGTTAATCTCAAGTGGAAATAGCCACCTTCTTCCCACTGTGTTGGAAAGAAGAATTTTCATTTGTTTTCTTCTTCATCTGTACATTTTCCTACCTGTTTTAGTTCAGTGGGATAGAAATAAAGTGATTTTATGTGATGGGAAAAAAAGAGTATACTGATTCATTTCAGTTATTGAACAGTCTAAATGAATACCTGCATCAGAAACGACAAAAAACCCATTAAAAACTTGTTCACAATGAATAGGATTTTAAGTGGCTGTTCCCACTTGCTTCTAAGGAAAAAAATGTTCTATTTTTGATTGCTGTCTCCATACCTGCAAATTCCTTCACCCTAGCATGAATTAAAATACCAATAACACTTGCACAACAAGAAAAAATCTTTCACTAAAATTCAAAACTACTAAAAAAACTGACAAGATTTTCACAGTTATGACAAACTATGCCATTAGAAAGAGAAACATATAGCACAGAAGAAATTGTCTCTCAACTCCAAGATTTCCAAGCCTGCAAAAACTTCATCAAGCATATAATTATTTCAGTGAAAACTTGCCATAGTGCATACTAAAAACACTGACTGCGATGACAGAATTTCCTCAACCATTTCAATAAAAAGCAACAAAAATGAAGTTCCATTTAACAATTTGCAAGTCACGATCGTTTGACTATCAAAAATATCCAAATTGTATACAACATGCACTTTTGGGGAAATGCAATCATTTGTTTATGGAGTACAAATCCAGAAATGCCAAGCTTTGTCATAAAAGAACAACAATTTATTGTTAAACCAGAGCAACAAACAGCTGAATAAAATGCAGTTTCAATGCCTGACTGAGAACATTTTACCAATTGAATTTTGTTATAATTTTAATTTCTCCCTTTTTCAGACCTTCATTTCATAAAAAAATGCACTGTCAGACACTCAACACATATAACTGAAGACATGAGAAATCAATGACATCCAGTCATCACTCTCACGTATTTATCCCCTTGTGGCAGTGACATACATGCACAACAGGTGTGCAGCTGGCCTGCTGTGTGTGTCAGAAGCTGCAAAACTTTCTCCTGAACTGCAAACACTTAGTGAGACATCTCCATAGATCCCCCCCATTACGACAGAAGGCAGGCTGAAATAGAGCAGAGTCACTGTCACACGGAAGGGAGAGTATAGTACATGTTTCTCAGACAGAACACTTCCCATTATCTCTGTAAGGTAAGAATATGAAAAACTGATTGCATACTGCAGGGCCCTAAAGCTAATATCAAAGTAACAGTCAACATCAATAACAGCTAATATCAAAGTAACTTTGGAACAGTCCTAGGAATGCTATTCACAATTGTGAATACTAGTTAGATGTTTCAGCTGGGAGGTGGTGCACTCAGTCACAAGTGGTAAGAATTTATTTTATTCTGGATTCTCAGCAGGTACAAAGACCTAACAATCATAATTTAATATTTACTGTTGATTCTTTATTTGTTTTGGTATATGGTGAGGGATTTGAAAAGGGTACATTTTATCAGAACAATGTTTGTTGAATAACTCTTTCTATTTACAACAAATGCTAATCAAAAGATCGCAGAGTTCATTTCTTTTCCAGCTAGCACTCTATGAAACATTAGAGCTCTTTCGTTAAGCTCCATAAAAATTAGTACCTATGCCTCTCCCCCTAACAGGCAATGCTTCACTTATTAAAGGATACCTCCCATCAAGCTACCCTGGGGACTGTAGAGAAATTTTACCTCTGTTTTTACCAGACAACTGAAAGCACAATAAGATTCAGCAACTTAAAAGGTGAGTGATACTGTTCCACTCAGAATAGTTAATTCATGCAATAATGACGAAAAAAAACCCCAAGAAACAACAACAACCACAAAACCAAATGACCCAAAACAAGAAATTGAACCCACTACAGTAAAGGAATAAAGAGGCTACATTTGCCAAGACTGCCTCTCTCGATATGTGTTTGTGCAGCAACATCGTATGTTTAATGTCTGCCTTCTTCAAACTTCGCCTACATTAACAAGCTATATCTTTTACAATATTCTGACTTTTCTTACTTCCCTATAAGATGGACACAAAATGTGATGGCAGAAATAAAATAAGACCAATTTTGTTATTTAAATACAAATTACAATAATACTCCGTAAGCCAACCACTGTAGTGATTACTCTGTCGGCAAAGCTGATACAAGACTCTCAGCCCAACACAGAAGGATGTTTCTCTTCTATGTTCAATTTACATAGTTAGTTTTTTTAAACTCTACAATGCAAGGCAGTGCTCTGCTTAGAGATAGCCTCTTGATTACACTAGAAATCAAAATACAATGAGCATTTTAAAGAAGCAGCACAGAGAATTTTTGCTTTTGAAATTAAGCAGATCTTGTTTGCTGCTAAAAGAAGTAAAATTCTAAGATGGATAGGCAAAACATTATTTTTTGTATCACTATTACTATGAATGACTCTGTCTCACCGAGAGTTCCAGTGCTATTTTTCCAATTTTTCACCAAATCTCTTTTCAGTCAAATTCCCAGAAAATGCTCACATAGTTAAGTATTCAGGCACAAAAAATTAGATACTGGAAATCTTATAAGGCAGATGGTTTTATGAGATTTCCAGAGTAGGTCAGTTTGTATAAATATCATGGGTTTATTTGGAACCAGATCCCAACTCCAAACAATTTAATCATGACTATTTTAGTCAAACGTAACACTAAACAAACAATTAAGCCTTGGAGATATAAGAACATTCTGGCTCTGTCATTTCATGTTACCAGTGACAAAAATTGTAAGACTCATTTCATTTTCGTGCATAGGAATGTAATCAGACTTTTTAAAAGAAGATTAATAATAAAATATATTTATTTATTTGTTTATTGTTACACTTCATTAGAAGCACAGAATCCATTTAGGGCTAGAAAGTAATAAAAGAAATGGTTTGAACTTTGATTTTTCAGATAGAGAGTGTTTCACAAATTGGCACACGGAGTTGATTATATTATTTTGATTATATTATTTCCCTTTTTATTGCCAAGTTTACTTTAAAGTAACAGACAGACATATATAAAAAGATGGAAAGAATTACAGTTAAGTTTGCAAAGCATTTTCTAATTTAGTTTTCAGTTTTACATGATCGCTAACATGCATTTTCTTCATGTAATTTTTTTAGTAGAATGACTGAAAGAAATTGAAGAGTGAGAGCTCTGAAGAATGAGAGGCTGAAGAGTAACAAATCATTCCATGTTTAGACAAGCCTTTAGCATATGCTCCCACAGCAGTAGCTGAAAAGCATCTGAAACTCAAGAAGTGCATTTGCTGCTGTATGTTTTCCTTAAGAAATTCTTCTAAGTTTGAAATACATTTTGTACAACACAAAGTATGATTAAGTTGGCAGCTGCATAGTGAGAGGCTTGTAGATAGGAACAGGCACATATATTTCTGAATTTAGGGTTTTAAAAACCCCACTATGTACTGTACAATGTATACTACATAGACTGAATACGGATTTTTCTCTGTTTTTCGCTCACTGTCTTCCTTTTTTTTTTAAGCATCAGATACAAACTAAATAAAACACAAAATATGCACCACTTGTAAGTACAACATTAGGATATTTAAATCACGGGCAAACAAGTTTAAACAATGTCAGTCAGAATTTGTCAAAGTTTTTAACTTAAAAAAATACTTTCAGGTTTTAAGTTTCTATTTCGCATGTGTCTGAAAGCATGTTTGTTTTTCTATACAATCCACTCAATAGAATACTATATTTTACTGTATCTACACACCCTGTGTTTGTCTAACATGAAAAATAACATTTTCTATTCCTTCCCCTGACTTTCCCTCCTAAAGAACTGAAAGTTAAAGTCCATATTTTTTGACCCCAGCTTCATTTTGGGATCTTCAGAGTTGTTCTAATCAAAGCAAATGCAAAAAAAAAGAAAAATCTATAGAGTAGTCTCTCTTTTTCAGACCTAAATGGGCAGTAAAGACAGTCCCAGCTCTATAGCAGCTCTGTCCACTAATGTTTGTTTGCACATAGAGAGGCAGGGAGAAAACAAGTCTCTGCTCTCTTGGAAACAATAAAAAGAGGAACTGAACGTGGCTGTCCAGTAGGTTATCATGACTTTCCCATCCTCCCTCGCCAACTGTCCCACACTGGTGCAAGAAAAAGGAGGATGTTGAGAAGCTAACTCCACGTAGTGGAATCTTTCTGGTGTCATGTAGGTTTCATCAGTTACATAGAAATAATCACTTGAGTTTTTTGGTTTAGGTCTTTTTATTTGGTTTTGGATTTTGTTCTAGTGTTAAGGCTCTGATCAGAGATAGTAGTCACTTCATAAGGTTCTGATCAGAGATAAATGTCACTTCAATGAGGCTTCAAAATTTGACCTTTCAAAGAGTTTTGGTCCACAAAAATGGCAGCGAATACCTTTGCTTCAACAAGAAATTAGCATTTGGGGTTATCTTGAAGGAAATACACAGCATTCTATTGGTTTATGTCCTTAATCTCTAGAGAGTTAAGAAAGCAAAGAATGGTTTGTTGAAAAATGTCACAAGAACTTTTTCTTCACTGGAGTTTCTTAAAAAGTACTTTGTAGATTCAGAAGACCACTATGTGCCTTCAAGAAGCAAGCAAAAATTTCACTGAAGCAGTAAAAGATACCAATGCTCTTTTAGAGCATGGCACTTCTAATTCAAAACTCATTTGCTTACAAAACCAGATCTTCTAAGGAATATCCCACTGAGATCAGATTCGCACCAGAGAAAATCTTGGCTAGCAGATCTGTGCTGTTCCATGTGGTTTTCATCTTCTGAGTCAGCAACATGTTCAAATAACTTACATTATGCAACATTTGTACAAAAGCCTAATGTCCACCCAGGGGTGGTAAAATCTGAGGCCAAGAACAGCGATTCCATTTCAAGACATACAGAGTTACAAATCTAAAACATGGTGGGATATTTACTGACAGAATTGAGTTAGGAGGTCCTAACTGCCACGTAATGCCAATGTCAAAGATCAGAGGTTAGTCACTAACGGCAATTTTGAGAATGATTAACAGTACACAGCAACATGTCACAGTAAGGAGAACACACCAGCTGAAAAAGTATCAAGTAAGTGAGTAGAATTCCCCTGCAATAGAAATGTTGATGAATTCATTAACTGCTTTTTAAGTCTTGTACTTTTAACACAATGCTAACTTGCTAAGAGTGGGCTACTTCCTATTTTTTCTTATCATACATTATCAACTGCCATTCAAATTAATATCCTAAATTAATAGTTTTTCTTCTATACACTGACTAGAAATATATATGGATCTAATCTCTCTTGAAATTACAGATATACACACCATGGTCACATAGAAAACTGTTAACATCATCTATATAAATTCACAAGCAGTTTGGTCCAGTAAAGGTAAACAAAATAAGAGCACCACTTAAGTGACTTTTTTTCTTCATTAAATTTATTAGTCTGTTTGATTGCAAAATAGGTATATACCCATACTTTGACATGATTGTTTGTAGCTAGATTTCTGTGTTTTTAAACTAGCTACTCCCGAGGGTCAGGGAATCTTTAGAGCTGAAATAGAGGGAGATATTCAAACAAAATGAATGATACGACTCTTATAGGCAAGTCATTTTATGCAAACAAAAGGGAAATAGAGAAACAGTACTTTTATACAGTCTGACAATATTCAACAAAATGAAGGGCACATTAAAAGTATTTTCTGAGGGGAATCATTTGACCAAATTAAACAACACTTAACTAAAAACAGCATACCATGACTTGGCACAAAGACACAACAAAAACAGCTGTCTTATACTATAGTAGCAAACATACAGAATGTATTCTAAACATAACAGGACACCAGTAGCACACTGGGCTAACTGAAAAACATCCCATACTGTGTTAAAGAATTTGTTCAAACTTTGAGTCAATGAATGTCCAACAAGAAAATTCAGCTACTGAGGAGAAAACCCAAAGCTGATGAAGGCGTTGTGGTGGAGACCATATGCCTTGAATTTCCAGGTGGATTAGTACAGGATATAGGCTTCTTCTAAGTGTTCTTCCTTCCCACTGCACAATGGGGGTTGTAACTTTGGTGCTGACACAGCACGTAAAGAAGATACGTTCCCTGGTAAAATTGGTGCTAAAGTCTTTATGTGTACAGAACACTTTAAAGGCTCCTCCAGCTCATTTCTTTGACTGCTCACGGGAGGAAAATATTTCTTTCTTGAATTGAAAGAGCAAAATTTAAGCCTGAACCAACTTTTACTTCTACTGAAAAAAAAGTCCAATCAAATTACATTTTTGGAAATTTCCTAATAAACATTAACATTGTTTTCTTCAAAAGTGTTTGAAATTCTGACTGGTGAGGAAGATCCGAATTTGTTCAGGAGAAATTTTTGAAGGTTGAAAAGGTTTAGTCCAAAACTTTTGAGAGTTAAGAAAAAGGTCATATTGGTAACATGGGATGTTTTTTTTTTGACATAATGTATGTTTGACATTCAGTCTAATGGCATCAATGGGAGTTCTATTACGAACACCAAAGATTCAAGTCTAAATTAGACAGTACCTAGACAAATATTAGACAGGGAAAAAAATGTTTTGAATAATGAAAAAAATGCATGGTTTTACATGGTTTAACAAATGCATGGTTTTACAAAACACTGCTGAGTCAAATGGAGCTTCACACAATGTAAATGGAGGCAAAAAAAATTCTTCTGTCATGAAAGGAAGAATACAAAGAGAACACCAAAATGACTGTCATGGTTTGAGAGCCCCAGGGAAAACATCTGTATTAACAATTTAAATAATTGCAAAGATGAATTTTATTAATCTGCCAAGAGTTGCCTAAAATGTACGAGTACACTTTAATGAGAAGCTCCCAAGTACTAAGACTTCTCTTGAAACTGCTACTTGGTGAGTCTTCATGAGCTCTCCACCTACTGTAACACCCATTAAATAACTGCAGCACACCAAATATGTTACAGTAGATGAGATCTTATTTTACTTACAACAGAAAATTAATGAAAGCTGTATTATATCAAGATCAGGAAAGTTGTTTCAGTGATAAGATCAGATATAGGAAACAAAAATCAAACACCATTAAAACAAGGCATCATTCCCCTATCACAGCACAACAAAAGAATTCTTTTACTTTTATTCAGTCAACTTTAAAAAAATTTTTCCTGTGATTTAACAAAGTTTCTTTCAATTGGTTAAGATATAACTGAAGGTAGAGTCAAGGCAATTGGTTTAAGAACAAAGGATGTACTGTGAAATAGCAAGATTTTTACTTCGGCATGTAGATTTCTGACTAAATTTTCACTTAAGACAAATAAAGACTTTCAAAGTATCAAATGACTAAGTGAGAAAACTTACTTTACATTCAGAACTATTGTTCCCAACATTTTTGTTTCCAATTAAAATTTATTTTAGGCACAGCAGAGAGCTATGCTGAGTTAAATCAAGAGAGTAATAAAAAAAGAAGGTTTTTCCGTTACGTTACCTGTCACTAGCACAGTTACTTGTTGCTGTCCAGTCATGTTGAGGGTTGACTAGGATGCCCCAAGAGAGAAACACAGAGGTTGGGGTGAGGGTGCCAACTACCAGCTGCAGAGGCTTTTGTGTCTTGGTCCGACCTACATACAAAATATATAAAGTTAGCTTCTCTCTCCTGCAGTTGAATAGTAAGGTAAATGAAGGCCTGCTTCACTTCTAAGCTTGAAGGGAAAGGTGCAACAGTTCTTTTTTTTTCCACAGTCATCATTTCTAATGTATGATTTACAAAATGGGCAGAGATAGTGTCTGATCTCTTTTTTCGGTCTAATATTCCAGTTAAATCTAGTTTTTGAATATGAGCAATTGGTGATTTGGGTATGCTTAGTACAAGAATAAGCTACACATAGATTAAATTCAAGGCTCTGGCTGTCTTGTCCCATATCACAGAAGGTATGACACAGAGTTCAGGATATCAGGAAGTCTCTCTTTGGATGTGACAGAAATAGTAACTTCTGGGTAGATTTCTTACTAACACTGCAAATAGGTCCATAGATAATTGATACTTTCTGCAGTGTTCTTCATGAAGAGTAATATAAAACCTATGAAAGTTCTTCTGCCTTTAACTGTAGGTAAAATCAGAGTCAGCATCTGCATCTGGGGAATTTTTGTCTTTTAACTATCTACTATATTGAAAATGTACAGCTTTTGCATGATCCTTCACTTTAGCTTTGCTCTGAATGAAGGAGCACAACTCTTGTGTAGAGGACGGACTTTATTTAAAGAAAGTTTAAAAGCTAAAAGGTGGAAATGAACAAATGATCGAGACAAACTATTCTAAACCCGTGGTTTATAGACTGCTATAAACCTAAGGAGAACCTCTGGTGTTTGGAAGATGATTAATTAAGGGAAATTGATATATTATTTGCATCACATTACATACTTCAAAAGTCTAAAGGATCTGTACCTCCTCAAAATGTACAGGTGACAACACATTCCCTGAAAGTTTGTAAGCCACTGATCTAACGGTGCTATTTCTCACTGTTGTGAAACAGACCCAATTAACTTTCTTCTCATGCCTTTTCAATCCTGTTATGAGGGTAGACTGTAGATACAAAAATTAATTATGACCAAATAGTGCACTGGGCATTTTTTGTTTTTGTGGGTTTTGATATATATATGTATGTTGCATCTGAAAGGTAAATTACTTTCCAAAATCTTTCCAGACATACTATTTCATGTCTGCACAAAACCAAGTAGAAATTAATCCCAAGCAGTTAGCAGGAACTAGAAAAACAATCATATAAAGATCTGAGAATAGTTTGGGTTGGAAGTGACCTTTAAAGGCCCTTTTGAAAAGGTCCTTTTAAAAGTCCAAGCCCCCTGCAATGAGCAGGGACATCTACAACTGGATCAGATTTCTCACAGCCTGACCTCAAGTGTTTCCAGGGATGGGGCATCAGTTTATTTTTTGCAACAGTCCAGTGATCCTGAGAGTCGTCTCCATATTGAAGTTACATAAAAGATCCTGTCTTCTTTCAAATACTTCAAGAAAAAGATGCAGTAATGTTAAAATACCTGAACAAGATTTCTTGTTTGAAACACGTGCTGGTCTTACTGAAACCAAATACCGTGGCTCTGCATCTGTAAATGAAGACAAATGCAATTAGTACAGATGTACTATTTATTTGAAACAGGGATTAATATATTAACCTATAATTAACAAGAAAAAGTCAAATATTCAGTGAATTATCCAAACTTTGTGATCTTTAGGCATGTTTTCGTTAAGATCTATGAAGTTTAAAATAATAAATGATTTGATTAAAACAATTTTGAGATGGTGAATTTAATTTGGGAGATTACTCTTCAGAAATAAGATTTTCCCTTACTCTTAAAATCAGATGTCAGAGATTTCTGCACTTCTTAACTACTTAAAGCCAAGCTCTATTCTCATCGAACTGTAACATGAGAGAAGTCCTTATAGGAGCTTCCAGCGAGATATCCATGGGCAGAATTTGGCTCACCATACACCAATCAAAATTATATTCGCTATACTTTCTATAAAAAAAGCATTGATCTATATAAAATTCTTATTCTACTTTAGATACATTTATCTAGATCTGTATCTATACATGACAGACTGAATCTCCTGCATATTTCAGTGTAACCGACTGCTTGAATTCTACCAATTAAACAGAACCACTAAGAAATCATTCAATTTTCTCTTACACCCAGATTTCTGTAAAGAGAGAGAAAAGTAGTACTGAAAAAACCAGAAGCTTTCTGCGCTACTGAAAAGCCTATGTGGGTAAAAACACTCTAACTTAACTTCACTGATTCTATGCATCTAAATCACTGGAAGCCCATACTATGGGTGAATTTTAGTTGTTTAATTACCATTTTTTAATGGTTTCAACCACACCCAGTAACTAAGATGAGCATTGAAAACAGCTGCTCCAGGCAGTGTGGACAAAAGAATTAGTCAAAAAAAGTGCATAGCCAAAGTACAAATACATCTTCATCTACAGAAAAATGTTCTGGAATCTGTGTAATCATATGGATACTTTTTGTATTGAGACCTAAAACTTGAAATAAGTGACATTTTAAAATATTTTGATTTCTCTGCACTTTAATCCCAGTTTCCTCCTGTGCATCCATGACCACTTGTGACGCTGTTATGACTCTCATAAGTATTCAACAAAATTAGTTTCAAGCATCACCTTGAAAGCTTGTGAACTACAAAGTCGGTCTTCAAAGCTGTAAAAAATTACAGTTTTTTCAGCAAAATTTCCAAAAATTGTGAAAGAAAGTTATCCAAACGGTTTGGAACAGTTAGTTTTGCTCTGCTCCATAACTGGAAAAATTAATTCTGGCTGAAATCTGATATGACCTGTGTAGCAACATTGATATAGATTAACTGCTAAACAAAATGTGGTAATAAACAAAGACAGAAAATGTCTTTCTGTACATCTCAAAGATACAAAACCTGGAATTTTTTGGGAATCATTAGTTCTAACAGGTGTTTTTGTTCTGTAACAAAGTACTCTCTGTGGAAATATTTTTTGTTATGTGCTGCTCATTAAGCTTTTTCTTTTTTTTTTTGGTGGATTTAACAAACGTTGTCTTGATAAAAAATAAAACATATCCCTATTTCGTAGACAAATGGCTCTTCTGACTGTAATACCATCTATAAAAGGAAGTATTTAGGAAAATGGACTAAGACTAGATGTTGAGAGAGTGCTGCTATAGAACAGGCAGGTTTCAAAAGTACCACTTGTCCAGTTTAGAACCACTGAATTTAAGACAATATTGTGATCACAATAACTGAAATCAGAATTTGAAATTATTAAACGAGTACATTCAATAACTGGAATGCAACAGTAAATCTCTCTTCTGAACTTAACTAAAAGTATCTCTTCATTTAGAAATATGATTCAATGATTCCTGAGCAGAACCACACACATTGCCAGATAGATGCTAAGAGTACAGCAACTATAGTTTAAGTTAAATTCATTGCTTTGATGCACAGTATTAAACCATTATGCATGGACTGGAGAACACATGCCTTGAAGTGCTTTTATTCTAGGTAAATATATGTTCTATATCCAAGGCATCTGAAATCAAGAAATGCAGACACCTTCTTTAATATCATGTAATGAGCCCTGATTCAGGTTTAGAAATGGGAGTTCTTTCTTAGTCTTCCACTGCAATTTAACATTTCTTTTAATAACTTCAGAGGTTTCACACTGTTTCAGTCCTCTTGCTGAGAAATATATGTCAGTTATCATCACAACTCGGAAATCATCTGATGCTACTATGACTTAAAACATTGGCCTTAAAACATTGCCTCATCCATGTATTAAACTCTATCAAGCTGCAAGAAATATTTTATAATAATCTGTGTTCTTTTATGATGTCTGTATACACATAATTCGCTCTACAGATCCTGGGGAGAAGTGAGCAAGACATGAAAAGAAAAAGAAAATGCTGTGAAATACCAAAACCTAAATAAAATCATAAGCTGGTTTGTACTAGTTCATCTTAATGCTTAAGAGATAAATTGCTGAAATAAGAGTTAGGTAGCAAAAGGTGATTGTCAGTCATAAAAATATGGCTGACTGTATGTCATGATTCAGAGAATATACCAACTGTTTACACTGATATATATTTAAAAAGAAAAGTACATTTTAAAAATGAAATGATAACCTCAAGTAAAAGCAAATCGCATCACAGAGTAAAGACAATCCTGTTTGCAACTGAATATTTCTTATTTTTTTTGAACTGTATTTAGTAAGATAAGGATAGTTACATAATTAAGATTAATGTTGAAATATCTGGACACAAATGCACAAATCCAGCATCTGCCTCCAGAAATCATCTCAACATTAAGCAGTATACAACAGAGACATATATGACACAGATGCAAGATACAGAGCTGTCTGTCTCTCATCCAGAGCCTCACAAATGAAGGATCCCTACAGAACAATGAAAACTTTAACAAGTTCAGCTTGAAATACATTTCCAAATTTGCTATGAAAATCTTAGCGGCTCCTTGATTCCTAACACATTCTTAGAAGGCTGCTACTATAAGACTAACTTATTAAGTTTACTTGTTTGAACCTATTATTCTCTGGCCCCTTTATTAAAGCTAGAATGACAAACATCTTGGCTAAGAGCTCCTTTCAGATCAGAAATAATGTCCAAAAAGTGACCACCTTCAATTCTTCAGCCACAAAGGACTACAGGAAAATGCCTGGATGTACCAGGGAAGTGCTGGCCAACAAATCCAAGCCTAATTCTTAGTGATATAATTCCCCAAACGTGGGCTGTTTTGACCATTCAGTTCAGAGGCACCAATACATCAGTAAAACTGCTCTTTCAAGTTTAAATGTCCACAGTAGAATAAAGCAATGCCAGTTTGAAACAAAGCACAGCACTCCTGCAGGCACATACATCTAACCTAATGATTTCTGAAGCAGAAGGGGAGTCACACACCTAAGACATCATTATTGTAAAGCAATAGTATTTGTATCTATAGCATTCAACACACACAGTAGAGACATGCATATGTGTTCAGTACATATTCTTACAGCTTTTCCTCTCAGTTCTCAAAAGTATTAGACAGAAATGTTCAGTCATCTTGTTTTAGCTTTTAAACATCAAGACTACTACAGTTTGATGAACTGTCACCTGTTAGATGAAATAGTTTTCCTAACTTCTTCAGTTTCTCAGATTTCTTTTCATCCAGACAGTCCAAAAGGCATGCAGAATACAAGTACACCCACAATTTCTCACAGAAGAAATATTTCAAAGACTGCAAAGTTTCACAAAAGCAAACCAGCACCTTGGAATCATTGTAAAAGAAAAAACTGACTGAGATTCAGTTTTATTAATGAATAAAATTACTAAAAGAAAAAAGCTTTTATTATCCACCTTAACAGCTTATGAAGACAACCATAATTTCACAAAAATACATGCCACTTATGAAATCAAACTTGCATAGGAGAACACTTACTTCCATGTGCTGTGAGCTAGGCTATCAAATCAGTGGCAGCAGGTATTTAATGTGCACTACACAATGCTAGCAAATTTTGGTTTTGTTCAAGCATACTATTCAGTTCAGGGTTCTGCCAATAGAGAAATGCAGTTGGAAGCAAAACAACATAAGAATGAACTGACTGATGAACTCAGAATAAATTTTAAAATAAAATGTGACAAACATATCATTAGAATTCATAGGCCAGTGAGTTCAGAAATCAAAACAAAGTATTTTTTAGCTTCAGGCTGCAATCCCTTAATTTGTATTTAGGGATTGCTAAAGATTTACTACAGGAAGTTGTTAAAGGCAAAGGCCAAAGGTGGAGAAAGGGGAGTATTGAAAGCATTGCAGGGTATCATGCATGGGAAAAGACAGAGAAGTGGGACAAAGAGGCTGGCATGAATGAACCTGCTTCTGGTCAGTCCACTTGTTTAGATGCATGGGCAGCTGCTGACCTCCTCCAGATCCTCCATTCCTCTAGGATCAACTAACATTAACAATGAGAATCTGTTTTTTTGGGAAGTTGTCAGGAAGCAACATAATGCTGAATTAATTTTCACATGATTTGGCATCTAGGAAAGCATGTAGCTAATATATTTGCACTTTTCTGGTAATTGGTCAGATACAAAAAACTGCACACTAAGATCTTTCAGCTAAGGACTGCTCTAGCACAGATCTCTGAATTATACTTTTTAAAATATATTCAAAGGGGTACTAGAATTTTGCCCTATATACATATAGGCAAAATTCACATGCCACTTATTATGGTTGTTATAAAGCAGAATTACCAGTACATTCTCCTCTTACACTGTAAAATCTTGTTTAAAAAAGCCAAAGCCAAAGCACTGCCCAACCCTAAGCTGGTTATTAGAAACTGAAAGAGAAATTGATTTTGTCCACTCTGTTAAGTAATTACTGTTCATTCTTACAAAATTTCACTGTCTCCACCCAATTTTTTGGGTTACTTCAACAGTATCAGCTATCTCTAGAAGACTGCCTTGTAGCCTTCATAGCCAAGCTAGAAAAAACTAACACAAATTTCTCAGGTAAATACTCTTTCTTTATGAGTCAGGCAGACTGAACAAATTTAGATAAAGGTCTAAGTCAAGCCCAAAACTTTTGGATGAGTCTCTTCACCTTTTCATTAGTCTAGCTGAATTTACATTTGGATATCTCTTGACACTGTCTGAATAGCTTCCATGACCAAAAATAATATTGTTTACTGTGATGTAAGCTCATCAAGTACACTCAAAACACATTTGGTATCCTGATAAAAACACAAACTTCTTTGAAACAAACTTTGATGTTGCCTCATCATTATCATTTACCCTTCAGTTGTGATTCAAATTAATCTATCTACCAATGCATGAAGCTGCTCAAGAGTTTGTTGCCAGCCAGTATCAATTCATTAAAAGTTCAGGAAACCAAACAGAATCCTTTTCTCTTTGTACATTCCCTCTGCAGGCAGATCCTAATTCAAGGATAATGTTGCACAATTGCTGGCTTGTTTACTATATAAGTGGCAAAAGAAAAACAAATATTTTAAGGTAAAAACCATTGCAGTGAGGTGCTGAATATTTTAATGGATGAAATGTAGGTGGATGTCACACTCTCTACAAAGCCATATAGCTCTCTTGAAAACCCTAGGAAATATCATGTTCTTATTAATTTCTTTCAAAATATATGCACCTATACACACACAAATTCATAAATTAATAAATCTTCTGACTTCAAGTCTCTTGTTAACAGAATCATAAGAGGTGTGTGACCCAGCAGAAAACCTGAGAATAAATTTCATCTTAATCAAAAGTGACTGAGTGGGAAATATGGAACTCATGGGCTTCAGAAATATGTATTATTGTGTATACATACTGTGTCATCTATTAAAGAAAAAAAGTTAATCCTTGCTTCATCACCCATATTCAAGTTCCAACTGAGGACAATTATTCCAAAGAGAATATGCTGCTCCGTTAACAAAACCAAGGATGGAGAGCTAAATCAAGGAAATGTCTCTAAGGCGTTTCTTTCTGCTGTGTAGACCTATACTCTTTGTTCGAAAGGACAAATTATCATTTTCTTACAGATTTTATGCATTGTGGAGTATCTCATCTTCTGTGTTCATTGTTTCAAGATTGTGAGTGCTTCATGATAAGCTTTAATGACTATGCATGTGCTCTGATGTGCTGTAGAGCTAAAGAAAGGTGCCTACAGTTTCCAGGTATTAGCTATTAATGTTAAGGTTACGAAATACCAAAATCCCTTAAGTTCCAGGTGACTCTGAGCTTTCTGTTTTCAGTTTCGTAAAACATTCGGTATTAGAGCTGCTATTAAATAGTCAGTGCTCATGATGTTACATTCAGTCCTTTTTCCTCTTTCCAAAGATCTCAGAGAACCTGAAAAATATTAATCCTCACTACTCCTGCAATACAGTTACACAGGTACTATTATGCCTAATACATACATATATGTATATATATGTACATATATGTGTATATATATATATATATATGTATATATATATATATATCCGTATACTACAGAAAATCCTGTACATCATTCTTAGTGAACTGATTCAAAAGCTACATGTGGGATAAATCAGATAAGACAGACACAGCTTAAGCGATGGTTATGAAGTCAAACACTGGACTGGTGAGAGAATTACAGAGAGATTCCAGGAGTAACAACTCATGAAAAGGAAAGTCAACCTTTGCCACAGTGATCTAATCAAAGTATCTAATAACTTAATTATTCTGTGTCTAGCATCTTATTTTTTTTCATATTTTATTCTGCAGTTTTCAGCCTGGAGTAGACACCTTCAATGGCCTTAACTGACCTCATCAAAAAGATGGCAATTATTACTTCTGTGCTTATGTGTCCTTATTTCCCCCTTGTTTGACACCAACATCACCAGCATTACAATGATGGGAGTAACCCAGATTCATTTCAGGCTAGAAAATCTTAGAGAAAGCAACAGGAAAACCCTTAGAGATTAAACAGATTTCTCAAAAGGTCAAATCCTGGTATGTCAATTTTTTAATTATTTATTATTTCTCCCTGTTCCAGGCAACAGAATATAATGCTCTTGACATGGTTTAATCTCTTCCATGAAACAACTCATGGAATTCCATCAGTAACTTCTGACATTGAAGCTACAGGTTATTCTATAACATGTAGAACTGGAGTAGATCCCTGCCAGAAAAGACATAATTTTGATACAAATGTTTCTGTCAAAGGGAATCAACCACGCAGTTCTCAAGACTGTTTCACTACTTCTTGCATTATTTGTTAAAAACTTGCATATCTCCCTTGTATTCTACTTTGCAACTACAGCTTTAGGCAAACCATCCCATTTGATCTGTGATGTGGTCAATTTAGTACAGTCTCTTAGTACAACAAGAATCCTCAAAATAAATATCATTAGCAAACTTTTCCAAACAACAAAAAATTTTTTTTCTCCTTGAAGGATCTACTTTCACCTGAAATTCTTCAAAGCAACCTTAAACAAACACAAAGGAACCTGAGCAACAACCCAATAAAAACAAAATTTAAGAAACCCAAAAATACATATTATCCTCACTCTTCCTATAATTCATGCATAGTTCCCACAAAGCATGTAAAGAAAATATGCCTTACCAAGTTCTGTTACATAGTTTTTTCCATCTGAAGGTAAAGGAATGTACTGATTAGAAAAGAAGTTGCTTCCATAACCCAGGACAAAACCTTCTAGTTTGGTGTTTTGACTTGGTCGGAGATATCTCATGCAAACGGTGTCATCTGTTGCATTGATCTGAACCTTCAGACTCTGCCTTTTCACTGGGGAAAGAGTGAAAAAGAGGAGATCAAAATGTGTTATCTGCAATCATATATTCAGTAATGGAATATGACAATATAACAATACAAGGCTGTTTCATTTGCTAGTAGCAAGCACCTGAACAATTTCTGAAAGGTGAAGTCTCCTGGAAACCCAGTGTATTTAAAAAAGTAAACTATCAGTCATGGAAAATTGTGTTTGCCAACATGACTGTTTTTCTACTAGTTTAGCATTACCATTAGCTGTAATACCTACAATTGCAGTAGTAAAAAAATGCATGAAGTAACTGGTAAAAATGTAAGTATTTTTTCCTTTAAATGAGAGAGTATAGTAGCATTAGCCATCTATAGTACCCATTGGTGAAAAAATACAAGTTTTTCTTTTGTTTTGTTTTTAGAAGAAAATATGAAGTTTTAACATTAAGTTAATCAGTTAATCACACCGCAGAATTAGGGTAGAGGATAAATAGTAACTAGATTCAAATAAAACTGCTATGATTTTTTTATTTTTTTTTTGTTATGTTGGGCTGGAAATGTAATTTTCTATTTGGAACTACACCAGGACACCTAACTAACATATATGCTTTACTCAAAATTACAGACACTTGTTTTAAACATTCAATTTTATTCTTTCCAGGGGAACAGCACACAGCACATAAAGTAAAGAAACATCTTGTATATCCATCTAAAAAAGTTTGACTTGTAGCAACATGGAATGACTTCACAACAGAATAACTATCTTTTTCAGCTATAAGTTGGTGTTTCGTCTTCTTCTTGGTGTGGTGAGGCAGGATTGGCTTTTCTTTCCTCGGTATGTACAATTTTAGTATTCCCTTGTCACTGTTAGGCCTATCATATTTCCAGAACTGTTGAATTGTTGGCTTTTCCCCAAACTTATGACACCAGCACTAGACTAGTACACTTTGGGTTATTATTTCTCTTCTCATTCTCAAAATGTAGATTTTTAATCCCAACAGATTTTGAGGCATCTGTCCAATCATAAGGGCTGAAATTAACTTATCAGAAAAAACCAGAACTTTGCACACAATCATTTACTTCAGGAGCTAAATCCTGAAGTAATGTTATATATGAGATAAATGATACATCATGGAATGACAGGGTAGAGCGATCCTAAACTAACTCTTTCTTTCTCCTTCCTTCCTTCCTTCTTTCTCTCTTTCTCTTTCTTTCTTTCTCCTTCCTTCCTTCCTCTCTTTCTCTTTCTTTCTTTCTCCTTCCTTCCTTCTTTCTTTTTTTTTCTCCCTCTTTCTTTCTTTCTCTTCCTTCTTTCTTTTTATTTCTTTCCTTTCTTTCTTTCCTTTCTTTTTCTCTCTTTCTTTTTTCTTTTTTTTCTTTCCCTTCCTTCCTTTCCTCCCTTCCTCCAACTCCCTTCCTTTCTTCCTTTGACTCTCTCTCTCTCAAGTAATTGCAGACTGATATTCAAAATTTCTCTAAACAACTATATATATATCACCCCAATCTACCTTTAATTTTTAGAGAAATTTTAATCACTAGAGTTGCCAAGAGGCCAAAATCCCCAATTCATGAAGATGATTTAGGAGGTGATTTGAGCATCTGCAGTTGTCTGCACACAGAATGTAAAGCCTTAAGCCAAACACTTTATGCCTCTTCCCTTTATAGAAAGAAGCATACAAGTAAAACTGATGGAAAACATGTGCCTCCCTTCCTTTATCTAAAGACTCATCAAATAAAAGCATTCAGCCAGGAAACCATCACAGTTTTCCAAAGGCAACTCTGCCAGGTTCCAGAAGACTGCAAGGCCTCTAGAAAACTCAGTTCTGTGACATTTTCAGCTGTACAATACCATCACAGGGAAAAGAGTGGCAGTTGCTTCCTTATCTAAATGACATCCTAACTTGTTTTATTTTCAGTACACAAAACTGCTGCGGGTGTGCAAGTCTGAATATCGACAAAGCTCCAAACAGCAGAAAACAGGAAGAAAAGCTAACAGACTTCAAACTCCTCTAATGAACTTCATAAAGACACCTAGTAAAAAGTGGCAACGTAGTTTAGCATTATTACCTCTGACTGACAGTAAGTTACATGTGTTTTAATTTATGTAGTCTGCAAAACTCTAACTTTGGAGATCTAAGCCTAAAAGAAAGGATGGCCTCCTGGTCTCTACCAAGTATTCATATCTAAGAACAAAGTAAGACTTACAATACTCGATTAAAATATGGTAATTTGATTACTGTATTAAAGTTCTTAATCAGTCTCAAAATTGTGTTTAAAAAAATTAAGTAAAGATCTATTTTAATTATAAATTTACAGTAGTTTCAACCCTCTTTTTTTTTACACACAGTTATATCTATGTATCTCTCAGTTATACTTTACATCAATTTGAAGACCTAATTCTAATTTAAGATTGAATTCAACTGGTTTGGATTCCAATTTGATAAATACCATGGTTTATTCATAAACAGTCAATTATAGTGACGAGTGGTCTTGGTTTGATTTAAGCCTTAGAACTCTCAGTGAGGTTTCTAAAACTAGAAAGTCTAAATGGGATCCCAAAACAGCAATAGCTTTGAGATAGGATCCTTTAGATCTTTTCTGTATAGCTAGCATATCAAAACCACTCAGAGAACTTTTAAACTTGAGCCAGTTCTAGTGGAAAATAAACAGGAATAATGTATTTTGAAAAACAGAGAATAAGGCAGAACAGAATGAAAGGAGACGAACTGAAAATTTTAAAAAATAAATCTTTGTCCTCACCACCCTGTCTTGACAGGGCAGGTCCTTTTCCCTTAGTTCACTTTTAAGTATAGGATCCTTTCAGTGATGGCCTGGATGGCAACGCACACTGCAGAGTCCCCATAGCAGTTAGGAAAAAATCACTTAATCATAAAATCACATGGATTGGAAAAGACCTTTAAGATTGAGTCCAACTCAAACCTAGCACTTTCAAGTCCGCCACTAAACCAGATCCCCAAGTGCCATATCTATATGCCTTTTAATACGTCCACGCATGGTGACTCAGCCCCTTCCCTGGGCAGTCTATTCCAATGACTGGTAACCCTTTTGGTGAAGATATTTTTCCTAACATTCATTTTAAACGTCCCCTGGCACAACTTGAGTCCATTTCCCTTTGTCCTATCACTTGTTACTTGGGAGAAGAGACAGACCACCGCCTCACTACATCCTCCTTTCTGGTAGTTGTAGAGAGCAAAAAGGTTTGCCCTGAGCCTCCTTTTTTCCAGGCTAAACAACTCCAGCTTGCTCAGCCTCTCCTCATGAAATTTGTGCTCCAGACCCTTCACCAGCTTTGTGGCCCTTCTCTTGACACACTCCAGCATCTCTATGTTTTTCTTGCACTGAGGGGCCCAAAACTTAACATAGGATTTGAAGTGTAGCCTCACTGGTGCTGAGTACAGGGGAATGATAACTTCACTGGACCTGCTGACCACAAAATTTATGATCCAAGCCAGGATGTCATTGGCCTTCTTGGCCATCTGAGGACAGCTCATGTCCAGCAGGCTGTTGACCAGCATCCCCAGATCCTTTTCCACCAGGCAACTTTGTATTGTTATGACTCAAGTGCAGGGCACAGCATTTGGCCTTGATGAAGGTAGACAACTTCCACAGCCTTTCCCTCATCCAGGAATTGAGTCAGATGAGGAGATGAGGTTAGTCAAGCAGGACCTCACCTTCGCAAACCCTTGTTGACTGGGCCAAAAAAACTGGTTATCTTGTACATGCTGCATGATGGCACTCAAGATAATCTGCTCCACGACCTTCCCCTGCCCAGGAGGTCAGTCCTGTAGTTCCCCAGATTCTCCTTCCAGCCCTTCTTGTAGATGGGCATCACATATGTTAACTTCCAGTCAACTGAGATCTCCCCAGTTTGTCAGGACTGCTGGTAAATGACTAAAAGTGGCTCAGTGAGTACCCCTGCCAGCTCCCTCAGCACCCTTGGGTAGATCCCATCCAGCCTCATAGACTTGTGCATGTCTAAGTGGTGTAACATGTCACTAACCATTTCCCCTTGGTTTAGGGGAGCTTCATTATGTTCCCCATTCCTGACTTCCAGTTTAGGGAACTGGGTACCCCAAGAACTATGAAAAAGTAAGGCAAAGAAGGCCCTGAGTACATCAGCCTTTTCCTCAGCCTCTGTCGCTCTGTTTCCCCCTGCATGCAGTAAAGAATGAAGATAATATTTCTTTTCCTTCTTGGAGATCTAGCTACAGGGTCTGCTCCACGCTTTTCTTAGCTATCTTCTACCCCTTCTGTAAGCTCCTTGCTTACTATTCCTTCCCTCCTCACAGCAGAAGTCCCCCTAGCAGAAAGGGCCCAGTCCATCTCAGCAAGAGCACTCTTCTCCCCTTCTTCTTGATGGCCTGGCCCAAAGAGCAGTAAAGAGCAAGGCAGACAAAACTTCTTCACTTTTATTCAGCTGCATGTTTTTAAGGGAAAATAACTGTGCTAAAGCAAAAATACAGATACCACACTTCGTATGACTAAACCACATTCCTGTTCATGGGCTCTGTGGATTCCAGAATCAGCGAAAACAAGGGATGAATTTGCAACTGGTAAAACAATAACTGGCCAGTTTCTGGAAATGTATGAACAGAAGTGAAGCAGCCTAGAGCAGGGAGAGCTCAATCCTACGTGCTGCACAGACACTGCCAGTCTAGTCAAGAGAGGGTCAGCCAGAAGCAGTACAGATATAAAGGACTTCATATCAATTAACTTGGTAAATGGGGACTGCTCTCAGGAACATATCAGCACTTGCATTGATCTCACAGCATTTTGAACAACTAACAGGAAAAGCATTCTCCTTCTGAGTAATATGTCTGTCTTAGCCACCACTCAGACAAAGATCCATTAAATACGACTGAATGGACAAAGGAAGTCCCAGGAACTTGAATGTTATGATACTATGATAAGAATGTCTTTGATTTTGAGAAAATAACTTTGTCATATTATGATATCAGAATACCTTTTTCCCCCGCATCTTCTTGATGAAAGAGTTGAATGATAAA